TATTTTAATGTAAACTCTCTATTTTCTCGTTGCATCATAAACTTTTGATTTTATACAAAAATTTTTCACCTTCAGGTCAGGGAATTTTTTTCGTCTCCAAGAAGGATTATAAACTTTGTATTTTCTCTTATATGAGAGCTTCTGGAGGCATTGACGTGCGAGTCTAAAGGAGATGCTAAATGAAAATTGCATGTTTGTAACGTAAATTGTAAAGTCATTTATTATAGTTGCAAATATAAGTTGCTTGTGTATATAAAAGGAAAAGACGTGTGTCTCAAGAGACTATAAGAGAGTGAAGCGAAAAATACCGTTTAGATTCGCACTTCTTGGAAAAGAAAAAAAAGGAAGAATACTTATGAAAAGCATATGGATAAAAAATTCGTTTTTCATATTTCATTATAGTAAAAAATGTTTTAACGAAAGGAGCTGTATCATGGGCGTTGAAGGCAAAGTACACTTTCCTGTCGACGACATGAGCATTATTGTCGTGAACGTAATCACATCAATTGAGTGGCGACTGCAAGCCTGAGTAATTGCTATGCTTCCGGTCTTGCTCTTATTCGACTATTTCTTTGTTTCTCGACTTGAATGCAACCATCAATTGCAAAACACGTCACGAGCAATACGACAAAATAATGTGATGGCGATCGAGTAAAAGAGAAATGAGTGTGGCAGTGAGAAATCCAAGGTTAACTCTTTTGCCATGGTCAACTTGTCATTTTATCTCATGAAACTAAAGTCGACCGCGAGACATTCGAATTTTCACGGTGCATGTGTTTTTTTTTTATTTTTGCAAAATAAAGTTCAAATGTGGAAAGAGAGCAAAATATACGCAACTTGTTCCACCGTCTTGATTTCAGTCATGTTTGAGGACCGAGAAAAACGCGGGCAAATTACGCATTGAAGTGACCTGAGTAGAATTTTGCTTCCGTTGGAGGTACCGTTTTCCAATCTTGCAGTGATGACCCGTTATGGTGGACGAATTTCTGAAGCGTTCCAGCAATTAGTGACCATCTGGCGATGTCTTTCCACTATTGTCTGATGAAGTGGTCATGGCGAAAAAATACTTTAACAATAGTGATGACTAGGGAGACAATCGTTTTGCTTGTGTAATAAGTTTAGATTTTTCCAGAAAGAGAAATTCGTAATTTCTTGAAACAGTGCAAAAAAAAAAATTTTTAATTAGAAACAAGAGGTCTTTGAATTCAGTTGTTTGCTTCGGATCAAAAAATAAAAAACAACTTGTGCGTTTTTTCGTGTCACTTTTCATACGTTTTTTTTACTCAATTTAATAAATTCAGTCAAAAAAAAAAAAAAAGAAACGCATGAAAAGTGACACGATTTGCGAAACTACGTTTTCATACGTTTTTTGTCTCAATTTGATATTCTTCAGGGTTACCACACTTTTTCTCATTTCAAATTTCCTGACTTTTCCAGGCTTTCCAAGTTAAAAACCAGAATTTTTCCAGGTTTTTAAAACTACATTTGTTGACATTAACAAAAATGTAATTTTGTTTTTCCTGACTTTCTTTTGAACTGCAGACAAAATTCTTACTTCTCCTTGACTTAAAAAATATTCTCATTCAGTTTAAAAATTATTACTCAGAAAAATGTTGTATTACATTCTTTTTAAAATAAATATTTAATTATTATTTTTCCATAAGAATTGAAATTCTTCAAAACATTCATATTCAGACTTTTTCGAAATTAAACAATTTTCAAAAAAATTGTTATAAAACATGAAGAAATCGATCACACTCCGAGTCTTCGACTCGGAGCAATCGATATCTTCATGTTTTATAATAATTAAAGATGACCGACTGATAAAATCATTATTTTATTTTATATAATAAAAATATTGTTACTGTAACTTCATAAAAATTATTCTCATTTCTCAATTATTTTCTAACACTTTTAACTAAAATTCTTCTTTAAATAAATTATTTTTAATAATTTTTGAAAAATTTCTTTGAAAATTTCCAAATCCTTTTGTTTACAATTCAATTTTACGAAATTTCATCGATTATTCGGGAATTCTTCACTCAAATATATATTAGAAAATAAAAAATTCGAATAATTTCAAAAAAGTTACATTAAACTTTTTTTTTAAAATTAAATCTACACAATTTTCAGTTAAAAGTATGAAAAATTTAAACTTTCAAAGATTATAATTTGAAACCTTTCCAAAATTTTATTAATTCTAAAAATTCGCACTATAATATATTTTCTATAAATTTGAATTAATAAAAATGTTTACTAATTGAAATTAGTGACTGACTCAAAAATGCTATTGAATTAGTAAATTTTACTATTAAATTAGTAGAAACGACTATTTATTGACAAAATTAGCTAATTCAAAAGCAAAAAGTCAGTCACTAATTCAAATTAGAAACCATTTTTACTAATTCAAATTTAGAGAGTTTAATATTCAATTATTATCTAAAATTGTAACTAAAACGCATATTTAAATCCATTTTTATTAGAAAATTTTACGAGAATTCAATTATTTTAATAGAAAAATAAATAATTTATTGAATAAATTGAATGTTTCTTAGAATTGAACTCTCATAAAGAATTTTATCAACAGAGATTTTTAAATAATTAAAATTTTTTTGACGAATTTTAAGAAAATTTTTAAGAATAATTTCATTTTTCAAGAAATTAGATTAAAATTCTATTAAAAATAATTGAATCTCTAAAAAATTTGATTGAATTAAGAAAAGTTTTTGAAAATAATTAAAATTTTGTCAAGAATTTTATTAAAATTTTCGAAAATAATTGAATTTTGAAGAAGAGTTTTATTATTTATGAAGGCAATTGAAATTTTGACGAGAATTTTTTTAATCTTTTGACCATAATTGAATTTCTGCGAAGAATTAAATTCCCGTAAAAATTGTAATATTTAGATATGAAAATAATTGAATTTCTCCAATTATTTGTCACTTGTTCAAGATTCAATTTCTTTTAGTGTTTTTAACTAAAGTTCTTTTTTAAATAAATTATTTTTAATAATTTTAGAAAAAGTTATTAGGGGATTTTCTAAAAATTTAATTTAAAACCTTTTCAAAATTCAATTATTATTTGAAATTGTAACTGAAATTCATTTTTAAATCAATTTTTATCAGAAAATCCTACGAGAATTCAATTATTTAAAGACAAAAATAAATAATTTATTGAATAATTGAATGTTTCTCAAAATTGAAATTCTCATAAAGAATTTTATTACCAAATTTTTAAATAATTGAATTCTTTTGACCAATTTTAATAAAATTTTTAAGAATTATTGCATTCCTCGAGGAATTTAATTAAAATTGTATTAAAAATAATTGAAATCCTGCAAAGAAATTTATCAAAATTTTTAAAAATATTTGAATATTTATTAAAATTGTATTAAAAATAATTGATTCTCTATAAAAAATTTGATTGAATGGAGAAAAGTTTTTGAAAATAATTAAAATTTGGGAAGAATTTTATTAAAAGTTTTGAAAATAATTGAATTTTGAAGAAGAATTTTAATTGAAATTTTGACGTGAATTCTTTTAAACTTTTGACCAATAATTGAATTTCTACGAAGAATTTGATTACTTTTGAAAATAATTAAATTCTTGAGACGAAGTTTAATAATATATTTCTTTTTAAAATAATTTAATTATTTTGTGAAATTTGATTGAAATTGTAGATATTAAAAATAATTAAATTTTGATAAATTATTTAAATTAATTAAATTTCTACGAAGAATTTTATTAAAATTATTTTGAAAAAAAATTGAATTGTTAAAAAGAATTTCATTAAAATTTTTGAAAATAATTTAATTCTTTTAAGAAATTTAATTAAAAATGTATTGACAATAATAATTTTAAATTCTAATAAATAAATTATAGTCGGTTTTTTAAAATAATTGAATTTCTTTGATGAATTTTATTAAAAATTTTAAAAATAATTACATTTTTCGAGAAATTCCATTAAAATTTGGATTAAAAATAATTGAAATTCTGCAATGAATTTTATTATTTATGAAAATAATTAACCTATAAAGTTTTTTATTATTTATGAAAATAATTGAATCTCTGTAAAAAATTTGATTATCTATGAAAATAATTGAATTATTGCGAAGAAATTTATTAAGGGCATTTGAACCTTGATGACGTTTTAGTTTATGCAAAGCATGTGTGACGTCATCAAGTTTCAAATGCCCTTAAGAATTTGTAAATAATAGAATTTCTGTGAAATTTTTATTATTTAATTAATTCATTCAAAATTGAAATTTTACAAAATTTCAAATTACAACCTTTTGAAGTTTATCTATTTATGAAAATTGTAAACGCAACTCTTTTAAAATTAAATTAATTTTGAAATATTTAAGAAAAATTAGATTTCAAGAATAAGCACAATAACTTTAGAAAACAATAATTTTCCAGAATTTCGATCAAAATTCCCTGACTTTTCCAGGTTTTTTCAAGGTTTATAAAATTCCCTGACATTTCAAGGTTTTCCAGATTTCCAGGTTGCGTGGAAATCCTTAAAAAAAACTGGTATTTTTTTTGCTAGTCAAATGAATAAAATCTAATTACAATTAAATTCTACGCTTCTAAAAAAAACTTAATAACCGAAACTCAATAAGGATTTCCTCTAAATACAAAATTAAAAACATGAATTAAAATCAAATCTTTTTTTCGTACATACTAAAAAAAAATGCCAACAACAGATTAATTAGAAACCTCGACGACCTTGGTCGAGGATAACAAATGGTATAATTTCGTTGAATAATCGTGGATCAGCGATGAGTTGAGTGAATAAATCGGATATTAGACAAGTGACTAGTGACTATAGAGAGTATAAATGTATGCACACAGACCCATAATAAACGACACGACGCAAACCCTCTTTTGCTATCACAAGCTGGTGGATTACGTGCAATGTAATGGCGCACGAACGGTTTGAAATCGTGTTACCTTCTAAGGTCGACCAATTATATATCGAACCTTCTCTTTCCTTTACAGAATGAAGATATAACGGGAACGTCCTCTTGTGCTCCAGGATAACAACAATGTCGGCGCAATGCAGACACTTTGTGCAAAACGCCTGGAAAAAGGAGCTTTGTTCAAATTGCTTTAAACCGCGAGAAGAACATCTCGAGTCATCTGATACTTCAAAGCCACTCATTAAAACCCCTCACAGTGCCTTCAACAGCAACCACAAAGTGCAGGTATTTCCTTTATTTCAAATTCATTTATTTCCAAGAGTTCAACACTATTTTCCAAACGACAAAAAAAATCTAATTTTTTATTTTTTATTATAGAATGAAAATTATTTCTTTCTAATATTTTTATTTAATGATCCTACACTTTGTTCTCTCTCTCTAATTGACTAGAAATTGATAAGGAAATAAAGGTAAATTTTTTTAGAATTTTATTCGATATAATTTTTTTGACGCAGAATTTTCATTTGACAGAATTTTTTTCTAATCGAATTTTAATTAACTTGAATTTCTATTTAACAGAATTAGTATGTTATCCAATTTTTATTTCACTGAACTATGAACTAAAGGAATTTTTATTTGACATTCTTTTTATTCAAAAGAAATGTTATTTAAAAGAATTTTTATTAAAACGAATTTTTAGTTGACTAAACATTCAATTAAAGAAATTTTTAATTAAAAAAATTTTTATTTGACTGAACTTTAAATTAAGGGAATTTTCAGTTGAATTTCTTTTTATTTAAAAGAAACTGTAATTAAAGGGATTTTTATTTAAAAGAACTTTTATTTGACTGAAGTTTGAATTAAAGGAATTTTTACTTGACTGAACTTTCAATTCAATGAATTTTTATTTAATCCTCTTTTTATTTAAAAGAATTATTTAAACTAATTGTTATTCAAAATAATTTCCTTGTAAACGAAGAAAAGAATTTTTATTTAGCCGAATTCTTAATTAACAGAATTTTAAATCAGTTGAATTTTAAAATCAACATATCGTCGATATAAGAATCTTTAACAATGATAATTCTTGAAATTAAATATTATTTGAAATATGAATTCTGGAATTTGAAAATTCGGCTCATTTAATATTCCGTTACATAAAAATTCCACTTAATAAAAAATACGTTTAAATAAAAATACTTTTTAAATAAAAATCCGTTTAAATAAAAGTTTAGGTATATAAAAATTTAAATAACAGTTTAAATAACAGGTTTAAATAACAGTTTAAATAAAAGTTAAAATTAAAATAGGTTTAAATAAAAATACATCTTTTAAAAACTTTTTAAAAAAACTCTTTTAAATTAAAGGATAATTAACTAAAAATTCATGTTAATTGAAATTTGACTAATCAAAAATTCAGTCAAATGAAAAATCTGCAAAAAAAATTGTGTCAAATAAAATTCTCTCCTCATAAAAATTCCAAAAAAATCATCTCTGTCGCTTATTAATGCGCCTTCTTTAGTTTTAATTCAAAAATAATAATCCTCTCAAAGGAAAACCATTACCCCCTTAAGTGTCTAACGGAAAAAAATTCCTTCCTACAATCGACACGTACAAAAAAAAATTAAATTAAAAGTGAGAATGTAATTAGATAATAACTATTATTATCTATCTTGACCAATAAAATAAGAAACCTTCTCGAATCTTCCAAAAAAGTCCAACTAAACGATTATGAATTACGATCGTTTAAATACTAATTTTCTATACCCAAATTGGAGCATGAACTCTATATCGTTTTAAGTGCCATTAAAAAATTACTTTAATAACTAACTTTGAAAAAAAAACTTTAATAAAATTTTTAAAAAATCTTTAAAAAATATTTTAACTAAAATTTTAAAAAATACTTTAACTAAAATTTAAAAAAAAACTTTAACTAAAATTAAAAAAAAAAACTTTAAATAAAATTCAAAAACAACTTTAAATAAAATTTCAGAACAGTTGGTTAAAAATTGTACTCAATAAACAAGTATTGTTCACATGCATCACCTAATTTCATAAACAATTCCTCGCGTATTATGAAGTTTACATTATTACGAGTTTATAGCTTGATCATCGATTATCATCTGTTTCAAAGAGAGTGATTGACATTAAACGTTATACAAGAGGCTTGCAAAATTAGTTATTTATAAATACGATGATTATTGAAACAGGTAGTGAATATATGTTTACATTGGAATTTTCAAACGTTTGATATATTGCGAGTAAAACTTTGAAGATTAAAATTTTCATTACATCAAGATTAATGAATTGATTTTAAGGCAAATGATCATTAGAAGATCGTTAAAAGATCATTAGAGTCATAGTATTAAAATCCTTATACAATTAAAAACATTCAAAAAAATGCGTTCTTCTATTTTTGTTCACATTTTGATTATAATATATTTTAGTTAACTTATTTCTACATTTTTAGATAATGATTATAAATTGTCTTAGATTTTTATTTTTGAATTTGTATTATCTATAATTTTCTTATATCATTTATCTGTGCTTGTTATTTTTTTCTTAATTATTCTTTTTCAAGGTTGTCACAAAAATTCGATTTTTTCTTTCCCTGAATTTTTCTATTTACTACTATTCAATATTTATTTTAATTAAATAAACACAATTTATAATATATAATAACAATCGAAAAATCGAATTAAAATTCAACTTCTAAACTAGACTTGAAAAAATTGATTTGATTCAAATAATTTTTATTTAAGTCCATTAAATGGTATTTGAACCAATAATTTCATTTTTTGAAGCAAATTGTATTTAATTGATTGAAATAAAAATTATTTGATTCAAGTAAATATTTAATTGATAATAGTCAAATAATCTTGAATCAAATAAATTTTTTTCCACTGTACATTTTTTATTTAATCGCAATAGATAAACAGTTTTCTCCTAATTAACATCAGATATCAATTTCATCAAAAAACAATTTCTATCTTTAAATATTACAGTTAGACGTAATAAATTCATTAATTACACGCTCAACTAGCAATGAGCGAAAAAATAAACATAGTCTACATTTTTTTTACACCTACTACATTCTTTTTTTCAAAAAATCATTTCACCGCTTTTGAAAATACACCTACACATGAGTCATCACTTAACCAATATTAAAAAAAAATCACAACGCTTTTTTCTCTGTTCACTCTTCAATATATACGTATAAACAGGGAAGTGAATTGAAATAATATATATATTTATTATAATAAATGTGCAACGCAGACTCAGACAAACGCTCGTTAAGGTTAACGACCGTAAAACGTTTCCAATGGTGGGGAAACTGGGTTATCCGTGCTCATAAATGCGGAAGAGCTCTACTGACAAAGTCGAAGATTAAAGAGTTGCATGCCACCATTGCAATCGGTTCAGTTGAAGACGCGAGATTGCTATGGAAGCGAGAAGAAAGTTCAGTAGCGAGCGAGTTTTAGAAGCGCACTTTGATTCTCCTCTATACTATTTTTTCACCATCAGGATCATAGTTTGAGAGTTTATAATCAATTATATAAATGAAAACTCAATAATTGATCGATTTTATTTTTTCCCGTGCAATTAGAAATCTAAAACTTCCACGGAAACATCAATTTTATCGATAACGGAAATCCCTTCCTTTTTTTGGGAGGATACAAAATCATTACATCCTGTCAATTACAAGTTACAACTGAAATTGACATAATCGTTTTGAAATAGGCACTTTAAAACAGGATGATTGAGTTAAAGACAATTCATTGAGTAATCCACAAATTACTGCACTTCGAGTCTTGTTTTCATAGAAAAAAGGTTATTCTTCTTTTTTTCGAGAAATGAAAAAATCATAGCGATAAAATTAAATACTAAAAAAATGCGTAAATTTCAGAAGCAAAGAATAATATTGTTGCAAGTACGGAAGAAAATAATTCAAAAGTAATGATCTTGGCTCTTACTATCAAAACTATAATGATGTAATAAAATATATAAAGTTATAGTGCAATCACTGATGATTCTTATATTTACTGCACTGTGCGTATAAATTTCATTACCCTGATATAAAATCCAGTAAATCGAATGATGAACAGTTAACGATTGGAATTTGATTTAGAAAATTTTAACGGAAATTTTTTTTTTTCATTTTCTATAAATATTTCTAAATTCTAAATCATACCAGTAGATATTCAGTTTCCATATAAATATTTCTAAATCATACCTAGAGATAAAGTATTTAAATCATATTTCCTTAATCTTTACATCCTGAGACATGCATTTTGCTGATAATATTCCGCAATTTTCCTCCTACGCAATTTAAAGAAGGAGATTAAGACGTGCTTCTAAGTTATTAGAACAAAGCGATAAATTTAGAATTTCAATTTTAAGTTACAGATTTTTTTTTCAAAAGGAAAGGAAGAAATATTTGTCATAATACGTGTATATGCATTAATTTTTCACCATTCAATGGAAAAAATCGGCACCCCAAGGAAAACAAAACTAACAATAGCAAAAATTCTCCCAACAATAAAATTAACATCAATTTAATATTTTACTAACTTATTTACTAAAATCATATTTTAATAACTGAATTAATAATTAATTTTAAAATTAACAAATCTTTTCGATTCTCTCATTTCCCTTGGAGCCTCAGCCTCAAGTATATCGATACACCTGCGATAGACAAACACAATAGTCAACAAAACTCGTAAAATTTATGCCAATATTAATATATTATTATATAAATGGTCACGATCACGATTCGAGATCTTGGCGGGATAATAAAATCGCGCGCACCGTTTCCTTTTACTCGCAAAAGCCCCTCGAGTGTAAAAGAAAGGAATATTTTTTTTAATAAACGCGAGTATTTAAAATTAATTCCCATCTGAAGATATCTAGAAGCAAAAATTTATTAACAAAAAGAAAAAATAACGTGAGAAGATGAAAAAATGATAAGGGTTTAATTATTATATTCGTTCAGTTTTACCACACCTACTGAAACAAACCATTGAGAGAATCTATTTCACAAAACAAAAAAGAAGAAATATTTATTTCCTCTCATAGATATATGGGATTTAATTATATTTTATATCATATTTTTAATCGCAAACTTTATTACAAAAGAATATAAACCATCTAATATCTGACAACATCTAAGATAGAGTCGTGCAAGCGCAGGTGTTTGGAAATATTTTCTTCATCTTATTTCACACTGAATCCGGGAAATCAAATTGTTTTAATTATACCAATTTTCCCTGAATCTCGTAAAGTTTGTTTAATTGAAAGTTATATGTTAACGAATTTATAAACTTATTAATTTTTTTCGAATCTCGTAAATATCCTTTACTTTTAAATTATAAACTTTGAATGATTTTTTAAATTATTAATTAACCATTTCTTTCCTGAATCTCCTAAACTTTATCTACAATTATCAATTACTTAATAATCAGTTTTTATAATTTAAATTAATATATTTTATCAAGAAAAATAGAGGAAATAATTATAAGCAAGTTATATCAATATAATTACTAGAAAGTAGTCAAATAACAAACACCAAATCACTATAAATAATCTAAATCAAATAACAATAAATAATCTAAATATCTAATTAGATTAAAAACAAATTTTAAAAAATTTAAAAATAAAATCTTACTAAAATCATTTTCCTAATTTCTATCTGTCAATTAAACTTTCTAGAATAACTTTATACAAACAGTGTTTCAATAGAATAGAAACGTATAAAATACATTTGCCTTAAAGTAGATCAGTCTTTGAATTCCAAGTCACATGTACTCCTTTCTGTCAAGTTTGAAATAAATTTGCATAAAATATATCGAAATAAAATTAAATCCCACCGAGAACTATTATGAAATTTTTCAACATTTTTCCTTTGTTCAACTTTATAACCAAAAAAAAAATCTTCAACAATTTCGTAATTATACAAAAAAAAATTTGTTTCTTCATAAATGCAAAAAAATACCCGTTTTACTCATAAACAATTATCTTTCTGCATTATCCGATACATCTTGTCCTAGATCATGATAATTTTACGCCAATTTCCCTAAATATGCAATATTCTGTTATGATCTGTCCTCGAAACATTTCTAATTAGATTTCAGCAAAAGAAAGAAATTATCAGACAACAACAAATCAAAGATCCTGTCAAGTTAATATAATTAATACTAATTATATAATTTACCATCTCTAATTAGACAAAGGAAGAGGAATAAAAGTTTATACAGAGTATAGAAAAAAGCCGAGTATTTGAATAAATTAGTCGAAATGAGATTTTTATCTTAAAGATTTGTTTTTATATCAATTTCACTTTTAACATTCTGAACGGCTACTATATCTAAATCTTTTTTCCTCACCTGCTGTTAACTCGAGCATTATTTACGCTCCTTCAATTAAAAACAACTCATTCCATGAATCAACCAGTGATTAGATTTCCCCCTACTGTTGTTGGTTACAAGAACCGTTAGACCAATTTTATTTTGATAAACTCATTACTAAATACTGCCTTGAACTTTACGACACAATCCTTTACAGTTTACGACACAATGTTTAACATCCAGAAACTCAATATCGTATGATCCTTTATACTTATAACAAGATATTATTTACAATTCAATTCCCAACTTCCTTATAATAATAAAATTATACGCTCGTAAAAAGAATTTTTATTGCAAAAAAAAGAAGGAGGAACAAAATCCAATACGTTTACTTTTTCTTATCATCGAAGCAGAGGTTTTTTTTGTGTGAAAGAATTTTTAATGAAAGCCAAGAGGTGTTGTAAGAAGGAATTCCGAGATATCTATATTTTTCCAAAAGTCATCGTAACCTCGAGAGATCGACAGACGTCAGTAAACTATACTTCTATTCTTGAAACAATTTCACCGTTATCATCGTGAGAGTGACTAACGTGTCTATTTTCCTAGCACGACTCACTTACTTTTAATGCTATTTCTTTGCCTAAGTACGTCACGACATTAAGTTCGGTAACCCCTTTGATTCCAGGGTATTCTCAGGATTAGAGAACACTGCCAGGTGAGGCTGAAGAAGCGGAACGTTGGATTTCAAGAATCACTTGTCGAAGTCATTGGCTTTGGAGGTGATGATTTTTCCGATGCCGATGATGATAGTCAGGATCTCGACAGTAATGACTCATCCAGTCCTGAAGATAACATTCCCGATAGCGAGGAGGAACGAGCCCTCGGTAACTTGACGCGTGCCAATACCAATTTCAATACTGTCACTGCAAATCTAACGGAATCTGCGGCACCCGCCGTCAACACTCCCAAGACATTTGCATCCTTGATGCTCGGAAAAGTTCAAAAAGATGCTGATGGTAATTTTTTTCCATTTCCATTTTCTTATTTTTGCATTTGTTGTTAGCTAATTTTTAAATTATGGAACGAAATAAACAGAATTAAAAATTACAACTAATTAAGAAACCAACTGTCAAGAGATCTTAATCAAATATTCTTTCTGTTCAAAGGTAAAAAGAAAACACTCTTAGTGTCAGTGACGCCATTCGGAGGAGATGACACTCTACCGACAGCAAAAAGGCCCAGCGACAAGAAGATCAATAACGAATACTCAAGACCGAAAACTCTCGATATTATCCCAAAAAACGAAAAGACTGAAGTCACTGTCAAAAGTATCAAGAAATTAGTCGAAAACGATAACCCAATTCTCGAAAAACGTCCCACCGAATCTCCGAGTCTCGAAAAAATCGTCGACATGCCTCTAATAACCTCCGCAAACCTAGTGTCAGTAATTCAAAACGAAAATCTAGAAACCCCCCCAACAATACAGAAAACAGATAAGAAAATAACCATCGCAAGAACCCCAGCTATCAAAAAATCCGAAAACGAAAAGCCAAGAATCTCACTGCAAAATTCGACCAACAACAAAGGAGAGTACGCAATAACGAAAATAACCAAACGCACCGATATCATGAACACTGAGAATCGACTCAACGGTGTCTACAACTCTGGATCCGAATTCCGAAGCAATTCAGGAATAGAATTAACTCTATCCCCCCTGAAAAAGGAAACAATAGACGAAAGATCGATACTCCCAAAAGGAAAAGAAGTGAATAAAATTTCCGTAACCGCAGCCGTTGAAAAGAAGCAGGAACTTTTGGAAGAGCGCAAAGTCGAAGGCGAGGCAGTGACGAAAAAATTCACCTTCAAAGAGAGTCGTGAATCTGCCGGCGAACCAGACGGAAAAGCTGATGAGGACATATCGGAACCTCCGGCTTTGCCGAAAAATCCCCCGCCACTTGAAACGAAACTTAAGAGTTGCACCTTCCCAACGGAACCTAAATGTATGTTGTCGATAGCTGAACCTAGATCTTCGTTCCTACATGGCGAATCGAAAATAAAACCAGCAGTTCCTCAAAAACCGGTTGCTTTGCCTCAGAAAATTTCCAATTCGCCGACTTCTTCTTTTTCGACTCCGAGTAAAAAAACACTCAGTACTTTCGCAGTTTCGAATAACACCCCACGGGTTACAGAGGTCAAGGAACAAAGTCCAATTTGCAATTACTCAAATTCGACATCATTTCCGAACGGTGAGACCAACAATAATCAGTCCCAACTAATCAACAATCAACAAATCAATAGACTCCCAGAAGTTCAACCGTGCCAATCTCCAGTCCAAACGTCCTCCGAGGAGAGTCCTAAACCCAAAAAGAATTTGAAAAATCTAACTTCCCCACCGAGACCCAAACCACCCTCCATAGCTCTCTGCAAACCACTCCAACCAGAAGAGGATCCTGACGACGATGACAACAATTCGAATTCCGATTCCCCTTTCGAAGCGACTCGAGCATCGAACAAGAGACGAATGGCACCCAAACCCCCATCATCTCCAATTGACGACACCCCAAGTTCCCTATTTGCCCGAAATCCGACAACTACAACAAAATCAGATTCACCAGTTGTTCGGGAAATGGAAAAAAGGGAGAGAGCCTCGTCGTGTAGTCCTAAATTCCGAAAAGCAGTATCCGTGTCAGAGTCTCCGGATCCTTCGGATCGGGCACCAGAACCGGCGCCAAGGAAAAACATTTCGCTGTCTCAGGACAGTTTAGCAAATCCAGAGAGGATAGAGGAGAAGAAAAAGAGTCGATCTCGATTTTCGTTGAAGAAATTTCTTCGTATGGGTTCGAGAAAGGATGTCGACATGACCTGTGGATATGGTTCGAGAATGGATGAGATTCCATCCACTCCTCAACCAAAACCACGATTGGAGATCATTCATCCATTGGAGCTTGATGGTGCTGCTGTTCAGGTTCTTGGAAATGAGGGAAATTCCAGGGTCAGTGAAGACGTTACCGATTTCCGCAGTAGCTTATCTTTGACGAATTCATCGATGACTAATGGAAATCTGCACGGAACAGGTAACACTCTAGCATTAATTTTCTAACATTTATCCAAATAGCTGACTATACTTATTACTATTATTATCATATTACAGATTTATTTATTCATACGTACTGTGACTGAATAGCAAAACTATAATTATCTCTAAAACCTAGGTACATAAAAATGAATAAAAATTGACCAAATTTCAGTGAGACCAGGTAAACCTCCACCCCCGCCAAGGAATCAGTCACTAGACGATTGGTCTAGACTGGATCCGGCAAATAAGCCAGCGAGACCACCTCCCCCTCGAACTGACGCAAAATTACCACCGAGAGGCGAGAAACCATCACCTAAAACATGGCAATCGACATCCAATTCACCTTCGACGTCTGACTCAATTTACGCGAATTTGGGTAAGTTCAGGCCCATCCAGTGTAACTAATGACTAGATTTCACGTATGTAACAGCCATACTCACACGATACTCGCACCTGCTTTTTATAGCTTGCAAACCAGGTCGAAATCGAAAACCGAAACTTAAGAAATTGTCAATAATGATTTTTAAGTTAATTTCGAATTTCTGCAGGAACAGAAATATTTTTTTCCACCTCAAAAATAAGACACACTTAGGGAAATTATTGTTTGTCGTTACTATTTAGTTGGTAAAAAGTTCGCTGCTAATTTTTATCAATAGTTGAAATTGCTATTTAGTTAGTTACTCTAGCCAATTAGTTAGTAACGTAACTAATTAAATAGTTAACAAAAAATTAAATAACAAGCAAATGAAATCAATAAAAATATAAAAAATAAATATTAACAATCAGTAAATATTAAATGAACATTATTATTCTGCTACAAAACAAGAATTTATTAAACAAACATTAAAAAAGATCTTTAGGTTTACTAATAAAAATTTTAACCCCAACCAATAAATTAGCAGCTGCATATTTTACCACAACTAAAAATTATCCTGCCAAAAATTGCAACCACAATTAATAATTTCTCTCGGTGCATTTATATAAAAAACAATTCCTTACTTTTTTTATAAAATAAAAATCTTTAATTAAGAAATAAAACAAGAAAATGAAAATACAACTTGCAATTAAAATCATGATATTATAGACATTTAAATACTTACTCGAATATTAGTATAAAAGTTATAATGAAAATAAAAATAAAAATTTCAATTAAAAAAAACGAAAAATAAAACTTTTAGTAAAAATTTTGTTTCAAATAAAAAATTTAAAAAAAATATTAACTAAATGATAAAAACTATACATAAAAAATGTTATTTAAAGTATAAATTATTTATTTAAGATTTATTTAAGATAAAAATTAACGTTTAAGGTGATGACAATTAAAAATAAGAGGAAAAAAATATTGAAGACAAAAATAAATAAATGTCAAATCAATATAAAGATTTCTACCTTTATATTATTGACTTTTCTTCGTGCTCTCTAAATTTGAATTAGTAAAAATGTTTACTAAGAATTAGTGACTGATTAGTAAAAATTACTATTTATTAGTAAATGTTTACTAATGAATTAGTAGAAATTATTATTTATTAGTAAAATTTACTAATAAAGCTTTCAAAAGCAAAAAGACCACTAATTCAAATAAGTAAACGTTTTCACTAATTTAAAATTTAGAGAGAGAATAAAAATATTGGAAAACGAAATAAAACTAAAAAAATGAATTTAAAGGGAAAAAATTGAGGTAAAAAATGAGAAGAAAGATTGACTTAAAAATAAAATAATAAGACTTAAGAAAATTTTAGAATTAAAGGAAACAAAAGAAAATACCCTTTTCCTGCAAAAATTCAAGCTTCTTGTTATGGCTATGTCTGTTTGCAAATATAATTATTTACTCTATAATTTTCTCGCTGATTACTACCAATTACAATCTTTTGCATATAGGAATTAGATATTATAAATATAGTTAATATAGCAGCCATTTTATACACTGACATATTATATTATGTGTTATAAACTTTCAGTCTCAAAATGTTTAGTTCATGATTAACGAATCTTGAAACTAAGATTTTCGTGCATCCTGTGATATTTTTTTTATACAATCATTTAGACATTATATCTATATATTTCAAAATTTAGTAAAATGATGTAGAAAATCGTTCTTTATATATGTGTTTATGTGATATTGAGGATTTCGCAATAGAATCGCAAGATTTCGCAGTAAAGTTTGAGAATGGCTGATGGATAGTTTTCCGAACAAAGCTCATAATAAACGGCGATAATTTAGCTTTTAGAAGAGAAAAATAAGAATAAAAATAAAAACATGATTAATAATAAAGGGACAGCGTGATATAACCAGCGAAAATTTGTAAATATCATTAAAAAAAAAAATTATTTGTATCTATATTCTTAAAGTGCTATGTTTTGAAATAAAAGTTTTCTTCGTCTGAATTTGAAAGCAATTCTTGTTTTTCTTAGTCACGTGACTTTATAATTATGCGTCCAACAAGTACTCTCGTTGTCGTTAAACATTTTTTGAAATTAATCTTCAGAAAAGTTTCTTTAAAAATTTTTTAAGTTAATAGAAAAATTAAAATGAAATTAAAAATTTCAATTACAATAAACTCTATCCAAAAATTAAAATTTATTTTTTTTTGTTTTTTGCTTTTATTAACAAAGAATGAACTCTATTTTTTTGTTAAAAGAAAGAAGAAAAAATGAAATTCGTTTGCATGATATGGTTGACATTGTTATTTTTTTAAGACGACTTATTTGTTTTCTATTTTTTTTTCTCGCGGAGGAAGATTTTTTTAAAATCTTATTCAATAAAACGGCATGAAAAAAATAACTTTCTGGTGTTAGAATTGGCAGTTCAATTACAAAGAGCTCATGCTGAATATGCAACTAACGCCGCATGCATTCAATGCATATTTGCACCGTGTTCCTTTGGATTTATGTCTATAGATTTTAGATAGCAATGTCTGCCAATCTTTCGTTTTATAACACTAACTAAATCTTGAATTATTTGTACCCAATTCAAGAAGTAATTATATTTTATTTTTGCCAACGATATAAGCACTGAAGCTATGAAAATTTATCATTATTTTCTATTTATATATACTCCTAGAAAAAAGATTTATTGTCTGAGTCAGATAAATTATATTAATTTGTTTCAGATAAATTTTATTTGGTTCAAATAAAAGTTGTATTTGTGTCGAATAAAATTTTTATTTACAACAAATAAATAATTTAAAAGGCTCTAATTATATACTTTTATTTAACTCAAATTTTTATTTGATTCAAATTAGTTTTGCTTGGTTCAAATAAATTTTACTTGTATCTAAAAAATTATTATTTATAAAACAAATAAATAATTTAGTAGGCTGACAATTCTGCTTTTGTCAGTCACTAATTTCATTTAATCAAATCAGTCGAAAAATTTGAACTACCTCAGATTTAAAGAGTAGATCAAAAACGAAACCAAGTCCCTTTAATTATTTCATGAAACATTTTATCCCTGACGATGAAAACGATTTATTCTCGAAACTTTTGCTGTTTTCAAATAAATATATAAAGTCGGGGTATTTTTTTTTATTCCTCATCAAGAATATTAAATCTTTCGAAAGAAATCAATATTATAAAAACCGGAAGGGAATATTAAAAAAGTAATCGGCGAATTAGCAATAATCGAGAAATAAATTCCTGAAATATATTCGGAAAATAAATTCTAAAATCGTGACCCTTCGATTATAGAGAGTAAATTCAAAAAAATTCGGTTTCATTTTTCACTAAAATTCCCGGAGCATAATGAGTATAGTTGTGTACTAGCTTTAGTGTTTAGTCGTTTAACTATAACTAGCTAGCCTGTGATATGCCTTGTGTCTTGTGGTACTAACACTGGCGCTTGACCATGGCGTACGGGCCTGCAGCAGCGGAGGATGTTACAGGTGAAATTCGAAGTTCTCTGGTACCATCCAAGCCACAACGAACGGCCAGCATGAGGGAGCAGACCAATTCTCAGCCTCCCGTGAAAAAAGCCGTTCAAAATCAAAATCAGGACTACGAGAATCTCGAATCCAATTCGCCAGCTTCAAATTCACCGGTTTGTTTCTCTTCTCAATTTTTTTTAAATATTATTACTAAAGTTTCTCTATTAGTTCCAAAGAAAAGTATCCGAAACTACGAGAAAAGAAAATCTAAAACCACCGAAAAAATATTTAACACCACAAAAAATAACAACATAAAACTAACAAAAAAAAATATCTAAAACTATCCAAAAAATATGTATAATTCATTAAATTTTTCATAAATATAAAACATGAAGATATCGATAACTCGGAGTGATCGTTTTATTCATGTTTTATAATAATTAAAGATGACCGAGTGATAAAATAACTTACAACTCAATTATTATTTACAAGAATTTTTAACTAAAATTCTTCTTTAAATCGATTATTTTTAATAATTTTAGAAAAAGTTCTTTGACAATTTTCAAATTCATTTGTTTACAATATTCAATTTTACGAAATTTCGATTATTCGTAAATTCTTCAATTAAATAAATATTAGAAAATAAAAAATTTAAAATAATATTAAAAAAATTCAATTATTTTTAAAAATTCACGTTGTATTGCTTTTAATATTCAATTATTATCTAAAATATTAACTGAAATTCATTTTTAAATCAATTTTTATTAGAAAATAATTAAATCCCTAAGAAAAATTTTATTATTTTTGAACAATATTTCATTTTTGCAAGGATTATTAATACTCTTGAAAATACTTGAATTTCTACAATAATTTCTAACTTTTCCAAAATTAAATTTTTTTTCGTGTTTTTAACTAAAATTCTTCTGTAAATGCATTATTTTTAATAATATTTGAAAAACTTCTTTGAGAATTTAAAAATTCATTTGTTTACAATTTCAAAAAAAATCCGCAATTAAATTTCTTAAAAAAATTAATTTCACAGAATTGTTAGTTACAAAAATTAAAAATCAGATTATCAAAAGTTTCAAATTAAATTATTTCTAAAAATTCACGCTCTAATACTTTTAATATTCAATTATAATCCAAAATTTTAACTGAAATCCATTTTTTAAACAATTTATATTCGAAAATTCTACTGGAATTCAATTATGTAAATACAAAAAAAACAATTTATTGAATAATTACATGTTTCTTAAAATTGAATTCTCATAAAAAGGATGTTATCAATAAATTTTTAAATAATTGAATTATTTTGACGAATTTTAATAAAATTTTTAAGAATAATTCCTTTTTCGAGAAATATTCGATTACTTAAAATTGTATTAAAATTAATTGAAATTCTGCAATGAGATTTATTATTTATGAAAATAATTAAATTCCTAAAAAAAATTTTATTATTTACGAAAATAATTGAATCACTGTAGAAAGTTTATTATTTATCAAAATAATTTAATTATTGCAAAAAAATTTATAAAAAATTTGTAAATAATTGAATTCTTTTGGAAAATTTTATTAAAATAGTAGATATTAAAAATCATTGTATCTTGAGGAAAATTTTTGAAAATAATTGAATTTAGGAGAAAAATTTAATTATTTCTAAAGATAATGGAAATTTTGATGAGAAGTCTTTAAAATTTTTGAACAAATTTAATTTAAGTTTTTTAAAAGAATTAATTTCAAAATTCAATTAGGTATTTCTAAAACTTCACGCTATATTGCTTTTAATATTTAATTATTATCTAAAATTTTAACTGAAATTCATCTTTAAATCAATTTTTATTAGAAAATTCTACTAGAATTCAATTATTTAAATATAAATAAAATGCAAATAAATAGTTTATTGAGTAATTGAATTTTTCTTAAAATTCAATTCCCATTAGGAATTTTATCAACAATTTTACAAATAATTGAATTCTTTCGACGAGTTTTGATAAAATTTTTAAGAATAATTACATTTTTCGAGAAATATGATTAAAATTGTATTAAAATTAATTAAAATTCTGCAAAGAGTTTTACTATTTGTGAAAATAATTGAATCCCTAAGAAGAATTTTATTACTTTTGAACAATATTTTATTTTTGCGAAGAATATTATTACTCTTGAAAACAATTGAATTGAATTTACGCTCTAATGCTTTTCAAATTCAATGATAATCTAACATTTTAACTGCGATCCATTTTTAAATCAATGTTTATTGGAAAATTCTACTAGAATTCAATTATTTACATACAAAAACAATAATTTATTGAATAATTGCATGTTTCTTAAAATTAAATTCTCATAAGAATTTTGTCAATAAATTTTTAAATAACTGAATTCTTTTGACGAATTTTAATAAAATTTTTATGAATTTTTCCGAGGAATTCGATTAAAATTGTATTAAAACTTTAAAAATAATTGAAATTCTTAAATAATGAGTTTTATTATTTGTAAAAATAATTGAGTCTCTAAGAATTTTATTATTTACGAAAATAATTAAATCCCCGTAAAAATTTTATTATTTATGAAAATAATTGAATAATTGCTAAGAAATTTATAAAAAAAAATTTGTAAATAATGAAATTCCTGTAAAATTTTAATTATTTTTTTAAAATAATTAAAAGTTTATGTAGAATTTCATTAAATTTTTTTTAAATAAATTGAATTCTTTTAGAAAATTTTATGAAAATAGTAGATATTGAAAATCATTAAATTGAGGAAAATTTTTGTAAATAAATGAATTTCAGAGAAGAATTTAATTATTTCTAAAGATAAGGGGCCGTACACATAATACGTCACGCGATTTTTGACCATTTTTAACCCCTCCCTCCCCCTATGTCACACTTCGTCACAAACCTTGAACCCCCCCCCCTCCCCCTATAACGTCACGTCACACACGTAAATTTTAATGTGAATTTTATACATTTGACATTATATATTATATCCTACACTCAAAATTATTGAATCAGTTAAAAATATTTTTTTCTGACAATTAGTTAAAAATAACTGATGTTTCAATACAATTTTTTTTTATTGATTCATTTAGTCACGTTTAACTACCTACATATCACCGAAACTTTCCTAAAAATTTATTAAAGATTTACTCGCAAGCTTCGAAATATTTAAATGCAAAGTTTAGTGAAAATTGTGTAAAGATTTAAATATCCCACTTCAATAAATGTTTAACGCGAAACTTTCCTGAAAATATTCACGAAATTATAGTCGAAAATGTAATTAAAATGTTCAGGAATGTTTCAAGCTATATTTTTAAGAAAATTTGACGATAAACATTTATTGTAGTAAAAAATTTAAATCTTTACACAATTTTAACTAAACTTTGCAAGTAAATTTTTTGAAGTATATGCAAGCAAATCTTTAATATACATATTTAGAAAAGTTTCGGTGTTTTGTGGATAATTTTTCAGTTATTTTTTTAACTGATTCAGAAGCAAAAAGTCAGTCACTGCTGATTGTCAGTTAAAACCAAGATTTTTAACTGATTCAAATTAAGAGAATATATTATTTATCATATTATATTATAAATAATAAATCAATAGATGTTAAATAGGTACATAATAGATATTAAATAGTTTAAAGCATTTTTAACTTGTTTTATTTAGAAAAAGTGACATTGTCACATATAATTTCTTATAATCTTTGAATTTAAAAGATTGTGACGTAACACATGAGTTCACCCCCCCCCCTCCCCCATGTCACACTTAGTCACAATTCTCAGACCCCCTCCCTCCCCCTAGCCGCGTGACGTATTATGTGTACGGCCCCTAATTGAAATTTTTGTGAGAATTTAAAAAAAATAATTATTGAATTTTTGCGAAGAATTTTATTACATTTGAAAATAATTGAATTTCTGCAATCATTTGTAATTTCTCTCAAATTCTCCAAATTGTAAAGTACAATTTACGAATTCTCAAAAATTTCAAATTCAAAGTCAAACCTTTTGAAATTCAATAACTTATAAGAATATTATTACAATCTAAAACTTAATGAAATAATTTCTAAAATGCCCCCCAAAAAATGTTGATTCGAATTAACAAGCAGAAAAGACAGAATAAATTATCTCAACTATTCTGCAACGTATTCGCATAAAATAGTATATATGTAAATACATTTAGCGCAGCAAGAATATATAGTTGAAATAAATTGATGAAAATATGAATTTTATATCTAGGCGAATATTGAAATTAATGGAAATATTTTGCAGGCTTCGAGCGAGAGTCAGGTTTATGAATGCTTATCAAGTTCTCCGGAATGTGATTCGAGTCTTGAATTACGCCATGGGAACGGAAATCATGCAACTGCTAAAAGAAAATCCGACAGCAGTGCTTTGGAGTCAAATGTGGAGTTCAAGTACCATCAACCAACGTTCACCAGGTCAACTTCCCTGCCATATTGTGGTAGCGAAACCGAAAGTGAACTCTACGCTCCCTACAGCTTCTATACCAATGACGAAGTAAGATTCCTTTAATTATATCATCATAAATGTGAATGAATTCCTAAATTTTATCATCATTCACTGTTATACATAAATTTTATAAACAATAATGAAAAATAATTAAAAATGTATTATTATAGACTGAAAAAAAGAATTTATTTGATTCAAATAAACGATTACCTGACTCAAATAAATTTTTTCAGTGTATAAATTACTCAGCATAATTTGGAGTTTTTGCTTTTGGATTAGTAAATTTTACTAATTAATTAATAGAAATGACTATTTATTAGTAAAATTTACTATGAATAAGTAATGAATATATTTATTATAAATTAGTATGTAAATTTTACTAATTAGTAGAAATTACTATTTATTAGTAAAATTTACTAATTCAAAAGCAAAAAATCAGTCACTAATCCAAATTAGTAAACATTTTTACTAATTTAAATTTTGAGAGTTATTAATATTACTACTAATCCATTTCATTATCAGGGTCCTGAAGATGATCAAGATTGGAAAAACAAGGATGATGAATCTAGAGTTAGTCGTTTGAGACAAAGAAGAGGTCGAAGTATTGTTCACCGAAGTTTGGAGGACAATTACGGAGCAGTCGTTGTAGCCAATCATGAAGCATTAGCGCAATTTTTGGAACACGTAAGTTTCCACTATTATCTACTAAATCTATTTCTAAATTTTTCTTCTTTTCTTATTTCTACTTTTTTTATTCTCTATTATTTCTACTTTTCTTTATTAATTAATTTCTGATAATTAATTTTAAGGCAAATTATTGACAATAATTATTAGTTTATCAAACTTTATTGACAAATTAAATTAAATTAAGTTAAATTAAATTTCTAAACTAAAATTTGCCCTTTCGACTATATATATAAATTTTTATTCAAAATAAAATTGAAAGGAATTTAAAAAATTTGAAAAGCGATAGTTTTGCAATAATGTCGAGTTATTAAAGTTGCGTGGATAAAATAAAGAGGTTTACAAAAGTGAACTAAGTTGTTGGCGACTTGAATACACAAGTACACGCAAAACTGCTGTAACTTATGATTATAGTGATTGGACATTGCCAACGTAAACCTTGCAATACGATAAAAAATTTCTTTCGTTTGATATTGCGTTAGCAAAATTTTATATCACATGTTATCATCAACAGGTGTCACTGTGCAATGTAAAATACATCATAAAACTTCATTTACAAACATTACACTGAACAAAAATTTGATTCAAATATCTGATTACTAAAATCATTTATCAAATAAATATTTAACTTAAATCAAATAATTTTCACTTAAATCGAATAATTTTTTTGAAACCAAATAATTTTTACTGTAGCAAAAAAAAAAATACAATTTATTTGATTTCAATCAAGATAAATTTTATTTGAATTTTGAACCAATAATTTAATTGAAGTTATTTTGGTGATATTTAAAGCAAATATAATTGATCAAAACTATCATTTAAATGACTTAGATAAAAATTATTTGCTACAAAAAAAATTAATTTGATAATAAACAAGTAATCGTTTATTTACTTTCTAAATTTGAATCAGTAAAAATATTAACTAATTTGAATTAGTGACAGATTTTTGCTTTAGTAAATTTTAATAATAAATTAGCAGAAATTACTATTTATTAGTAAAATTCACTAATTCAATTTAAGGGGATAAAAAAGGGGAAAAAGTAACTAACTAAATATTAGCAACAATTTTTGGGGTGTCTACTATTTTCGTTCAACAAAATTCCCGGCTTTGTCCTAATTTTTCACGTTTTTTTTTCTTATCAGATTTAAATTTATTTGATTTCAAACATAAATAAATCTACAAATGGCTTCCAAATTTTTTATTAGAGTTTTTATGAATAATTAAATTCTTTTGAACAGTTTCTTTAAATTTTTTGAAAATAATTGATTCGTAGAGAACAATTTAATTATTTTTTTTTTTTTGAAATTTTGAGGAGAATTTAAAAAAATTTTTAAACATAATTGAATTTCTGCGAAGAATTTTATTACTTTTGAAAATAATTGAATTGTTTTTTAGAATTTTATGGAAAATGAAAATAATTGAATTCTTGTGAAGAATATTTTTTAAAATTAATATTCAAAAGAATTTAGTAAATCTGAAGAATTTTGCTATTTATGGAAATAATTGAATTCTTGAGAAGATTTTTTTTCAGTTTCTAGAAATAATTGAATCCTTTCGACGAATTTTAATAAAATTTTTTAGAATAATTACATTTTTCAAGGAATTTGATTAAAATTGTATTAAAAATAATTGAAATTCTGCAATGAGTTTTATTATTTATAAAAATAATTGAATATATTGCGGAGAAATTTTTAAAAATAAAATTATAATTACGGTGACTAACTTCCCTTGATTATTTTCGAAAAATTTAAATAAAATTCTTTAATAGAAGTTAATTATTTTTAATAGAATGTAAAGAAATTTCAATTATTTCAAAAAATTTCAATTATTTGTTTATAAAAATTCAATTATCTTGAATTAATAGAATTGAAAAATTTCAAAAATCTTATTTTTCAGAATTTTTAAAAAAACTTTGCGAAAATTCAACTTTATTAAAAAAATTTGAGTGTGTATCTTTTTTTAAATTGAGTGATAAAAATTTTAACTATTAATCTTCGCACAAAGAAACATGAATATACATTAGAATGTGACTCTTTATAAAATTCAATTATTTATCAATTATTAAATTAAAATACTCTGAAAATTCGATTTGTTAAAAAGTTTTTAACGAAACTTTTCAATAAATTTTATTATTTTCAGTTGAATTTCACAAAATTTCTATGAATTCTATGAATTTTTTAAAAAATTTATTTACATACTATATTTGAATCAGTGACTGATTTCTTTACTGTCAAATTAATTATTTTTAACTAATTCAAATTTAGAAAACAGTATAAGTATCTACTAAAATTTAAATAAAAAGTGATTTTTTAAAAACAAATTAAAATAATAAAATTTTTTCTAATTTGGTGAAAAAATTCCCGGTTTGGCATAAAATTTATGGCTTATTCCCGGGTTTTCCCGGTTAAATTAAACTCCCGGCTATTTCCCGATTAGTAGACACCCTGAACAAATAAAAATTATCAACGGCATTTTTATCAACCGAATAGTAATCCTAATTTCTCTCAGTGGATTTATTTTATTATTTCTTATGCAAATAAATAAATAAATAATTATATTTATTTTCTATAATTTATTTTAGTAAAATTAATAAATTTTTTAACACAATTAATATTATATTCCAGTTAAATTTAGCATCACCCCTATCGCTAGGCCTACGAGGACTGAAGAATGCAAATCTGCGATTCAGCGATTTTACTTTAGACTCCGCCTCGTCTATTACTGTTGGGAAAAGGATATTTTATTCCGCAACGTGGAACGATCAAAATGTCACTATTTGCATAGCTTTCAATCCAACTATGCACGTTTCGAGAAAGGATTTCTATCTAGCGCCTATAGTCGAATTTATAGATGCTGTGCCAAAGGAAATTTCTGAAAAGATGGGTTACACTGGACGGAAAACAATCGAAGGTTTGCTCCTTTTTCACATTATAGATTATATATGCACTATATGGAGATTCATATCAAAATTGATAACATTTTTTCTTTATGGAAATTATAATGAAACATTATAACGTTTTTTGACTTTGTAGACAATGGAATAAAATTTTAACATGTTTTAACATGTTTTAATTGTAACATGTTTATACACAGTTTTGGAGATATCAAATTGAAGACAAAAAACGTATCAAAATTGTTGCAGAATTGCAATTTTGCAACAATTTTGATACGTTTTTCGCCCTCAATTTGATATCTCCAAAAGCTGTGTAGACATTAAAATAAAAATTTACATTTTCTTTTTACTTTTATCAGCAACAATATCAGTATTGCCTCGCCTGCAAGTGAACACTATTCACACTTTTGGTGCAATGACAAAAGACACAATTGACGAAGGAACAACGAAAGACTCCTTCTTTGTTCTGTTGCAATTCGTAAACGCTTTGAAAAATCTCCAGGCTCGTGGTATCGAAGAATCGCCTAAGAATTTGAGCAATGTCGTGCTTTGCCGAGAAGATAAGGACGCTTGTTACAGGATTTATCTGCTTCAAGGGTAAGAAAAATTTCTATTTCTCTATGTACACTACAAAAAAACCCCTTATTTGCGATCCTACGATATTTATTTCTGTCCCTATTAGTGAATTTTGAGAAATACAAGAAAAAATAAAGCTGCAAATATTTACATATCATGTAAATAGCAACGTAAATAACGAAATGTAAAAATCAATTTTTTTTTCTCAAATTTTTGAAAGGGACGAAAAGATAGAGGAATATAAAAAATGGGAAATAATGCCAATGATTAATTAAATAATTCCTTTGGAATTTCTCTAAAGTGAGAAGAAGCGATCATTTACAGATAACACGTAAAATAAATTCCACATCCGCTGGACCGTAGAAATGTGATTTTATTTTCTCAATTTGCAGATTAAACGTTGATAGCGGTGAAGAATGTGAAGAGAAAATGGCTTCGTTGTGCCAATGCGCCCTTCTTGCACTACAGGAATTGCATCTCACTAATAAACTGCCTCTCGTTAGGGAGTTGCTCACGAAGGAGAAGGCAGAAACTCTGTCACAGGTAAAATAAATTATTCAGCTTTTGTATTAAGAAACTAAAAGCATTCCATATATTGAGCCGAATTTCCCTGAAACTCATTAATTCCAACTTTTATAAAAACAATATTTTCCATTTACCAGAATTTTATAAAGCATAGAATCAATATTTAATCAAATTTAATTATCGCAAAATTAAATCTTTACTCTCTAGACACCAAATTAATAAAAATTAACTAACTCAATTAATAAACGAATTTGGAATTAAAAAATTTATAATAATTATTATTAATAGTAAAATTTTTATTTACAGAATAATTTTTTCTATTTCCGAAAAAAATTACAGTAAAAACTAAGGAAATTTACTTCGGACTTGGTAAAATTTTTAATTAAAGATTTTTAGAATAACTTCCACTATTTGCAAAGAAAATTTCTTTAGAAAAATTTACATCGCACTTTATAAAATTCTTTTAAAGATTGTAAATTTTATTATTGCAAATTTTTATTCTCTGAATAGTTTTCACTATTATCGAAGAAAATTTCTTTATAAAAATATGAAAAATTTACTTTAAAAATAGTAAAATCAGGGATAGACTTCTATTTTTTCTATTTTCCTAAAACACCTAAAATCATAAATTTTTCCTCCCCTTTTCCCCTTATTTTTGAGAAAAACTTGTAAAAATTGTCTTTTTTTGTAAGTTAGAAAATTTTTTAATTATGCTTGTAGAAAAAAATTTTTAATTTTCGCAAACTTTGGAAAAATTTTAGTATTCTGAAACTTAAAAATCTTTTTATACCTATTATTTTTCATATCTTTAAATATTTAGAAACTTTTTTCATAAAATGTTTTCATAATATAAAATAACTTTTACTTCGACTCGGAGTGATCAATATCTTCATGTTTTATAATAATTTAAACTTCCATAAAATTCAAATATTTTTACAATTAACACAAATTTCACATCAATTCAATTAATTAAAAAATATAATAAAATTCTTTGTAAGAATGCAATTATTTTCATAAATAATAAAATTTTTCATAGGATTTCAATTATTTTTAATAAAACTTTAAATGAAATTCTCGAAAAATGTAATTATTTTCAAAAATTTTTTGCAACAATTCAAATACAATTCATAAACAATGAAATTTATCGTTGAAATTCAATTATTTTCAAAATCTACTGTTGTCATAAAATTATTTTTTATGCAATTTTAAGTAAACTCCTCGAAAAATTTAATTAATTTTCAAAATTTTATTAAAATTCTTCGATAGAAATAAATTTACAATTATCAATTATTTATAATAATTTTTGCAAAAGTTCCTGGAAAATTTTCAAATACATTTGTTCACAATTCAATTTTACGAAATTTTGATTATTCGAATATTCTTCAATTAAATGTTTAGAAAATAAAAACTTGAAATAATTTCAAAAAAAAATTTTAATTAAACTTTCTCAAAATTCAATTATTTCTCAAAATTCTTTAAAATTCTAACTGAAATTCAATTTTAAACCAATTTTCACTAGAGAATATTCTACGAGAATTCAATTATTTAAATACAAAAATAAATAATAATTTATTAAATAAATGAATGTTTTTCAAAACTGAATTCTCATAAAGAATTCGAGGAAAACTGTATTAAAAATAATTGAAATTCTATTATTAGTTCTTTAACTCATGAAAATAATTGAATCTTTGTAAAAATCTTTATTATTTATAAAGGTAATTGAATTATTGCGAAGAAATTTACAAAAAAAATTGGTAAATAGTTGAATTCCTGTGAAATTTTTATTGTTTATAAAAATAATTTCATATTTGCGTAGAATTTTATAAAAATATTTTTCGCAAATAATTTAATTTTGAAGAAGCATTGTATTATTTTTAAAGATAATTAAAATTTAGACGCTAATTTTTTTAAAGTGAACATAATTGAATTTTTCAAACATTGGTAATTTCTCTAAAATTCAATTTTTTTTGTGTTTTAACTATAATTCTTCTATAAATCCATAATTTTTAATAATTAATTAAATATATATTAAAAAATTGAATAAAACTAATTTAAGAAAAATTTTGATTATTAAAATATTTCAAAAATCTAAGTGCTTCAAATTTTTTAATTAAATTCATTAAAAATTGAAATTAAAACTTTTTGAAGTTCATTTATTTATTAAAATTGTAAACGCAACTCTTTCAAAATTTGAATTAATTTTTAAATATTTAAATAAAATTATTCGTTAAATAATTTACCAAAATAATTTTGTAATAGTTCTTGAAGAATTAAGTTATTTAAAAAGAAATTACTGTCAAAAATATAATAATTGGAGGTTTTTAATTAAAATTCGTGCGGTAATTTCATAGTTTACGAGTCCAACAAAAAAGACACCAAAAGTCGTAATTTTCTTATGAATTCTAAAAATTCAATTTTTTCCAGTACTTTTAATAAAAATCTCTGACTTTTCCCTGAATTCTCTGATTTCCCTGACCTGTGGCAACCCTACAGAAATGTCTAACTAAATGATTAGTACAAATATTACTATTTGAATCAGTAACTAATTTCGTTCTTCAAAATCAGTTATTTTTATACTTAATTCAAATTTAGGGAGTAGTTATTGACTAAAAATTAGTCAAAAAGTTTAATAATTCATTTAATTAACAAAATGGTCCTATTTTATTAGTCAAAAGAAACTAATTAATAGAGTAAATAAAACGCAACCGTTGAATTAATATCGCAAAAAATATTTTGAAAACAAATTGATTTTTTTTTCAGGTAAAATCACTACTGGAATTTTCGCTTTGGGGACCGGCTGACGTAACACTAGGCGGACCACGAGAAAGAGAAACTGCTCTCCAAAGATGGTTGGATCTAGAAAGAGCAACAGTTCTTCATGCTTTGGTGAGGACAAGAGCTCCTCTAACAGTAACGGACGAATACCATCTCTTCTTCCTAGTTCATACAACTTCAAAAACTATGTGCGAGGCTTCCATTCATCTAGATAAGCAACGAAATGGCTTAATGCGAACAAATTAATAATATTTATGCAAAATTCAAAAAAGAAGCATTCATATCATTGTCAAAAAATACTGCTCAAAACAAAATTTTTTTTCATTTATAAAGAGATTTTTATCACATTCATTAATGTATTACTACTGTAAAAAAAATATTTAAAAACAAATGTAATATTAGAGAGGGAGTATATTATAGTGTTTATAATTATATTTTCTTTAGAGACACTCGAATTCATTGCCCCTGGTGTCGTGTAGAGTAAAAGAAAAATGTCCCATTATGTTGTTAGGTGATAATTTGTTAAAAAAAAATGCTCAAACGTCGAACAAAAAAAAATTATGAACTCACATTGTTTTGTCTTTAATTTAAAAATTATTTCGCGATTCGTTTAAATTTCGTTTGTAATGTAACAAAAGAATATGCGTGTTTAGTTGAAAATCACTTTGTCTTGTTCGTAAAATGTTTTTTTTAAACAATTACAATAATGCTAATTTACTTTTGTACATTTGAATATTTCCAGCATGACAAGTTTATCGGATATTATTTAAATACATTGTGTCATTTATACATTATAAAATACTCAATGAATTGTTTATAAAATTGTCATTAATATGATATTAACGATATTAATGTTGTTATTAATGAGAATACCATAATTAATGTTTTGTACATAATAAAATTGTTATTAATGAAAATTACCCGATGGAAATTTGTATCTTATTTGAATACACTTTGAATATTTTACTTTTCTTTAGTAAATAGCTAATGAATATTGATTGAATTATAATAAATATAAACAAACTCTCTAATTTTAAATTAATAAAAATGTTTACCAATTTGAATTAATGACTGACTTTTTGCTTCAGAATTAGTAAATTTTACTAATAAATAGTAATTTCTACTAATTTATTTGCAAAATTTATTAATTAAACACCAAAAAGAAAGTCACTAATATTCAAAATAGTAAACAATTTTACTAATTCAAATTTAGAGAGTATGAAATAAATATATATAATAAATTAAAATACAATATAATGAGACACTAATTAATAATAAAATGATTACTAAATCATTGGGTTGACAACTTTTCAATATTTACTAATTTTCTTGCAGAATTTCGCTAATTGATACTCTCTAAGTAGCTATCCAAAATTAAACTTGACGACCAAAAAAACTGGTTTTAGCCACTTTACAAAACTGACGAAACTTTCATTCTATATTTTATTTTCCTGACTTTTTTCTAATTTTCATCAAAAATATTTACTTCTTTCTTATCCCGTTAATAAATTAAAATTCCTGCAACGGATATTTTATTATTCATGAAAGAATTTAAATATTTATAAAAATAATTTAACTCTTGCGAAGAATTTTATAAAAAATTTTCAAATAATTGATTTCTTTCGACTAATTTTATACTAATTCTAATTTAAATAATTGAATTCCTGAAAAATTCTGTTTGGAAATTTTATGAAAATAGTAGATACTAAAAATTATTGAATTGCGAAAAGCTTTTAAAAATAATTAAATTTTACAAAGAATTTTATTAAAATTTTTGCCAATAATTGAATGTTTGTGTGGTATTATGTTAAATTTTTTTTAAAAATATTTTAATTCTGAAAAAGCATTTTATTATTTATGAAAATAATTGAATTTCTTGCGAACGATTTTATTAGAATTGTTGAAAATAATTGAATTTCCAAGAAGAAATATATTACTTTTAAAAATAATTGAATTTTGCAAAGAATTGTACTAAAATGCCTCAAAATAATTGAATTTTCGGCAATAATTTTGTTATTTATCGACATAATTGAATTCTTTCGAAGAATTATTTATGTAAATAATTGAATTCTAGGGAAGAATTTTATTAAAATTTTCAAAAATAATTAAATTCCTGAAAATAATTGAATTATTGAAAAAAATTTTATTAAAATGTTTAAAAAGAATCGAATTTTTGTGAAAAATTTTGTTATTTTGGAAAATAATTGAATTCTTTATAAGAATTTTGTAAACATTGTTTTAAATAACTAATTTTTTCGAAATACAACAAATATTATAAAAATTTTATTTTAAATAATTGAATTCTTGCAGAAAACTTTATTTATGAAAATAATTGTATTTTACAAAGAATTTTATTAAAATGCCTCAAAATAATTGAATTTTCGGGAATAATTTTGTTATTTATGTAAAATATTGAATTCTTTCGAAGAATTATTTATGTAAATAATTAAATTCTTGGGAAGAATGTTATTAAAATCTAAAAGAATAATTGAATTATTCCGAAGAAATTAATAAACATTGTTTCAAATAATTCATTTTTTCGAAATATAATAAACATTATGGAAATTTTAGTTTAAATGATTGAATTTTTGTGGAAAACTTTAGTTGTGAAAATAATTGAATTTTTCAATTAATTAATTCAAAATAGTTTATAAAAATAATTAAATTCTTGCTGAGAATTTTATCAAAATTTTTTTTTTTTTAAATTGAATTTCCATGAAAAATGTTATTATTGGTGAAAGTAATTGAATTATTGTGAAGAATTGTATAAAAATTTTATTAAATAATTGTTTTTTTCGAATTTTTTTTAAAATTCTATTCTAAATTAATTGATTTCCCGTGGAAATTTTATTATTTATGAAAATAATTGAATTTTGGATGAATTTTATCAATTGTTTTTTAAATAATTGAATTCTTTTGCAAAATTTTATGAAAATACTAGATATTGAAAATAATTGAATTTCGAATATTTTTTGAAAATAATTGAATCGTTTTAAAGAATTTGATTATAATTTTTAAGAATAGATTTTTGATTTCTAGTATTAGCGAATTGAAACTAGTGGAAATTCTTAAAAAACAGAAATAGTAGCCTTTAGTGGGTGGAATCTAAAAAAGTTCCCAAATAGTAGCATAACGTAAAAAAAGTAGTAAATAGAAGGTTTTAGTAGATGAGTGCGAAGCCTGTAATTGTATAGCTCATTAGTAAAAACTAAAAAAAAAGTTTTGAGTACTTTTCGAAAAATAATTGATAGTTATTATTAGGAAATTAAATTTGAATTTAAGAATTGTTTTTTTAAGGTCTACATGAATAAGGGAGACAGAAAAGGTTGGTACGTATGCAAAAAAATTAACGTCTGCGCATTGAGAAGAATCTGTTTCCTCGCGAATCATATGGTTTCACAGCACATGCTATACTTTAATGCAGAATAAATATGCATGTCAATAAAAAAACACTCGATCAAATAAGGCAATGTCCAAATTACTGAATTTTTTTATCAAAGTCGCACAACTTATCAAATCTAGATTAGTTAAAACAAAATGATTAAACTTCACTCATTTAGGTATAGTGTTTCGTAAAAGAAAGAGCAGTATTATTTTACTAAATGTATTTTCTGTGTCAATTTAATAATTATAATTCTATTAGTTGAGAAAAAAAATTAAACAATGGAGGTGAGTTATTATTCACAAATAATATTATTTTAATAATGATTTTATTTTTTAACTAACCGAAAATTGGCAAGATTTTTTTCATTTAATTTTTAATCATTATATTAATAATAATTAAACTATGTTAATTTAACACTAAAAATTAAATTAACAATCACCTAATTCTACTTTTTAAATTTTAATTAGCAACAATGTTTACTAACGTGAATGAGTGACTGATTTTTTGCTTTTAAATTAAATTAGTAAATTTTAAATTACTAAATTTATTTTTTAATTTAGTAAAATTTACTAATTCGAAAGCAAAAAGTCAGTCACTGATTCCAATTAGTAAACATTTAAACTAATTCAAATTTAGAGAGTGCTGTTATATTTGCAAATGAGTCTATACTTCAGAAAACTATTTCATAAACAAAGTGTTTGAGTAAAAAATTAGCAATTTTTCTTTTTCGTCACTAATGAAAAAGTATTTTTCAGTACGAATTACTGTGGAAATTCGTGACTTATATTTATTACATTGGAGGATTATTGTTAATACTCAAAGTATACAATACTGTAACGGCAGGAGTATGTAAAACTGATAAACGATTGGATGGACAAGTTATAATCGTAACAGGCTCCAACACAGGTATACACAATTACTTCATAATAAATTAAAAAGGTTTCCCTATTGTAAATTCATTTCTTACGAAATTTAATTTGATTAATTTGTCATAAAGCATTGATATTATTTTTCCACTAAAAAATAGGTAACAGTTAAAATAATTCAAATTTAGAAAGTATAATTACGAATTACAATTATAAATTATAATCGTGATACTAATAATAATTTAATCATTTAAGGAATTGGTAAGACGGCAGCCTTCGATTTTGCAAAACGAGGAGCTAAAGTTATTTTAGCGTGCAGAGATCTGGTAAAAGCTCACAAGACCAAAGGTAATGTAACCTTCAACAAAATAATAAAAAAAAGTAATAAATAATAGTGCCAATATTTTTTAAACCAAAAACATAATTATCTTCTTCTTTTTTCAATTCACAGACGAAATTGTGGAAATTACGAACAATAAAAATGTCGTGGTTCGACATTTGGATTTATCATCGCTAAAAAGTGTAAGACAATTTGCAAGTGAAATAATTGCCACAGAAAATAGATTGGATGTCCTAGTTAACAATGCAGGCCTGGGAGGCATTGTTGACAAGAAAACCGAGGACGGCCTCGAATGGGCCTTACAAGTCAATCACTACGGTCACTTTTTACTGACAAATTTATTAATTGGTAAATTACAATAATTGTAAATTACAATTATCACTTATGCACAATAAACTGAAAAAAAATTTATCTGATTCAAAGTAACAAATATTTACAAGAAACAAATAATTTTTACTTAAGTCAATTAAATTTTTTACTTGAACCATTAATTCCATCATTTGCAGCAAATATAATTTAATTAATTTAAATAAAAATTATTTGACTCAAGTAAATATTTATTTAATAATAAACAAGTAAGCGATTACTTGAATCAAATAAATTTATTTTTCAGTTTATTATTGTCATTATTACTATCATCATCATTCTAATTGTTATCCTCGTTGTTATTATCAATTTAAATTAAATTTAAAGAAATATTTAAGCGACAATTGAATTTAATTAAACAAATTAAATTTAATTTAAAGAATATTTAAGAGATAATTAAATTTTTTTCACAGATTTGCTTAAAAAGTCAGCACCTAGTCGAATTGTTCACGTGTCATCAATGATGCACTGGCTGGGACGCTTAGATTTTGATAATATGAATTTTGAAAAAGGAATAAATGGTTTTATGATATATAACGTCAGTAAATTATATAACATAATAGGAAGTAACGAATTTGCAAGACGATTAGAAGGAACTGGTAAGACAGTATCAAAATATTGTTCAAAATTCAGGGTGTCCAGCGATTCTTTAAAAAAAAATTCAAAGACTTTTCAAGGTTTTCAAGGTCCAAAATAATTTTTTTCAAGGTCCATTTTTAGGATACTAATTTTTAAAATATCAAGTAAATTTTTTACTTACTGTCTAAATTTGAATTAGTAAAAATGATTACTAATTTTATTTAGTGACTGACTTTTTGCTTTTGAATTAGTAAATTTTACTAATAAATAATCATTTCTACTAATTCAAGATTATAGAGTACTTATAAACAATTTTATAATTTCCACATACAACAGTTATTTATAAATAACTTTAAATACAATTTATTAATAAAATATTAGAAATATAAAGAACATCGATTTCAGAAACATCAATCAAAATTGTTTTTAAATAATTGAATTCTTTTGAGAATTTCTATTAAAATAATTGATGTACAAATTATTGAATTAACAGAAATTTTGGAAAATAATTGAAATTTTGCAATGAATTTTATTAAAATTTTTGAAAATAATTGAATTACTGCGAAGAATTTAATGACTTTTAAAATAATTGATTGATTAAAATAATTTTTGAAAATAATTGAAATTTTGCAATGAATTTTATTAAAATTTTTGAAAATAATTGAATTTTATTACTTTTGAAAATAATTGAATTACTGCAAAGAATTTAATAGCAAATTTTAAAATAATTGATTTTTGCGAAAAAAATTATGAAAATTCTATTTTAAATAATTGAATAAATGTTATTAATAAAATTTTATTGAAATAGTAGAATATTGAAAACCATCAAAGTAAGAAAATTTTTTGAAAATAATTGAAATTTTGCCATGATTTTTATTAAAATTTTTGAAAATATTTTAATTCTTGTGATGAATACTATTATTTACGAAAATAATTGAATTTTGCAATGAATTTTATTAAAATTCCTCAAAATAATTTAACTTTGTCGAAGATTATTGTTATTTATTTCTAAAGATAATTGAATTGTTCACCACAATTTTTAAAATTTTTTGAAAATAATTGAATTTATTTTTAAAGTAATTGAATTCTTGTGGTGAATATTGTTTATTTATGAAAATAATTGTAATTTCGGCGAAGAATTTTTATATTTATAAAGATAATTGAAATATTGGAGAACATCAAGAAAATAAATCTCATTTTTAAGAATTTTAATTTTTCAAGATATGTCTTAAAATTCAAGGTGTTTTCAAGGTTTTTAAGGTTTTCAAGGTAGCTGGACACCCTGAAATTGTAATTGATTTTAATTACAGTGAAAATTCATTTGATTGACAATTTATTTGATTCAAATAAATGATTACTTTTCTACTGTCAAATAAATATTTTTTTGATACTATATACAAAGTAATTATTTATTTGAATGAAATGAATTTTTGTCAGTGTCTATTAATTAATAATTAATTAATTATTTAATATTATGAAATATGATTAATGAGAATTATTCTCAATTCAGGTGTAACGTCAAACAGTTTACATCCAGGCATTGTACATACAGAAATAATGAGAGAGGTTCCTTTCCTAATAAGACAGTTTGTAAATAAAATGTTACAACTATTTTTCAAGGTAAATTAAATTTTTCACAGCACAAAATAAAATCTCTATTTATCATAAATTGAAACTCTTCTAAAGTATAAATATTGACAACTCTTTAATCCTATTTACCACAGTCACCGGAGGAAGGAGCCCAAACCACTATTTATCTAGCAGTTAATGACGAAGTAACAAATGTATCAGGAAAATATTACTCCGATTGTCAGGTATATAAATATTTATTTTCCTTTATCTTATGTATAAAAAATTTCTACCTGTACTAAATCATTTCCACTGCTCAACATTTTCAGGAAGCATACTCATCATCAATCACAAAAGATAAAGAAGCAGGCAAGAAATTTTGGGACAAATGCTGTGATTTTGTGCATCTTAAACCAGAAGAAAGATTTATTTAACACTTATGTTTCATAACAGTTTTATCTTTTTTATAATAAATTTAAAGTACAAAAAAATTTAACAAATTCTGTAATGTAATCGTTATTATTAATGTTAAGTCATAATCTATGGCCACAAAACTCATTCTCCAAATTCCCTGATTTTTCGCTGACTAATCTTTTTTTCCCCTAACAAAAATATTTGTGGACTCTATCGATTAAAATTCCCTGACATACGACGACCCTGCTATCCTTTTTGGTATACTAAGAAAATAAATTATTTGGGATGTTTTTTCTTTACATCAATTTATAATATTTACTTATTTTTTGCAAAAAAAAACTAATGGCAAAAACTACAAAAATATATTACCTAATATAAAATTGAATATTAACTTTATTCGAGATATAAAAAACATTCGTCCATATTGACAATGATAAAAAAAATTGTCTTCTAGAAAATCGACTTTGTGCAATGTTTTTCTCGAAGTTTATTTTTATTTGTATTGCAACTCGATCGCCCTTGCTTGACAAATGGCTGCTACTTGATAGAAAAACCTTCTTTTAGTTGGTTAATTAATTGGTGATATTCACGTCAGGCAGTGAAGTTCATCAGAATATTCCATTCGTTTCAAAAATCTGCCAATAAATTTTCTATTTTCAACAGCAGCAGATGATCCACCAACAATCCGTTAACTCTTTTCACTGATACAATTAGAGCAAAAAAAAATCTTCTGCACTATTGCAAACAAAAATAGTTTATTAAGTTTCTTCCTTCGAACTCGATGTCCCTTCTTCAATAAGATTATCAACTTCACAAACAATTTCTTCAATTTCATCATTTTTTTGTGTTTCACTATCATTCATCGTAAATAAACGATCACGTCTATCGTACAGATCACTTTCCTCAAAAATTATTGCCAATAAATCAGAAAATTCATTTATTTCCGGATTATTGATTTCTAATACTCGATCAAGAGATATTCTTTCATTTTTTTTAATGCTTAAATGTTTGTTTCTTTCTAAAAATGATTGAATCCACTGTTTTCCAGCCATTTTTGAATTATCGTCGAAATTGTGTTTTATATTTAATTTTGTTGCCAACTGATAAGCCATTCTCCGTATATCCTTGCCTATTTATGAAATAAAAATATTAGAAGTAGGCTTTTTTATAACTTCCACTACTCAATAATAATATTGCTAATTTAATAATAATAATAATAATGATAATTTAATAAATAATAATTTAAATTTACCAAATAATAGTAAATCTATTTAATATTTAATTACCTACTATTATTTAATTAATAATACTAATCATAATTTTACTAAAATTAATAGGGTGATTAAAATTAAACAGGGTTGCCACAAAATTTTAATTTTGTTTTTCCCTGACTTTTCTCTGATTTCCAGAAAAAATATTCTCTTTTTCCTTGACCCTGAAGAACATCAATAATATCTTTTTTAAATAAATATTTAATCATTATTATTTTTCTATATAGGAATTAAGATTCTTAAATTCAACAAAATATAATAAAGATGACAAAGTGATAAAATCATTATTTTATCATCAGAATATTGTAACTATAAATTCAAACTTTCAAAGATTTTAATTTTAACCCTTTTCAAAATTCAATTATTTCTAAAAATTCACGCTATAATGCTTTTATTATTCAATTATAATTTAAAATTTTAACTAAAATTAATTTTTAAATAAATTTTTATTAGAAATTCTCCTAGAATTCAATTATTTAAATACAAAAATAAATATTTTATTCAATAATTACATATTTCTTAAAATTTAATTTTCATGACGAATTTTATAAAAATTTTTAATAATAATTGAATTCTTTCGGCGCATTTAAATTAAAGATTGTAAAAATAAATGCAATTTTCTATCATTTTATTAAAAATTGTATAAAAAATAATTGAAATTCTGCGTTAAGTTTTGTTATTTGAAGGGCTACATAAAATAAGGGGACGAACGCGTGGTTGAAAGGGATAATATCAGTCAGTTAGCAGCGAGCGGCTCAAGGCTTGTCACTGCTACCCGACTGGTAGTATCCCTTCCAAGCCTCGCGTTCGTCCCCTTATTTTATGTAGCCCTTCATTTATGAAAATAATTGAATTCTTGCAACGAATTTTAATAAAAAATTTTTTAAGGAACTGAATTCCTGTGAAGAATTTTATTTGTAAAAATAATTGAATTCCGGAGAAAAATATTAGGTATTATTTATGAAAATAATTAATTTCTTATAAAGAATTTTATTCAAATTTTTTTAAATAATTGAATTTTTCAGAATTTTTAAAAAGTTTTCAAAATAATTAAATTTCATCAAGAAATTTCATTTAAAAAATAAAAATAATTGAAATCTAATAAAGAATTAAAAAAATTTTTTTTTAAATATAATTGAATTCCTGTGAAAATGTTTATTTTTGAAAAGAATTGAATTCTTGGAAAGAATTTTATTAAAATTTCTTAAATAATTGAATTGCTTCAAAGAATTTTTATTTTTTATGAAAATAATTGAATTTTTTAGAAAATTTTTACAAACATTTTTGACAATAATTGTATTCCTAGGAAGAATGTTGTATTTTATAAAAATAATTGTATTCTATGACTAATTTTATTAGAATTGTTTAAATTTATAAAGCATTTAATCAAATTTTTTTAAATAATTGAATTCCCATAAAAAATGTATTATCTGGGAAAATAATTGAATTCTTAAGAAGAAGTGTATTAAAAATAATTGAATCGTATAGGAAAATTTTATTAAAATTGAAAATTCTCTGAATATATTTGAATACTTTGGAGAAACTTTATTAAAAAAATTAAAAATAATTGAATCAATTAAACCATTAAAAAAATTAATTTCACATAATTGTTAGTTAAAATTTTAATTTTCCAAGATTTTAATTTGAAACCTTTTTGGAATTCAATTATTTTTAAAAATTTTATACTAGTAATGCTTTTAATATTCAATTATTGTCTATAAAATTTTAACTGAAATTTATTTTTAAACAAATTTTTATAGAAAATTCAACGAGAATTCAATTATTTAAATACAAAAATTAATAACCTATTGAATAATTGAGTTTTGCTTTAAATTCAATTCTCATAAAGAATTTTATCAACAAATTTTTAAGAATAATTAAATTTTTTCAAGGAATTCGATTAAAACTGTATTAAAAATAATTGAAATTCTGCAATGAGTTTTATTATTTATAAAAATAATTGAATTCCTAAAAAGAATTTTATTGTTTATAAAAATAATTGAATCTTTGTAAAAATTTTATTATTTCTGAAAATAATTGAATCTTTGTAAAAAATTTAATTATTTTTGAAAATAATGAAATTATTGCAAAGAAATTTATAAAAAAAATTGTAAATAATTGAATACCTTGTGAAATTTTGATTATTTTGTGATAATAATTAAATGTTTGTGCAGAATTTTATTAATTTGTTTTAAATAATTGAATTCTTTTGAAAAATTTTATTAAAAGAGTAGATATTAAATATAATTGAAATTTGGAAAATTTTTGAAAAAAATTGAAATTTGGCCAAGAATTTTATTAAAATTTTTCAAAATAATTGAATTTCAGAGAAAAATTTTATATTATTTATAAAGGTAATTGAAATTTTGACGAGGATTTTAAAACATTTTAGAACATAATTGAATTTATGCGAAGAAGTTCATCACATTTGAAAATAATTAAATTTCTGTTATCGGTTGTTCTTAAAATTTCTATTTAAATTCATTAAAAATTGATATTTTCTAAAATTTCAAATTGAAACCTTTGAAGTTTATCTATTTATGAAGATTGTAAACGCAATTTTTTTGAACTCCAATTAATTTTGAAATTTTTAAGTAAAATTATTCATTAAATAATTTAAAAGTAATAATTTTATGATAGTTCTTCAAGAATGAAGTTATTTAAAAAGAAATTATTGTCAGAAATAGAAAAAATTGAACGGTTTGTATTGGAATTCTTGTCAATTTCATAGTTTATGAGGTAAACAAAAAAGACACAAAAATTCAGAATTTTCTTATAAATTCTAAAAATTTAATTTTTTCCAGTACTTTTAATAAAAATCCCTGACTTTTTCCTGACTTCCCTGACTAATTCTAATTTCTCTGACTTTTCCATAAATTCCCTGACTTTCCTGACTTGTAGCAACCCTGTTAAAATAGCATTTTCATTAATAATTTTTAGTCCCTAAAAAATCTCGATAAATTCCAACAACAAAAAATCAAAATTAGTAGGATCAAAAATGCCATTTTAATTTTTTTAATTTAATAATATCCTTACGAGAACAAGGGAATCCAATTTTCTCAAGAGTTTCTACGAGATTCGCTAATTTCTTTTCGTTTTCGAATCCGAGAACTGGTCCTTTGCCTAGACCATTTATTGTGAAGTCAGCCTTCTTTATACGTCGACCTAGTGTACGTGGAGGAATACCGAAGGCTTTAGCTGCTGCTTTTAATCGCATTGTGTTTGATTCAACAGCTTTTGCTGCTTTTCTTATTGACTCCTCTGTCCACGTTGGGATTCTCGGTGTCACACCTTCTTTTCGCTTGTAAATTCTTGGCATTCTATAATGACATAACCAATTTTAGTACAAGTAGCACTTATATTTTTACTCTTAATATTCAATATTCACCCAATAAATTTATATTTCTATTAATTATGATAGATGTTGATGGATATTTGTACTTACATGACAAATAAAAATCGATAAACTTAGATTAACTTAACAACACTGTATATAGAATTGCAATAAATATTTACTACAAGCACAAATATTTGTATGTCTTTTCCATGCACAAAATCAACAACAATCAACAACTCACAACAGCTGCGCGACAAATCCTTTCAAAAACTGCTGGCAGTAGGTAAGTTAGGCAACGATAGAGAAACACACAATTTATCTAATTTGAAAAATTTGAAAAAGCCATCCACACATCTATTCTGTATAATTATACTCTATATATTTTAATTTCTAAGTAACAAATTCGAAAAAATAAAAATTACCAATTTTTAATATCAGAAGAACTACCTTCTACGTTACTTAATTTACATATTTCTTTTAAAGCAATAAAATAGAAAAAATGTAGCCTTGTCACAAGTTTTGCAATTACTATTCACTTACGCGGATTATTGCAAAATATAAAATGGAGAAAATACAGTTTACATGTGAACAGTGAATAGTGAATTTAATTGAAATTAAACATGTTAATTGTTGAAAAACAATTTAATAAATATAATATAATTTCATTAATTATGGTTGTTATGCCACAAAGTTATTTTGTTAAAAAAATTGAAAATACAAAATAACAGTTGTTGATAATAGTTAAGATAGAAATATTACATATTCCCTATCGATATGGAGGTAAGTTAATTTAAAAAATTGTTTTTCAAATTAAAATTTGGTAACTTTATTCATATCTTCTCACACTGGAAAAAATTTATCTAACTTAAATAAACGATTACTTATTGTGTATAACAATTATTATCAAGTAAACATTTACTTGAATCAAATAATTTTTGTTAACAAATAATTTTGTTTTTTACATATAAATATTTTTTAAACAAATAAATTTTTATTCAGATGAAAATTAAATCGATTAATTTTAATAATTTTCGAAAAAGTCCTTTGACAATTTTTAAATCCATTTGATGTTTACAATATTCAATTTTACGAAATTTCAATTATTCATAAATTCTTCAATTATAAATATATATTAGAAAATAAAAACATAAATTAATATAAAACGAATTTAATTAAAGTTTTTCAAAAAAATTAATTTCAAAATTCAATTATTTCTAAAAATTCACTCTATATTGCTTTAAATATTCAATTATTATCTAAAATTTGAACTGAAATTCACCTTTAAATAAATTTTTATTAGAAAATTCTACTAGAATTCAATTATTTAAATACAAAAATAAATAATTTATTGAATAATTGAATGTTTCTTAAAATTCAATTCCCATAAAGAATTTTATCAAAAAATTTTTAAATAATTGAATTTTTGCGACGAATTTTAATAAAATTTTTAAGAATAATTGCATTTTTTTGAGAAATTTGATTAAAATTGTATTAAAGATAATTAAAATTCTGCGGTGAGTTTCATTATTTATAAAAATAATTGAATCCCGAAGAAAATTTTTATTATTTTTGAACAATATTTAATTTTTGCAAAGAATTTTATTATTTACGAAAATAATTGAATTTCTACAATAATTTGTAACTTTTCCAAAATTAATTTTTTTTTCGAGTTTCTAACTAAAATTCTTCTATAAATGCATTATTTTTAATAATATTTAAAAAAGTTCTTTGAGAATTTTCAAATTCATTTGTTTAAAATTTCAAAAAAAAAAAAAAAATATCCGCGAATTAAAATTTCTTAAAAAAATTAATTCCACAGAATTGTTAGTAAAAAAATGAAAAATTTAGATTTGCAAAAGTCTATTATCTGGAATTCAATTATTTAAATACAAAAAAAAACAATTTATTGAATAATTGCATGTTTCTTAAAATTGAATTCTCATAAAGAATTTTATGAATAAATTTTTAAATAATTGAATCCTTTTGACGAATTTTATTAAAAAAAAACTTAAAAATAATTACATTTTTCGAAAATTTGATTACTTAAAATTGTATTAAAATTAATTACTAATTCCTAAAAAAAATTTATTATTTACGAAAATAATTGAATCGCACTGTAAAGATTTTATTATTTATAAAAATAATTGAATAATTACGAAAAAATTTGTAAATAATTGAATTCTTTTGGAAAATTTTATCCAAATAGTAGATATTAAAAATCATTGAATTAAGGAAAATTTTTGAAAGTAATGGAAATTTTGCTAAGTATTTTATTTAAATTTTTGAAAATAATTGAATTTGGGAGAAAAATTTAATTACATATTTCTAAAGATAATTGAAATTTTGATGAGAAGTTTTTTAAATTTTTGAACATAATTGAAATATCTTCAAGTAAATTTACGGACTTTTACGGAATTTACGGACCTAGTTTAAAAACATGTTCACTCTAACGCGTTGTTATAAAAAAGTAATAAATTTAAAGAATAGATTAAAAAATTATTTCAGAATGAAATTTTGTGGATAATAGTGGCTTGCATTTGTTGCATTGCAGTATTATTAACCCTATTCAAAATATACAATAAATTAACCGTAGGAGTATGTAAAAGTGATAAGAGATTGGATGAACAAGTCATAATTGTCACCGGCGCTAATACAGGTACCTTCCATCTTAATAGTCTTTTTTTACAAAAAAAATTAATTCGTATTTCTAATTTTTTAAGGCATTGGTAAGGAGACAGCTTTAGATTTTGCGAGACGAGGAGCAAAAGTTATTTTAGCGTGTAGGGATCTAGTAAAAGCTCACAAGGCGAAAGGTAATAACAATTATTTTGTTATCAAGTAAAATATTACCAATAACAAATTATTAACTAAAAATATCAATTTTCATCTCCAATTGATAGAAGAAATAGTGGAAATTACGAAAAATAGAAATGTGGTGGTTCGACACTTGGATTTAGCCTCTTTGAAAAGTGTCAGAAAATTTGCAAGCGAAATAATTGACACAGAAAGCAGATTAGATGTTTTGGTTAATAATGCAGGCGTGGGGAGTATTGTTGATGAGAAAACCGAGGATGGTCTCGATTTGTGTTTACAAGTTAATCACTATGGACACTTTTTACTGACAAATTTATTAATTGGTAAATTACAATATTACTCGAATTTCTAAAATAAAAATTACGAATATTATTTGAAAACAAAAGTTTATGAATTTTGACAAAATTTAGAAAAATTTTAAGCGACAATTAGTAAACTTGTAACTTCAGGAAAAACTTTAATGATTTTGAAGCAGCCTCACCGAATTACTTAAAACTTGGTCAACTTTTTGAGCCACAACAATATATTTATAAAACATATGTACAACAATTGCTCAAAATTGTTAAATTGTTCATTAAAACAATTAAAGATAAACAATTTTTGTTTTTTTGCACTGAACTCAGTAAATTTGAAATGTTTTATTTCCTGAGTTGAATACAAAAAACAAAATTTATTTATCTATAATCCTTTAAAAGATGTAGTAAACAATTTTGAGCAATTGTTGTATCTTATAAATAAACAATTGTTTTTGCTCATAAAGTTTATTTTTTAAAACTTCATACGAGTAAATGTAATATTATCAAGTTTGAAGTATTTCTGTGAGTGTGCTCCAAAATCATTTAAATATCTCCTGGAGTTGCACAAACATTTTTCTTTTACAGACTTACTGAAAAAGTCAGCACCCAGTCGAATTGTTCATTTATCGTCAATAATGTACAGACTAGTACGCTTAAACTTAGAAAATATGAATTGTGAAAATAGTTCATTTTATCATAACTGTAAATTGATTAAAATTTTTTTCATTTATTCTACCAGTAAATTATACATCATAATAGGAAGTAATGAATTTTCAAGGCGATTAGCAGGCAGTGGTAATCTATATTATAGAATTAATACTCTAAAAAAATCTTTTCCTGGAACAGCTACATATTTCCCTAAAATAGTAAAAATCTTAACTAAAACAAATAAAAAAAGTTCACTAATATTATAGTGAAATTTGTACGTGTTCTAGATAAAGATTCTTTCCCTTTTGTACAGTTTCTAAGATTAATAGTTAAAATGCTTGATTATTATATATTATTATCATAATAAATTTCTTATTATTTCAGGAGTAACTTCTAATTCTTTACATCCTGGCGTAGTACGCACAGAAATAATGAGAAATCTTCCATTAATATTCAGATATTTTGCAAATAAAATTTCCCAATTATTTTTCAAGGTAAAACAAATTTTGAAACATTTTATTAGTTAATTATTTAATCAAATTCATTTTAACAAGTGTTTGCACAAGAAAATTCAAGTTAAGAATTTAGTAATAATTTTTAATTTTAATTGAAGTATTTTGCGTTTTTCCTTAAAAGATATAAGGAAAAATAAATTAATTAATTATACAATTACAGTAACAATAATTAATGTAAAAAACCATCCAAATGTTCTGCTAGCTAACAGTAAGCAAATATTTCAGTCACCAGTGGAAGGAGCTCAAACAACAATATATTTATCAATTCATGATGAAGTAAAAAATATCTCAGGAAAATATTTCATGGACTGTGAAGTATAAATTTTTAATTTTACTTCAAAATGTCTACTTGCTAAAAAAGTTGTTTAATTTTTTGATTTATTGCAGGAAGCCCACTCATCATCTATAACAAGAGATGTAGAAGTTGGCAAGAAGTTTTGGGAAAAATGCTGTGATCTTGTGAATCTTAAACCAGAAGAAAGATTCCTTTAAATCTTTACATTATAATAAAAAAATATAAATTATACTTTTTTTATATATTCAGTTAAGAATCTTTTCAACTTAAGATTATAATTATAAATCAATAGTTATTAATAAATAGATTATAAATTATAAAATTATTTTTTAGTGTATAAAAATAAAAATTATAATAAATTTGAAATAGTTTCATACACACAGAGAAAAATTTTATTTAAACCAAACATATTTTATTTGAATTAAATAAACGTATATTTGTCTTAGAACCAATTGGACTTTTTCTTTATTTTAAATAAAAATTTTATTCGACATAAATAAACATATATGTCAGTCAAATAAAACATATATTTCAGTCAAATAAAATTTTATTTAAACCAAATAAAATTTATTTGTAACAAATAAAAAGTCTAGTTAGTTCTGAGTCGAATATAATAATTATCTATTCTCTGGGTGTAGATTAATTACTGAAAAATAATTGCAATTAGAAGTGTCAAATATTCTACGACAATGTACTGTATTTGACTCAGAGCCAAACTAGACTTTTTATTTGTTTCAAATAAATTTTATTTTGTTTCAATAAAATTTTCTCTGAGTATACATTCTCCATTGTTGCTGAATTATATATTTCTTTTAATAAAAAACAAATAAAAAAATTCAACTTTGTCACAAGTTGCCAAATTAATATTCATACATGCAAATTTGTGCATCATATAAAATGCAGAGAATTTAAGTATTAAGTTTCAAATACACTTTACATCTGAACAGTGAATTTAATTGACATTAGGTAGATTTATTTTTGAAACAATTCAATCAATTTTCGTAGCACTGATATTTTGTTTTAACTTATCCGCTTTATACCCGAAGTTGCTTTCAAAAATATTAAATAACACTTAGGGGAGAGTGGGGCAAAGGCGCTATGCAAGGCAAAGACGTTTTTTTAAAATATCTCCTTTATTTTCTGTCTTTTCCAATTGGTATTAAAAATTAAGTTGCAATGCAATCAGACGAATTGATTAAAAAAAGAAAAACCTAAAAATATCAAATATTTTAAGAAATATAACAAAAAAATTGTTTTGTAAAAATAAAATGATAATTTTACTGAGGAAACTTTTATTTTTTAAAACATGAGTTTAAGTATTTAATTTTTAAAAACGTAACATGTAAATAAATTAAATATTTCTCTACACAACTGGCGTGGTGTTTTAGTTTAATTTTGTTTCTAAATATTTTAAATTTAAAGTAAAAAAAAAGTTTGTTATGTGGGGCAAAGGCAATATTGAACATAATTTGGTTAAAAACAATTGAATATTCGAATTTTCTATGTATTAATTCACAATATAAGGTTAAAATCACTAAAAGTTTTTATTTTTTATTTAAATAGTTTAATTCTTTTAATAATATGTTGTTAACCTTATGTTTCGTAAATATTATACTAATAAATATCACTTGTTAATTTTTTTAAGGCATATATAATGCTTATAAATGCATTGTTTTTAAATTTCATTAAATAATGTATTTATAATTATAATATACTTAATAACAACTATTAAAATTTCTTGTTGATTAGTTTTAGAATAATGAAAAACAAAGACCGCATAAATTAATTGCTTAATTTAAAAAATATACATCGATAAATGTAAACCTAGCGCCTTTGCCCCACTCTCCCCTATCAATAATATTTAAAACAGAAATATTACATATATTTATAAGGCTCCATTCTCCATATCATTATGAAGGTGAGTTTGAATAAATTTATTCATTGAAATAATTCATTAATTAATATTGAAATAATTAAAAATAAATAAAAAAATTTGTTTTCCAAATTGAAACTTTGTAATTAATGCAGTTAATGCTTTAAAAATTCGGAACCTTTTTAATGAACGAAATATTTTTGTAATAAAAATGTTTATTAAATTAAAGTTATTGGCTGCTGTGAAAAATAAAAATTGCCACTGAAAAAAATATCTATTTAATTCAAATAACCGATTATTTGTCTACTAACAAATAAATATTTACTTGAATCAAATAATATTTATTGGACTCAATTCAATGGCATTTGAAACAATAACTTAATTATTTGAATCAATTGCCATTTAATTGATTTAAATAATCATTATTTGATTCAAGTAAATATTTATTGCTTAATAGTAAAAAAATCTGTTATTTGAATCAAATAAATAGAATAGGGTGATTGTGCGTATTATTACGTGTTTCAAAATCAGCCACGTTTAAAGAATCATTTGAAGCTGTTAATCTTTAATTTTTTTTTTGAATTTTTTTTTTACTGAGTAGTTAATCTTTCTAAAAACTAAAAAAAGTCTTTGGGTCATAAAAATAATTTAATTTGTATTAAAAAAAGAAATATTTATAAAAAGGTGCATAAGTGTAAATTACTACGAATTTGCTTGAAATACTACGCGTGCAATACTACGCTGTATCTATTAATACGCGTGAATTATTACGAACGTTCCAAATGCTAAGTATTATTACTATAATTGAAATTATTATTATTATTTTAATAACCTAGATTTTTAGCTTTTAATTTATTTCAAAGGGACAAAATAATACATTTAATTATTTTATTATTATCTAAAACGTTATTCATAATATGAAAACAAATATTTATTTTTATTTAAATAACAAAATTAAATTGAATAATTAATAGAGGTTACATGTTCTAATCATGTTTTTTATTTATTCAACAAAAACTTTAGTTAGTTTTCCTTCGTATACTGCATCCTAATCTTTGGCATTGTGCTTTTGTGTAGTCTTCACAATAATAAAAACTATAAAATACTTTTATATATTAGCTAAAAGCTCTTTTTATTGCGTTTACTACAAACATTATAAACAAACACGAACTGTCAACAACTATATTTCAGGTTGTGTGACACGGCGTAGAAATAAACGCAAGCGCGAAAAATCCTGTGTCCAATTCTACGTTTAAAATTAAATAATAAAAATGTTAAAAACATAAAATTTTCTTTAAATTTATAAAAATGCAACTTTTTGTGCTCTCATCTAAACTAGCAATTTTCAAAGTTAAATAAAACGTAATAAAATGCATTTTTTTAGAATTTTTCATTAAAAATAACAATTAATATAAATTAAAGTTTTATTATAGATATTTTATAGACTATTATCTATCAAATAAAGTTTTATTTTAATATTTTTAATGAAATTTGTAGTAAATGGGGCACTCGTAGTAATACGCACAATCACCCTAGAAGAAATGTATTTTTCAAATAAAATATATTTCAGGCTTCGTACTCATCTACTTAAACCTACTATTTACTACTTTTCTTACGTTATGTTACTATTTAGGTACTTTTTTAGATTTCAGCCACTAAAAGCTACTCTTTCTGGTTTTTTTTTGAGAATTTCCACTACTTTAAATTCGCTAATACTAGAAATCAAAAATCTATTCTCAAAAATTATAATCAAATTCTTTAAAACGATTCAATTATTTTCAAAAAATATTCGAGATTCAATTATTTTCAATATCTAGTATTTTCAGAAAATTTCGCAAAAGAATTCAATTACTTACAAAACAATTGATAGAATTCATCTAAAATTCAGTTACTTTCATAAATAATAAAATTTCTACAGGAATTCAATTAATTTAGAATAGAATTTTCGAAAAAATCAATTATTTAACAAAATTTTTATACAAGTCTTCACAATAATTCAATTACTTTCACTAATAATAACATTTTTCATGGAAATTTAATTTAAAAAAAAAATTTTTTTGATAAAATTCTCAGCAAGAATTTAATTATTTTCATAAATAATAAAACTCATCGACGAATTTCAATTATTTTTATAAACTATTTTAAATCAATTAATCGAAAAATTCAATTATTTTGAGGCATTTTAACAAACTTCTTTGTAAAATACAATTATTTTTATGAATAAAGTTTTCCGCAAGAACTCAATTATATAAAATAAAATTTTCATAACATTTATTGTACTTCGAAAAAATTAATTATTTAAAACAATGTTTATAAAATTCTTATGAAGAATTCAATTATTTTCAAAAATAACAAAATTTTTCACAAAAATTCGATTCTTTTTAAACATTTTAAAAAAATGCTTCTCAATAATTTAATTAATTCCACGAATTCAATTATTTTTGAAAACTTTAATAAAATTCTTCCCAAGAATTGATTTATTTACATAAATAATTCTTCGAATGAATTCAATTATGTCGATAAATAACAAAATTATTCCCAAAAATTCAATTATTTTGAGGCAATTTAGTACAATTCTTAGCAAAATTCAATTACTTTCTAAAATAATAATATTCATCACAACAACTCAATTATTTTTAAAAGTAATAAATTTGTTCTTGGAAATTCAATTATTTTTAAAAATTCTAATAAAATCCTTCGCAAGAATTCAATTATTTTCATAAATAAGAAAATGTTTTTTTAGAATTTAATTATTTTCAAAAAAATTTAACATAATACCACACAGACATTCAATTATTGTAGAAAATTTTAATAAAATTCTTTGTTAAATTTAATTATTTTTAAAAACTTTTCACAATTCAATGCGATTTTTAATATCTACTATTTTCAAAATTTCCAAACAGAATTCAATTATTTAAAAAAATTTTGTTAAAATCTTCGTAAGAATTCAATTCTTTTCATGAATAATAAAAATTTCTCAGGAATTCAATTATTAAAATTAGAATTTGCGTAAAATTAGTCGTAAGAAATCAATTATTTAAAAATTTTTATAAAATTCTTCGCAAGCGTTAAATTATTTTTATAAATATTGAAATTCTTTCATGAATAATAAAACATTCGATGCAGGAATTCAATTTTTTAACAGGATAAGAAAGATGTAAATATTTTTGATGAAAATTAGGAAAAAGTCAGGAAAATAAAATATAGAATGAAAGTTTTGTCAGTTTTGTAAAGTGGCTAAAACCAGTTTTTTTGGTCGTCAAGTTTAATTTATCGATAGCTACTTTTTTACTACTTTTCTTAGTTCAAAAGCTACTTTTTTGAAATTAATTATCGAGTGCGAAGTCTGATATTTGATTCAAATGAAATTTTTCTCTTTGTATACTAATTAAAAAATCAATCTCGTACAAATTTAAATTTTAAATTAGTATTCTTTAAAAAGTACTAACAAATGAATTCAAATATTCAATTTATATGCATAATTTAAGATTAACATAACTTTGTAGTATTTCTGCATTGTAATTTATCAATCTTTAAGATTTTTTTTCGACAAATAATAAAGCTCATAGTGTTGTAAAAACATGTTCATTGGTATATAAAAAAACGTAATAAATTCAAAGAACAAATTAAAAATTATTTCAGAATAAAACATTGTGGATAATAGTGACTTGCATTTGTTGCATTGCAGTATTATTATCCATATTTAAAATATACAATAAATTAACCGTAGGAGTAGGGGAGACTGGGGTAAACCCGCTCACTTTTTTTCAGATCGGTAAAAATCTAGGAAATTATTCTCTAAATCCAAGTTAATTTATATCATTTGAAAGCTTATGATTTCTACTAAAAAAATAAAAAAGAGTTTTTGATTTACCTTTTTTAGTTTTACTTAGAAAAACTTTTTAATACACATGTATTAAATTTTGAAATTACAATTTTCCAGGGTAAACCCGCTCACTTTATCTTTTCAAGACGGAAAAGTTTTATTTTTTAAATATTAAAGTTCGTCTTATTCCCGTCTTAAGTATGATTTATTATTGATAATTTATGACTTATATAAACAATTCTACAAACAACAAATTGGTTTAATAAATAATGAATATAGGTTTCATGAATTACAAATATGGATTTAAATAATGTTATATTTTATTAAGAGAAAATGAAATGTAGTTACAATTTTGGTTTTAACAAGTCATAAATAGTGTTATTGTTAAAATATAATACGTGAAATTATTTTACTCTAAATTTTAAATTAAAAACTAAGTGAGCGGGTTTACCCCGACTTCACGTGAGCGACTTTACCCCGAGTGTATTCCTCATATTTCAGAATAAATTTAATTAAATCTTTTTGAAATAAGATAAAACTATACATGTACTTCGAAGAAGGACATCCAATAGCAACAAAAAAAATTTGCCAAATAAATTAAGACTCAAAAATAATGATCGAAAAACTTAAAAATCCAAAAAACGTTTTTTTTTCTGATACCTCTAAAAACATTTGATTGACTCTGATTCTATGTTGAATTCATGAAACTAAACGAAAGTTCGTTAATATAAGTTGAATGTTAAGTACTATTCACAGTATCAATATCTCCATCTTAAGTTGAGATCAACGCGTTAAATCGCTAGTGAGCGGGTTTACCCTGTGCTCGGGTTTACCCCAGTCTCCCCTATGTAAAAGTGATAAGAGATTGGATGAACAAGTCATAATATTGTCACCGGCGCTAATACAGGTATCTACAATACAAAAAAGTGCTATTAAAAAATATCTCGGTTTTTATCAAATTATTCTCCTCAAAAATCACATCGGATATATTATATTCTTTTTTGGTCTCAGTCGAATTTTCTGAGCAAATTTTTTTGATATTGTAAAATTTTGAAAAATGGCAAAAACAATAAAGTAATTGGGCCATTGAAGAATCGGCTGAGAGAGCCAAATCTATTGTATTTTCTAACGTGTCCTTTTAGTGATAGAATATTCAAAGTAATTCTTTTAGAATATTTGGTTAAAATAAACTTTTATTTGGTTCAAATAAAAGTTTTTTTTACTTTCAATGAAATTACTAAGAGTTTTGTAGGGACAACCCAAACTGTCTAATTTTTTCTAAAAATCATTATTCTGTTTAAAAAAAATTGTCATTTTAAAGTTTCCATTAAATAGCAATTCGTAAAAATAAAAATTCTGACAAACCAATTTTTTCTATTCCTTGCAAATAAATTATTAAATTTCTCCAATGCAAATTAAATTGAATTTTTAATTCTCTAAGGCATTGGTAAGGAGACAGCTTTAGATTTTGCGAGAAGAGGAGCAAAAGTTATTTTAGCGTGTAGGGATCTAGTAAAAGCTCACAAGGCGAAAGGTAATAACAATTATTTTGTTATCAAGTAAAATATTACCAATAACAAATTATTAACTGAAAATATTAATTTTCATCTCCAATTAATAGAAGAAATAGTGGAAATTACGAAAAATAGAAATGTGGTGGACACTTTTTACTGACAAATTTATTAATTGCTAAATTACAATATTACTCGAATTTCTAAAATAAAAATTACGAATATTATTTGAAAACAAAAGTTCATTAATTTTGACAAAATTTAAAAAAATTGGGAGAAAAATTTAATTATTTCTAAAGATAATTGAAATTTTGATGAGAAGTTTTTAAAATTTTTGAACATATAATTGAATTTCTGCGAAGAATTTTACTATTTTTGAAAATAATTAAATTTCTCCAATCATTTGTTTCTCTAAAATTCTCCAAATTATATCTTCAAGTAAATTTACGGACTTTTACGGGATTTACGGACCAAGTTTAAAAACATGTTCACTCTAACGCGTTGGTATAAAAAAGTAATAAATTTAAAGAATAAATTAAAAAATTATTTCAGAATGAAATTTTGTGGATAATAGTGGCATGCATTTGTTGCATTGCAGTATTGTTAACCCTATTCAAAATATACAATAAATTAACCGTAGGAGTATGTAAAAGTGATAAGAGATTGGATGAACAAGTCATAATTGTCACCGGCGCTAATACAGGTACCTTCCATCTTAATAGTCTTTTTTTACAAAAAAAATTCATTCTTATTTCTAATTCTCTAAGGCATTGGTAAGGAGACAGCTTTAGATTTTGCGAGAAGAGGAGCAAAAGTTATTTTAGCGTGTAGGGATCTAGTAAAAGCTCACAAGGCGAAAGGTAATAACAATTATTTTGTTATCAAGTAAAATGTTACCAATAACAAATTATTAACTGAAAATATCAATTTTCATCTCCAATTGATAGAAGAAATAGTGGAAATTACGAAAAATAGAAATGTGGTGGTTCGACACTTGGATTTAGCCTCTTTGAAGAGTGTCAGAAAATTTGCAAGCGAAATAATTGACACAGAAAGCAGATTAGATGTTTTGGTTAATAATGCAGGCGTGGGGACAAAATGCTTGACGAGAAAACCGAGGATGGTCTCGATTTGTGTTTACAAGTCAATCACTATGGACACTTTTTACTGACAAATTTATTAATTGGTAAATTTCAATATTACTCATATGTTTAAAAGGAAAATTACGAAAATTATTTGCAAATAAAAGTTTTTAAATTTCGACGAAACTTGAAATATTTTTTATCGATAATAGACATTTTTCTTTTACAGGTTTACTAAAAAAGTCAGCCTAGTCGAATTGTCCACGTATCCTCAATATTGCACATATTTGGATCCTTAGATTTTAATAATATGAATTTTGATAATACACCTTTTTATTTTATTGTTAGATATTTTAGAATTCTTTTTGTATATGGTACCAGTAAATTATACATCATAATAGGGAGTAATGAATTTTCAAGAAGATTAGTAGGCAGTGGTAATTACTAATTTCCAAGATTAGTATTCATTCTTGAAACTTTTCTTTGTTATATTATGATTATCATAATGAAGTAAAATATATAAAAATGACTTCATGTTATGAAACTTCTTATTTCAGAAGTAACCTCAAATTCGTTACACCCTGGTATGGTGCGCACAGAAATAATGAGAGAGTTTTTTTTAATAATAAGATATTTTTTAAATAAATTTTTGGAATTATTTTTCAAGGTAATTCAGATTCTAAAAATTCGAAACTTTTAAAATAATTTTCAAAATAATAGAAATTTCTCCTGGAGTTACACAAGTATTTTCAAAAATAATTAACTGCAATGAAAATCAAAATTTACAGTATAAATTTTGAAACAATCACAAATTAAATTGCAATTACATTTGAATCAATTAAATTGAATATAATAATATAATTGAAATAATTAAAAAATTATAAATTATTTTATAATAAATTTTAAATTTGAACAAAAGAAAAATAAATTTCAGTCATTTTGAAAGTCAAAACTTTTTGGAACATTGTAATTCAAATAAATATAGGTATTTCTTTTGTGATAAGTTTCACAGTCGAATAAATTGTAGAAATAAGTGACACACTAAAATTTAAATTTATTTGATTCAAGTAATCAATTACTTGTCTAATATCAAATAAATATTTACTTGAATCAAATAATTTTTATTTAAATCAATAAAATGGTATTTGCTGCAAATATTAACTGATTGTTTCAGACAGCAGTCGAAGGTGCTCAAACCACAATATATTTGTCAATTCATGACGAAGTAAAAAGTATCTCAGGAAAACATTTCGCGGATTGTCAGGTATAGGTTTTTTATTTTTAATTCAAATTATTAAAAAAGTTCCTTAATTTTATTTATTGCAGAAAGGTTACTCATCATCTATAACAAGAGATGTAGAAGTTGGAAAAAATTTTTGGGAAAAATGCTGTGATCTTGTGAATCTTAAACCAGAAGAAAGATTCATTTAAATCTTCACATTATAATATTTAATATATCTAAGTTTTACTTTTTCATTTTAAGTTAAGAATCTTATTAATTTAAGATTATAATTATAATTTAAAAATCACAAAAATTGTAAAGCAGTCGTTTTCTTTGATTAGTTATTAACAAATAAATAATAGATTACAATGTTTAATAAATACATAAACAAAACTTTTCCTACTTTAGAAAATAAAGTAAATTGTAATTGATTATTATCTATTAATATTAATTTTTTAATTAATTATTAATTATTAATAACTTCCATACAAAATAATTGCATTTGCAAAGTATCTAATTCTACGACAATATTAATTTAATTTTGTATTTTTTACACCCAGAGAAAAAAATTTTATTTAAAACAAATATAATTTATTTGAGTAAAATAAAAGTAGTTATCCCAGATCCAACAAGGTTATTTATTTGTTTCTAGTAAAAATTTTATATGAAATAAAATAACTTCTATTTAAAACATATGAAATGTCTAGTTGGCTTTGAGTCAAATATATCTTTTCTGTGGGTGTAAAATTTGTTAACTTGTAAGGATGTCTAAAGTTATTATTTTTTTGAAAAAAGTTTTTAGACAAAATAAAAATGTTAAATTCACAAGACTGATTAATAAATTCATAAAGGAACAAATTTCCAGTTTAGAAAATAAAAGAAATTTTAATAACTAGGGACAGTGTAAAAATTACGTAAGGATTTGTTTTTCTAAAATTTTAACGCCTCCCCCCAATGAAAAAGATTATTACATATACATTAGTTTCATTTTTTTTGCTGATCGTAAGAAATAGCTGGACCCCCTCGCTCCTTAAAGTCTTACGTAATTTATACACGACCCACTATTTTATTAAATCGACAAGTCATATAATAATAAAGTTGGTTTAACTCGACAGATAATAATGAAAATTTACTTATCCAGATGTATTTACAAAGCCATCTTGTTAAAATTCAACTTTTTTTCTTCTCAGAGTATATATGTATCAGCATAATCCGAAATCGCGTCTTATACAATTTGTCGAGTTGAAGCGGAAGATTCAAATATTTTTCTGATGCATAGAGAAACTTTCGCAGCGAAAGTAAAATGAGTTATGTTGCTCTTTCATAGTTTAATATATTTCCGTAATAGTAACATGTTTCAATAGCTTCTACAGTTTTTGACGTTTCTTTAAAAATTTTATAGAGAAAAATTTAATTTTTCAAAAAGTGAGTGATCTAGTAAAAATTACGTTTAGAGAACTATACCAACCTTCGTAAATTTAATCATCGTCATGGAGGTGAGTCTTTACTTAAGAACCAAAATAGTTTTAAAACATTTTTCATTATTAAACTATTTGAACAAAAATAGTTTTAAAAAAATACTAATTTTATTTTTAGAAGACACTTTGTAATTTTGAATATTGTTTTTTTTAATAGTTTTTAATTTTTGAAAATTTAGAAGTCAATACACATTACACTGGAACAAAAATTTATTTGACTCAAATAATCGATTACTTGTCTATTGTCAAATAAATATTAAATTGAATCAAATAATAATTATTGGAGTCAATTAAATGGTATTTGCTTAAAGTACTGAAATTATTGGTTTAAATACTAATTAATTGACTCAAAAAAAAGTTATTTGAGTCAAGTAAAAATTTATTTGATAATAATCGGTTATTTGAATAAAATAAATTTATTTTTCAGTGTATCGTTATCCTAATACTTTTATTTGGTTTAGATAAATATTTCACATGCGAATAAATATTTATTTGTATCAAATAAACTATTATTTCAGTCAATTAAATGGTATTTGCTTCAAATACTGAAATTATTGGTTCAAATACAATTTAATTAACTCAAATAAAAATTATTTATCTTCAAGTAAATATTTATTAGATAATAGACAAGTTTACGGTTACTTGAATCTAATAAATTTTTTTTTCAATGTAAGGCAAACAAGTTTTTTGAGTTTACTTCTTTTTTTTATTTACATCAAAGAATTAGAAATTCATAAGAAATAAAAAAGAATTAATGCCGGATATTAAAAATGTTATGTAGTTCCAAAAAAATAAATGCCGAATTAAGAAGTTTGAAAGTCGCATCGACTGATAACTTTATGAACCCTTTATGGTCAATTAATGATTGTATAAACAAAGTTTGGACGAAAACTATTTTAATTAACTGATATGTGAATAGGTACTATTTTTATTTTTATTTTTAAGTCATTCAAATTCAAAATTTATTAAAAATTTATTTTATTTGTATTTTTAATTACAAAAATAAACAGGAAAATATTCGTAAATTATTAAAATAAATTTTTTTTATTTATCTGAAGCAAATTAATAGTAATTGAAAAAAATATTAAGAGTTCAATTAATAATTTTAAGCTCTATATCGTATGTTTCAGTACAACACATATTACCAAATATTTACGTATATTTTTTATGCTTCTTTAATTGTGATAATAATAAAAATATTAAATATTGTAACAAAAGGAAAATGTAAAAATTCTAAAAGACTAGATGGTCAAGTCATAATTATTACTGGGTCAAGCAGAGGTAACTACATCTATTTTAAAAAAAGTTAATAACATTATTATCTAAAAAATATTAATCAATTATATTAATAAATATTTTTTAAAAAATGAAATAAATCTGATTTGCATTTTACTCATTTTTTTGCAGGAATTGGAAAATGCACAGCTTTAGATCTGGCAAAAAGAGGTGCAAAAGTCATCATTGCATGTAATGATATAATTGAAGCTAATGAAGCTAAAGGTATGTTAAAAATATACATTAGACTTTATTTTTAATTTTAATTTAATTACCAAAAAAAAGCAAATGTATATAATTAAATTATATTTTCTAATCTCTTACACTTAACTATATTCAATTCTAAAATTTTTCCATAGACGAAATAATAAAAATATCTGGCAATAAAAATGTTGAAGCACACTTTTTGGACCTAAGTTCATTTGAAAGTGTAAGGAAATTTGTAAAAACTATTGTTGCAAATGAAAAGCGACTAGATGTTCTAATCAACAATGCGGGTATTGCTGTTAATTCAAATAAAAAAACGAAAGATGGTTTGGAATTAGGACTGCAAGTGAATCACTATGGGCATTTTTTGTTGACTAATTTGTTAATCGGTAGGTGTATTTTAATTTCACAATACTAAGCTTTTAATTAGGTAACTTTTTCTCAAAGAACGCCGTCGGATTTACATTAAATTTTGGCTCCCAGGGGAATTTTTTTCACTGAAAAAAAATTTATTTGATTCAAATAACCGATTACTCGACTATTTATCAATTAAATAATTACTTGAATCAAATAATTTTTATTTGTGTCAATTATACCACGGTAAATCGTTAGGTGTTAAAATAACACCAAAATGGATTAAAATAACACTAAATTGGATTATTTTAATCCTTTTTGGTGTTATTTTAATACCTAACGATTTACCGTGACAGTATTTGCTTTAAATACTGAAATTATTGGTTCAAATAATTTGATTTAAAGGAAAATTCATTGATTCAAGTAAATATTTACTTGATAATAATAGACAAGTAATTGGTTATTTAAATTAAATAAATTTTTTTCAGTGTAACTTTGATATCTTAAAGTTCTTGTCTAAAATGTGAAGAGCAACTATAAGGTTACAAAAAAATTAACTGGAGCCAAAAATAATATAAATCCTGCAAGGTTTTTTAATAGACTTAGTGCTTAATTTTTAATAATTAAATTATTTGCTTAAATTTAACTAAAAATTAAACAAAATTTAAAAGTAAATTTTTCTACAAGATCAGATTTATTTTTACGTAATGTGAATTGTAATAGAAATTTTTTAATTCGCAGACTTATTAAAGAAATCATCACCTAGTCGAATAATTCACGTATCATCCTTATTACATTTACTGGGAAGATTGGACTTTCATAATATGAATTCTGAGAAAGGCCATAACTTACTTACACTTTATAGTGATAGTAAGTTGTATAATGTGTTAGGTAGTAATCAATTTGCGAAACGTTTGAAAGGCACTGGTAAGCAATAAGTTTTGAAACACATTTCAAAAAATACACTGAAAAAATTTTATTTTATTCAAATAATCAATTATTACTTGTCTATTATTAAATAAATATTTTGCTTGTATCAGATAATTTTTATTTAAATCAAGTAAATTTTATTTGAACCAATAATTTCAGAATTTGAAGCAGATACCTTTTAGTTGGATATATAAAAAAATATTACATTTATTTGATAATAGCAAATACCATTTAATGGAGCGAAATAAAAATTATTTGATACAAATAGATATATATTTGATGATACTAAATACTATTTAATTGACTGAAATAAAAATTATTTGATACAAATAACTATTTATTTCATACTAGACAAATAATCGTTTATTTGAATCAAGTAAAAATTTTTTTCAGTGCCTAGTTACTCAGCTTTTTTTAATCTAATTTTTTATCCAATTATTTTAAAAGGTGTCACATCAAATTGTGTCTATCCTGGTTGGGTTAGAACTAATATTTTCGAACATGTTTTCCAACCAGCCAGAATTATAATTGTTAGTTTAGCAACATTACTCTTCAAGGTAAAAATTACAAAAAAAATTATATATATTTTCATGTTTATAAAAAAAATTTATACTTCACTAATTAAATTTAAAAAAAATATATAATGAATGATAATTAAACAGAAAAAATTATTTTTTAGACACCAGAAGAAGGCGCTCAGACATCTATTCATTTGACAGTTAGCGATGAAGGATCAAGAGTGTCGGGAAAGTATTTCGTAGACTGCAAGGTAATTTCATATAATTACTAACTTCTCCATTGAATCTAATTTTATAATTTTTAATTGAATTCAGTAATCGTTAATTTAATTTAACAATTATTAATTTATTTTCATATTTTTTAGAACATGAACTTTTTCAATCGTCCATACAGTAATGAAGATAGACAAACGTTTTGGAATAAATGCTGTGATCTAGTGGGACTCAAACCAGAAGAAAGATTAATTTAAAAATGGATATGAAAAAATTCAAATTATATTTTTAATATTTTGACTTTAATACTCAATTACTTATAAGTGTCTTCTAAACTCATTATTTCACGAAAAAAAACTTCTGTTTTTCAATAAAAAGTACAACGGAAAAAATTCTTCACCTGGAACACAAATTTCAAAAACTACAAATTTCAATATATTAGCGAAATTTTTAGTTATTTCAGTTAAGACTTTCTCTAGTCTAGAGAAACTCATCTCTGTTCCAAGTGAAGCTTTTCTTCCATATAAGTAATAAAATTTCAATACTTTTGTTAATTTGGTTAAATAAAAATCCTCTTTCTTTCAAGAAAAAAAAAATGTTAAAAAAATAAATATTAAAACTCTTCTCTATTTGTATAAAGTTTTACGTAACTTCCTAAACATTTTATACAATACTGGACGTAACGTTTTTTTCATGAAAGTTTTTGCAATCCACTCATTTTACTTTCCCTTTGAAATATTATTTAAAATAATAATTGTTATATAATTTTTTATTTATTTAATATTTTTATTTTTGCTGTAAAAGAAAAGTGCTAAATTAGAGCTGATTTGAGTATTAAGATAGAATCTCAAGACAATTTATAGTATACCAAAATCGGAACTAAATTAATACCTTTCTATTTACAGTGTAATTTCTGAAGAAAAAATTACTTAAAAATTAATTTTTAAGTAATTAAAAAAATTTTTTTATTAAATTTAAATTAAATTAAATTCCTGATTAATTTTAAAAATTAATTGAAAATATAAAAATAATGACTTTTATATTTTTAATTACTTTGCTTTCCTATTTAAACAAGTACAAAACAATATTTAAACAATTAAAATTAAATTAAATTAATTTTAATATTTAAACAAATCACAAGTTTATAAATCAATGTAAAATTTGAAACAACATAGTGACATAAAAATAAATATAGATTTAAATTTAAATAAATTTTCCACCAAGTGCCGGCTCCGTGGTAGTGCGCCGCGACCATGCCTGTGCGAAAATATTTTCCTACTTGGGGGAGACTCGAACCTAAAATTTTCACACGAGACATCGATGTGGCTGACGCTGGCTAAAACCGGCACTGGTTTCACTGGAACTCCAGTTGTTGAGATACACATTCACACTTTGGAAAAAAAATTACCGAATTCCCTACCTACAGTCGCATTTTAAACGAAAGTAAAATTTACCCCATTCATACCAAAAAAAGAGCTTCTCCTACCTTCCCCGTAGCTATTTAATGCTAACCTACTTTTAAATCACAGGAACACGCATACAAGCACTCCACGATTCTCTCACATACCGCCCAGGTGCAAAAAGCCTACTCTAGGGATAAAGGGGCACGTTAGGCTCACCCATACGTCCCGGGACGCATCCGTCACCTGAGCTTAAAATCACTCAAAAAAAGGGAAAAAAAATTCCTGAAAGTGAAACATCTAATTAACTCCCTAATTAAGTGAAATTGACAAAAAATTTAAATTTGAAATTCGACATGCATTCAATTTTACCTTTAATAAACAAATATTAAATTTAATATCCAATAACTAAGAGAATTTCAGTAATTATTTTATACTTTTACGTTTAATAAATAAATATTCAATTTCAATATACAATAACTAAAGGAATTTATAAAATTCATATTTTTAAACTCGATAAATTCTATCATGTCTATATTTAAGCATTTCAACAACAAAAATAGTTTAAAAAAGAAAACAAATTTAGGTAATAAGAAAAATGACAAAATATTGAACAAAGTTTAAATATCATGCACATGTATAAATAAATAAAACATTGACAAAAATATTAATTTTCGTAGTAATCAACAATACTAGAAAATAATAAATTTTGTCAATGCTGTCACTATGTTGTTAGGATTCCTTCCCTGTATTTAGAATTTTTTCATTTGTTACCAGTGTTTATCAATAAATATTATGTATCAATTTATAATACAATACTACCGAAAATAATAACAAAATAAGTTTAAAGAATGTTCGAAAAATTTAATTTGTTAATTTTTATATTAAAAATTATTAAAATTGTATATTAAAGACAATCGAAAATAATAAAATAAGTTTAAAAAATATCAGAAAGATTCAAATGTCAATTTTTATATTAAATTAATAATAAATTGACTTCGTATTAAATTCCGGCAAAAATTCTTTTATACAAGGAAAGAAAAATAATAAAATTCAAATAAAATATAAATATATAGATAGACTCATCGTTTACTTCAGTTCCACTTTGTTACTATACAACGATCTGCGATGAATCCATCACCAGTACCAGATTAAACTATGTTCCTCCTTCAGATGTTTGTGCAAATGATGTCCGGACTGCCATATAACCTACACATAAAATAAAAAAAAAATTAGAAAATTCAAAATAAAAGTTTAACTTGAAAAGGGTTAAACGAAAAAATTTAAAGAAAGAAGCTCCTAAACTAAAGGGCGAAAAATGAAATTAAAAAGGAAAATAAAATATAATCTTCGATAGTATTGGTGATGATAGAAACATTTAATCAGGAAATTTTAAAAATTTAGAGAAGTAAATAAAAATAGAAGAGTATTTAAAATGTCTTAAACTTGCACTTAACATTTTCGTAGTCGACAATATTGCACCACTTCTTTTGATTGCTCTTTATCCAGGTCTTCTGTTAAAATTGGAGCTCTGTTTAAAAAAAAATCAAAAAATCAATGAAACTACAAAAAATGTTTATTAACAAAACGCTTATTAATTATAAATAAATTGAAGTTATCAGCAAATTTTTTTTCTATATTTTTAAAGAAAACTTGGAATATCGTTTAAAAAATTGTCATTATGAAATAAATGTTTCTTTTACTCTAAAAAAAATTATAATCTTGTAATATGTTAGATTTTATTGAAAATAATTGAATTCTGAAAAAGCATTTTATTATTTATGATGAAAATAATTGAATTCTTGCGAACGACTTTATTAGAATTTTTAAAAATATTTGAATTTACAAGAAGATATTTATTACTTTTAAAAATAATTGAATTGTGATGAATATTGTTATTTCAGAAAATAATTGAATTTTGCAAAGAATTGTACTAAAATACCTCAAAATAATTGAATTTTCGGCAATAATTTTGTTATTTATCGACATAATTGAATTCTTTCCAAGAATTATTTATATAAATGATTTAATTCTTGGGAAGAATTTTATTAAAATTTTCAAAAATAATTGAATTCCTGAAAATAATTTTATTATTTATGAAAATAATTGAATTATTGAGAAATTTATTAACATGTTTAAAAAGAAAAAATTCGATTCAATTTTTGTGAAAAATTTTGTTATTTTGGAAAATAATTGAATTCTTCACAAGAATTTTATAAACATTGTTTTAAATAATTAATTTTTTCGAAATGCAATAAATATTATGAAAATTTTATTTTAAATCATTGAATTCTTGCGGAAAACTTTATTTATTAACATAATTGAATTTTACAAAAAATTTTATTAAAATGCCTCAAAGTAATTAAATTTTTGGGAATAATTTTGTTATTTATGTGAACAATTGAATTCTTTCGAAATATAATAAATATTATGGAAATTTTAGTTTAAATAATTGAATTCTTGGGGAAAACTTTATTTGTGAAAATAATTAAATTTTCCGATTAATTAATTTAAAATAGTTTATAAAAATAATTGAAATTCTTCAATGAGTTTCATTATTTATGAAAATAATCGAATTCTTGCTGAGAATTATATCAAAAATTTTTTAAAAAAATTTAATTTCCATGAAATATGTTATTATTAGTGAAAGTAATTGAATTATGGTGAAGAATTGTATAAAAATTTTTTTGAAAATGCTATTCTAAATTAATTGAATTCCTGTAAAAATTTTATTATTTATGAAAATAATTGAATTTTAGATGAATTTTATCAATTGCTTTTTAAATAATTGAATTCTTTTGCGAAATTTTATGAAAATACTAGATATTGAAAATAATTGAATTTTGAAAATTCTTTGGAAATAATTGAATCGTTTTAAAGAATTTGATTATAATTTTTGAGAATAGGTTTTTGATTTCTAGTATTAGCAAATTTAAAGTAGTGGAAGTTCTAAAAAAAAACAGAAATAGTCGCTTTTAGTGGATGAAATCTAAAAAAGTACCTAAATAGTAGCATAACATAAAAAAGCAGTAAATAGTAGGTTTCAGTAGATGAGTGCGAAACCTGAGAATATCAAAAATTAATATTACTATTAAATAATTTTACCTGAACTCATTTTTTCTAAAACTTCAATTACGTCTCAAATGCCATTCGTTACACATTATAAATCAAGATGAATGTGAGTAATTTCTTTGAAGATGTTATGAAGAGGATTTTGATTCAATTCTCATAACTAACATCGGGCTTGAAATCCTGAAATAAAAAATATATTTTTAAATTTAATTGTGTAATTAATTACATACAGTAACAATTATTTATTTCCTTTCCTATTTTTGTTATTATTGATACATATTCTATTAAATATCAGGAATTAGATATTAAAAGGTGTTTAATTAAAGATTAAACAAAACGATAACAAATTTATTCTAATTTCTAATTATAATTTAAAAATGAAAACATGATTTTTAAATTAAATATTAAAGATTATTTTTAATAATACAGTCCTTGTTGTATATAATTCTAGTAGCTTTTTTATTTTAAACATTTATTTATTTATAATTGAAAGATTTTAATTTATAATTAAATTTCACAACTGAAAAAATGTTTATATTTTCAAACGCTTTAATTGCAGTACAAAATAGTAAAGGGTAAAGTTCAGTAAAGTATATCCAACAGTCACAAAGTAATTCAAAAATACCTCTACCTCTTTTAATTCAACCGCAGAATACAATTTATCGATAATGAGCAATAAGGAATAAATAGAAACATTACATAAATAGCAATATTAAGGTCGCATTTACAAGTAGACTAAATTTAAAGAATCATTAGATCATTTTAAGATTTGATCTACCAAAACTGACAGAAGGAAAATTGAATTTTATTTTTCCTTCATTAAAACAGAATAAAAAGAGGAAGAAGAAGAGACATTAAAATAAAAGACCAAACTAAACGAGTAAAACAGAATAATTAAAGTTAAATAAACTTGGATACAAGATAAAACTGAAACAAATTAAATCTAAATGAAATCTAAAATTTACTTCTTTATCTAAAGCTCTCAAACTTTACGAGATCGTGATTCTTGAACCCTTAGTATAAAAAAAGAAATAAAATTTTCGAAAAATATTCGCAAAGCAACGCCAGGAGCTAAAATAGTTGAAAAGAAAGAGAGAATAATTTCATCCAAGAGAAATAAAATAAAAACAAAAAATGCCCATTTTTTTCCTTTCTCTTTTTTTTGTCAAATTCATCCAAAATTGGATTCTGCGCGCCTTGAGGTGATTCCTCCCTTGAAATTTATACGAATAAGGTTCACGCACGCGTATTCGCTTATTGATCTCGAAAAACTACCCCACACATGAAGTCTCATCCGATGGGTAGTGGTCCACCGGCCGCAAGCAATCTCTTTTCTTTTCCACTGATTTTTCCCAGGAATTTTTGATAAACTGTGTGTATATTATTGCACTCAATGGAACAGATTCCAACTAGATGCAAAAAATAAACTTTTTGCAATTGTTTTCGAAAGAAAAATCAAATAAAAAGAAAGTGAAATGTAGTCTGGAGATCAACCAATCAACGATATAAAAACAAGATCAATTATTTAAAGTGTTTCTTTCAAATCGCGAAAGAAATGTGCGAATGTTTTTCAAGTTTCATTAACCTAACATTCGAATAAAGTCAAAAAATAATAAAGTCAAAGGAAAATCCTTGCTCATTCAGAATGAAATTTTCTACGTTGAGGAAAATACAGGACTGATGATCCATGCGAGGAAAAACAGAACCACACAGGATTGTTTATCTTATCCATTCCGATGAATTCTTTTAAAGGTAATTTCTTTTAAATACGTTTCTTTTCCGAAATTTTAGATATTAAGTATAGAAAATTCTCAAAAAAAAATAAATCTCAAAATTTTTCTTGTAATAAATACAAGTTCTTTATACGTAAAATAAGATAAAAAATTACGAATTCTATTTCTTATTTACAAGAGATTGAATTCGATTTTTTCATGAAGAATTTGTACCTAAACTAAAAATTACAGACTTTTGAGTTGAAATAAAGAATTTATAATCTGATGACGAATTAACAAGTAAACTAACATCATCAAAATTGAATGAATTATTAAATATTTACTTTTCGCAGGATGCTGATGAAAGTAGCGATTTAGTTCGCAAAATTCGAGAGACAAAGGAAAATGAAGATGTTGAAACAATTTATCCTAATTCTCGCGATAGGTTTCTCCCTAGCAAATCCCGATGCGAAGAGGTTGTACGATGATTTACTGTCAAACTATAATCGACTAATTAGACCCGTTTTAAATAATACAGACACCATTGTCGTCAAACTTGGTTTACGACTATCCCAACTTATAGATCTGGTGAGTAAATTTTACCTACAATAAAATAAAACAACAAATAAAAAAGTTCATAAAAATAGTAAATTACTGAATATATTTCAAAGAGCAAGAAATATTCCCAAATATTCCAATCAAGAAATAACTAAATAAAATAATATATAAATTTCAGAATCTTAAGGATCAGATATTGACTACCAACGTTTGGTTAGAACACGTAAGTTTTTAATCATTTGCAAAATTAAAAAATTTCATTCACTAATGAATCAAATATTGACAAATTTTAATAAATTAATAAGATTAATTTCAATATAATTCATTAAAAAATGTTAATTTTGTCAAATTGAATTAAATTAAAATGAAGAAAATTTATTGAATTATTCTAGGAATGGCAGGACCATAAATTTCAATGGGATCCCTCAGAATATGGGGGGATGACAGAATTATACGTTCCTAGCGAACATATATGGTTACCAGATATTGTTCTTTACAATAAGTACGTATGTCTTATTTACAGTATTTACAAGGTTACAACAAAAATTTGATTTTGTTTTTCCAGAATTTTACCTGGTTTTCAGAACGAATTTTGACTATAATTATTTTCTAGAATTTCTTCTAGAATTTTTTACTAAAACTCAATTATTTTCAAAATTTTCACCTTCTCAGACTTTCTAAACTAAATTATTCAAAATTTCAATAAGTTTTGTAAAATTATTATTTAAATACTTATTGTTATTGATTTTTCCTCAGGAATTAAAATGTTAAATAACTTCAGTACTAAATCTTTTAAAATTTAATTATTGCTTAAAATTACAACTGTAAACCAGTCAGATTCAGTTCAATTTTAAAATATTTTCTATTATTCAAAAATTTTCGAATTAAATGTTAATTATAAAATTCAATTTATATTTCAAAAAAAAACTTTGAATTAAAATTTATTAAAAATCTAAAATCTTTTTTGAATTTTTTAATAAAAATATTCAAAATTCAAATTTTAAAAACATTTTAATCTAAATCTTTCGAAATTGAATTAATTATAAAAATTTCTTCTACAACTCTTTTAATATTTAATAATATTCTAGAATTTTTAAAAAACTCTTTTCTGAATCAATTACCAATTATTTTTATTAATTTTGAAAATTCTTCTAGAATTCAATTATTTAAATACAAAAATTTTAATTTTAATAAAAAATGCAACTATAACTTTTCTTTCTTTTAATTACAACAAAAAATTCTTAAAATCTTTTTTTAAAAATATTTTGTTTAAATATTTATTTACTCTACAAACCGGCACTAAAATGTCCCATTTATTCAAAAGTTAAAATAAGTTCTGAAAAATAATAGACTTTTTAATTATATTCAATTTAAAACTTCTCAAATATTTGAATTTTAGTAAAATATTTTCAAAATAATTGAATTTTTTAAAAAAATGTTTGGAAAACATTTAAAAAATAATCAAGTATTTGAAAAATTTTAATTAAAATTATTTAAAATTCAAAATTTTCTAAGATTTCAATTTAAAATTCAATAATTTATCAAAATTGTAAAATCAACTCTTTTGAAATTGAATTATTTTTGGGAATTTTTAAGGAAATTTATTCCCTAAATATTTTATAAGTAACATTTTATGATAGTTCTTTAAGAATTAAATTATTTTAAATAAATTCAATTTCATTTTATGTAAAGTTCAATTATTGTTAGAAATAGAAAAAATTTAGCTTTTCTTATTAAAATTCGTCATGATTTTAGTGTTTATGAGGCAAACAAAAAGAAAAAGAAGAATTAAAAATCTTTTTAATATTCCTAATTTTTCCCTGATTTCCCAAAATTCACTAATTTTTTTTTTTACCTGTGACAACTCTGATTATATTAAAATAACGAGTACATAACTGTTTCAACATCAGTGAAGTTTACAACGTTTATAATCAACAATATTGAAAAAAAAATCTTTTACCTAGAAAACAATAAAATTTTTCTACTAACAAATTTTTTCATTTAAAATAGTTGATCAAAAAACTTTATTAAAAATTTTCCAAGAGAAAATATCTAAAAATGTTGATGGAAAAAAAAAGTTTTTTCTTATGAATCGTTGATTATAAACTTTTTGAAATTCATTGAAAGTATTGTTAATAAAATTGTTAAATATTGTTCAGTAAAATTCTAATTTTAAAAAATATATGAAAATTTACATACCGAATTTTTTTTTAGTGCGGATGGTGAATACGGAATTACGACAATGACAAAAGCTGTCCTTCATCATACCGGAAAAGTAGTTTGGACGCCGCCAGCTATTTTCAAATCCTCTTGTGAAATCGACGTCAGATATTTTCCCTTCGACCAGCAAATTTGCTTCATGAAATTTGGATCCTGGACTTATGACGGCTTTCAAGTAAGCAAATCCTTTAACTGCAATTATAAAATGTAACTTAAGTAATAATTCCTCCATTTATTGATTATTAATTCTTTATTAATAATTAATTTCTAGAAGGATTATTAATTATTTATTGATAAAATAATATTAATAATAGTTTGAATATTATTATACAATTATTGCAGTAATAATAGAAATTATTAATTCAAAAATAGAAGAATTAAATTCCATTTTAAAAATGTTATCATAACTTTTGAGTAAAATAGAAAATTTCTAGTTTACTTCGAAAAAATAGAGATAATGAATAAAAAACATAGATTTATGACAAAGAATATAAATAAATGAAAAAAATTTATCCTTCATAAACAGGAATATTGAAGTAATTTAATTTGTCAAAAACAGATAGACTTGAAGCACAAAGATTCACAAGAGGGCGATGACAAAGTGGATGTTGGAATTGACTTGCGCGAATATTATCCAAGTGTTGAATGGGATATTCTCAATGTGCCAGCAGAACGACATGAAAAATATTATTCCTGCTGTCTTGAGCCCTATCCTGATATCTTTTTCAACATTACTCTCCGAAGAAAAACTCTATTTTACACAGTGAATCTAATTATTCCCTGTGTCAGCATCTCTTACCTTTCGGTGCTTGCCTTCTATCTTCCAGCGGATTCGGGAGAAAAAATCGCACTCTGCATCAACATTCTTCTTTCGCAAACAATGTTTTTCTTATTGATTTCCGAAATCATTCCCTCCACATCTCTCGCACTGCCTTTACTCGGAAAATATCTTCTCTTCACTATGATTCTTGTGGGATTTTCCGTGGTCATCACTATTATTATTTTGAATGTACACTATCGTAAACCAAGTACTCATAAAATGGCTCCTTGGGTGAGGAGAATTTTTATACGTCGATTGCCCAAGTTACTGCTAATGAGAGTACCCGATGATCTTCTCAACGACCTCGCAGCGCACAAAATTTACGGACGTCGTTCTGGAAGTAAAAAAGATAAATTTAAGGATGCAGTCTCGGCTGCTGTTCAATCGTCATCTATTATATCCTCACCGGATTCTGCTCGACATGCAGGAATTGGAGGTAACTATAAATACATAATTACTGTTACCTTATCAAGGTTCCCACAAAAAATTGATTTTGTTTTTCCCTGCACTGAAAAAAATATTTAATTTGACAGAATGTGCTTTTTACTCAGGCAACTTTTGCCTAAGAACAAAAGCAATATACGCAAAGCAATTATTTCTTTAGAAAAAAGCAATTTTTGCCTTTAAAAACGGTAAAAATTGCCTTTGTTAAAATGTTTGCCTTTAAAAAAGGCAAAAATTGCTTTTTTTAAAAAAAAACAATTGCTTTGAGTGTATTGCTTTTGTTCTTGGGCAAAAATTGCCTGAGTAAAAATCACATTCTGTCGAATTTTTTTTTCAGTGTGATTTCCAGACAAAATTTTGTCTTTTTCCCTGACCCTAAAGAATTATTCTAATTCACTTTAAAAATAATTAGATTCTAAAAAAATGTGCTATTGCACTTATTTACGAATTTCATTAATCATAAAATTATTCAAAATCAATAGTTTTTTAAAATAATTATTAATTCATTATTTTTCTATAGAAATTAATATTTCCAAAAAAATTCAAATTCAAACCTTTATGAAATTCAACAACTTATATGAATATTATTATGAAACGAAGATAACGATCACTCCGGGTGTTCGACACGGAGTGATTGATATCTTCATGTTTTATAATAATTTAAATTTCCATAAATTAAAAAAAATATTAAATTATTTAAAAAAATTTATTGAAATTCGTCGCATGAATTCAATCATTTTTACAAGTAATAAAATTTGTCGCAGGAATTCAATTATTTAAAAAAATGTACTAAAATTTGTTGCAAGAATTTAATTATTTTCATAAATAATAACATTTTTCATAGGATTTAAATTATTTTTAATATAATTTTAAATAAATTCCTTGTAAAATGTAATTATTTTCAAACATTTTTTGCAAAAATTCAATTACATTACTTTCGCCACGCCAAATTTTACTTTCGCCACGCTCTTCAGAGCAGTTGAGAAAAGTTCTACTTTCGCCACACTTTTCTGCCAAGAAAAGTACTCCTTTCAGAGCAAGTGTTGGAGAAAAACATTTTTCATATAGGATTTCAATTATTTTTAATACAATTTTAAATAAATTCCTAGAAAAATGTAATTATTTTCAAAAAAATTTTGCAAGAATTCAATTATTTTCATGAAAAATAACATTTTTCATACAGGATTTAAATTATTTCTAATATAATTTTAAATAAATTCCTCGAAAAATGTAATTATTTACAAAAAATGTTTGCGAGAATTCAATTATTTTTTTAAAAAAAGATAATAAAATTCGTTGCAAGAATTCAATTACTTTCATAAATAATAAAATTCTTTACAGGATTTTAATTATTTAAAAAGAATTTAATAAAAATCGTTGCAAGAATTCAATTATTTTCATAAACAATAAAATTCTTCACAGGATTTTAATTTTTTGTAATACATATAATTTTAAGTAAATTCTTCAAAAAATGTAATTATTTTCAAAAATTTTATTAAAATTCTTCAAATGAATTTAATATTAATTATCAATTATTTTTAATAATTTTTGCAAAAACTAGCCAAACTATCCGCGCGCAAGCGCGCGGGAATGTTGTATGGGGCTGCTTATTTTAAACAATTTAAAAAATTTCAAAGAAATAATTATTATAACCTAACAAAGAGATTTAACTAACTAAAATTCAAATAATTTCACTCAATGGTCTCAATTTAAATAGAATTTACATTACTAGACTTAAACTATGGCTAGAACAATTACAATTAGTATCTGGGTCATCTTTTGCATGGCTTATTTTATAAAGCCATTTTAAATTAAATACTTTTTAAAGAAATAATAATTATTACACACTGACAAAAGTTTTTCTTGAAATAGCGATAAGTTTCTCTAGAATAACGAAAGTATTAATTGAAGTACTAAATAATTTCGCTACTAAAGTGAAATCTGTAGTTCATCCAGCTAAATATTTTTTGCCGTGCATAACGAAAAAAGAATTAAATTAACATCAGATTTTCTACATTAAAAAAAAACGAATTCAAATAGAAATTAATCATTTTACAACTTAACCAAATTCACCCCAAAAATCACTGAATTCGATAATTTAGAAGAAAGTCAGACAAAAGCAGGGTTCCTACAGAATCTGGAAATCATGGAAATAGTATGGAATTTTTAAAAGGCTTCTGGAAATCAGGGAAATCATGGAAAAAGCCTGGAATTTTTAAAAGTTTCTAAATTTTTTCAGTTTTCCATTTTTTCTCTTGAATAAAAATTCAAATAATAATAAAGCTAAATGGTATAAAAAAAAAAAAAAAATGTTGAATTTTAAGAAATTCAATTTTTCAAATTTTTGATAATTTTTAATAATTTTTTATTTTTTTCCAAAGAGTCGAGACAATTTAATAAGTAAAGTATTTTCCAAAAGCACAAAAATAATAAAGCTAAATCCCATAAAAAAAAAAGAAAAAATGTTGAATTTTAAGAAAATCGGATTTTTGAATTTTTTCGAATTTTTGATAATTTTAGATTTTTTACCAAAGAGTCGAGACTATTAAATAAGTAAAGTATTTTCCAAGAGCACAAAAATAATGAAGCTAAATACCATAAAAGAGAGGAAAAAATGTTGAATTTTAAGAAAATCGGATTTTTGAATTTTTTCGAATTTTTGATAATTTTAGATTTTTTACCAAAGATTCGAGACTATTAAATAAGTAAAGTATTTTCTAAAAGCACAAAAATAATGAAGCTAAATCCCATAAAAGAGAAGAAAAAATGTTGAATTTTAAGAAATTCGGATTTTTGAATTTTTGATAATTTTCGATAATTTTAGATTTTTTACCAAAGAGTCGAGACAATTTAATAAGTAAAGTATTTTTCAAAAGCACAAAAATAATGAAGCTAAATCCCATAAAAGAGAAGAAAAAATGTTGAATTTTAAGAAAATCGGATTTTTGAATTTTTTCGAATTTTTGATAATTTTAGATTTTTTACCAAAGAGTCGAGACTATTAAATAAGTAAAGTATTTTTCAAAAGCACAAAAATAATGAAGCTAAATCCCATAAAAGAGAAGAAAAAATGTTGAATTTTAAGAAAATCGGATTTTTGAATTTTTTCGAATTTTTGATAATTTTAGATTTTTTACCAAAGAGTCGAGACTATTAAATAAGTAAAGTATTTTCTAAAAGCACAAAAATAATGAAGTTAAATCCCATAAAAGAGAAGAAAAAATGTTGAATTTTAAGAAATTCGGATTTTTGAATTTTTGATAATTTTCGATAATTTTAGATTTTTTACCAAAGAGTCGAGACAATTTAATAAGTAAAGTATTTTCCAAAAGCACAAAAATAATGAAGCTAAATTCCATAAAAAAAAAGAAAAAATGTTGAATTTTAAGAAAATCGGATTTTTGAATTTTTTCGAATTTTTGATAATTTTAGATTTTTTACCAAAGAGTCGAGACTATTAAATAAGTAAAGTATTTTCCAAAAGCACAAAAATAATGAAGCTAAATCCCATAAAAGAGAAGAAAAAATGTTGAATTTTAAGAAAATCGGATTTTTGAATTTTTTCGAATTTTTGATAATTTTAGATTTTTTACCAAAGAGTCGAGACAATTTAATAAGTAAAGTATTTTCCACATTAAAAAGTTTGACATTAAAAAATATATAAAAAATGCCAATACTTAACCCACAAAATTAAATTTTCAAAACAAACAAATGAATGCAGATAATTTGCTAACGGAAAGGAAACTTACGATTATTATAATATATGTATATGTTTATGTATATTTCTATTTTCTATCAAAACGTATAAAAAACAAAAGAATAACTATAACTAACTTCAAGTGTGGACAGAGATCCGGAAATCTGGAATCACGACGATTATTATATATAATAATTCCTTAAGAATTTTCTAATCCATTTTGCGAAATTTCGATTATTTGGAAAGTCTTCAATTAAATATTTAGAAAAGAACAATTTTATCAACAAATTTATAAATAATTGAATTTTCTCGACGAATTTTAATAAAATTTCCAAGAATAATTACATTTTTCGAGGAGTTCGATTAAAATTGTATTAAAAATAATTGCCATTCTATGATAAGTTTTATTATTTAAGAAAATAATTAAATCTCAGTAAAAAATATTATTTATGAAAATAATTGAATTTTTTGGAGAAGAATTTTATTATTTTTAAAAATAATTGAAATTTTGACGAGAATTTCAAAAAAATTTTAAACACAATTGAATTTCTTCCCTGATCTGTATCAACCTTGCTTATTCGATTATATTTTTTTAATTTTTTACATTACAACTTTTATATTAATCATGCGAATTTTAAACATGACAGAAATTTAAAGCTGCATTTTGGAAATTTCCAAATATTTTGTAAAATGTAGAAATTTTGTTTTGAATTCACATTAAAAATAAGGAACTTTTATAAAAAGAAGTTTAAAAATACATCAGTGAGAAATATTTCATGAAAATAAAACAAAATTTTGTCGAATTGGCAAACCTAACCTATATTGGTACAAGTAAAGTTTTGCCAAGATATTTACGACATTGGTCCACTTACATTTTTTTCATAAAATAAATAAGAACTTTGTAGTAATTATGATTGTTGGTCTTTTGAAACACGATTGTCGATATTAACTTAAAGAATTGAACAACATTATGCAATGTATTGTTTATGACAAGGAAAATCGGAAATGACTAAAACAGAGGGTGTTTTCGACGTTGACACTCTGAGCGCTCTGAAAGTACGAAACGTGGTTGGTTGGGCTAGGGGAATTCTGAATGTTGATTGGCTGAACTTCAAAATTCATAGTTTTATGCTCTGGTTTCCACACTCTGTATCGCTCGGTATCAAAGGTCCGAGCGATACAGAGTGTGGAAACCAGAGCATAAAACTATGAATTTTGAAGTTCAGCCAATCAACATTCAGAATTCCCCTAGCCCAACCAACCACGTTTCGTACTTTCAGAGCGCTCAGAGTGTCAACGTCGAAAACACCCAGACTAAAAAGCGCGACAATTATCTGCTTCTTTGGAGCCAATTTAATACTGCGCATGCGCGGCAGCGCAGACATTGCGACGCAAATATTTTTTACCAAAAATTTTTTGTTCTTATAACAAAAAATGTGCCAAACAATGAAATATTGATTAAAAAACAACGAAATAATCGAGTACTTTGATAATTATTCATAAAATAGCTGAAAATTTAGAAAAAGTAGTAAAATGATTAACCTAACCTAACAAAATGAAATGGCGACAAATTTTATGCTTACGTGGTCATCTTACAATTTTCGCACAAAATATTGTCATGGCTTACTAAAAAACCATGTGCTGCATACGATTATCTAACTTTTGAAACAAGTTAAACTACTTTTACATCAGATTATGATGGATTAAAACTTGAAATTCAACAGCACACAATCATCACTCGATGCCATCGATAAACTAGTCAAATCAATAACTACAATCTTGCGCATGCGCGCAACAGTGTCCAACATTAGTCAAAGTTTGCCGCGAAATTCAAAAGAATTTGAAATTTAATAAGTTGAAATAAGCAAAATTTAGAAAATTAAATTTATTCTTATGGACAAAAAAAAGAAGGAAAAAGAATTTCAGAGAGAAAAAATAATGAAATAAATAAAACGCAAAGCTAGTGTTAAAAAATAAATGATTAAAAATTAAAAATAATTTTAAAAATATATAAACAAATAAAAAAGTAGATTTAAAAAATAGAAAAATTCCTAGAAATTAATTTTAAATAATTAATTTTAATAATGAAGAATAATTTTTTTTATTTTTGTCGAAAATAAATTATATAAATTCTTCCTTAAGGACAATTTTTTAAATTAAATAATTAAATATCAGAATTTTTTCTAAATTAGGCCCTCAAGTTTCTAAATAATTAATAAAATATTAATTTTCAATTCTAATTTAATTTAATCAAATAAACATTTTCGAAAATTGATATTCATTCCTTTAAAACTTAAAAATTGTTTTGTCTTAAATATTTAATTCAAAAAATTATTGTATTTTTTGCTATTGTCAAGAAAAATTAAATAAATTCTTCGTTAATGATAATTTTTTACAAATTAAAATAATTAAATATTAGAATTTTTTAAATCAATCAAAATTAAATTATTTATTAGAAGCTTAAAAATTAAATTATTTTTAAAAAGATATTAAAATTAAATTAAAAAGAACATTTCCAAAATTAAAATGAAATTTCTCATTAAAAGCTCAAAAATTTATTGTTTCGTGTAAAATATTTAGTTCAAAGAATTGATTTTTTTACTGTTGTCAAGAATAAATTAAATAAATTCTTTCGTCAAGAATACTTTTTAAAATTTTTAAAATTGAATATAAAATTGTTTTTCGAAAATTAAGCCCTCAATTTTTAAAATAACATTTTTTAATTTAATGTAATAAAAATTATTTTTGAAATTTAAAATTTAAGTATTCTTTAAAAGCTAAAAAATTTATTTCTTAAACATTCATTTTAAAAAATTAAAGAATTTTTGTTTTTATTAAGAATAAATTAAGTCAATTCTTCGTTGAGGATAATTTTTTAAATGAAAAAAATTGAATAAAAGAATATTAATTCTCAAAACCCTGAATTTTTAAAATATCGTTCTTTTAATTTAATTTTTCAAAAAATCCTTTTAGAAAATTAAAAAATTTACTGAAAACTTAAAAAATTGTTTTGTTTTATAAAAAAACCAAATTTTGTTTTATGAAAACCAATTACTAGAATTAAAATTGATACTTAAAATATAAGTAAAAAAAATTTGGATTCCCTTACCTCATTGATAAATTTTCGATTAGTTAATATAAATCCAAAAATAATTTTTCTAACTAAACGAAAAATATTTTTACGCCAGGTTGTAATGGATTGCACACAACAACGGTGCACAACAGATTTCTAGTTGGTACCTTAGCTGGTTACAATGGTCTTCCAACAGTGATGTCAGGTTTAGATGAATCGATGAGCGACGTGACACCACGAAAAAAATATCCCTTTGAATTGGAGAAGGCTCTTCATAATGTCATGTTTATCCAGCATCATATTCAAAGACAAGACGAATTCAATGCTGTAAGTTCAAATAAAACAGTAAAATTAACAAATTTTAAATATTTAATTATTTTTAGTTCAATCATAAAAAAAAATCTGCTTTTCCTTAGCTAAAACTAATGAATAGTATTTAATATTAATTGGAATTTAAATATTCGAAAATGTTAAGGAATTGTTATGATTAATTTTCATTAAATTAATATTAATATAATATTAATATTAATAATTATTAATATTATTATAATAAATATAATAACTTGAAATTAAATTTTAATTTCTTGCTTATTTATATTTTTACAGGAAGATCAGGATTGGGGATTTGTGGCAATGGTAATGGATCGACTATTTCTCTACATTTTCACAATTTGTTCTCTCTTGGGAACAGTTGCAATTCTCGCCGAAGCACCAGCTCTTTACGACAACACTGAACCTATTGATATGGAATATTCATCTATTGCTCAACAACAGCTATTTCCAGGGAAAATGTTAGAAAAACTGGCACAATTACCTCGTTAATTCTCAATTTCATTTTTTCCTCATTTTTAAATCTTTTTTCTTTTTTTTTAAAGAAAACTTTCATACCAAAAGTCAAAATTAGCGAATTCATCACAAAATTTCTTCTTTTCTTTCTATGAAACAAAAAATCCGAAATTCTAAAAGTCTTGTCTAAAGTCGCTTTCTAGAATCCACTATCAAATTATACAAGAATCAACTTTTCAGCGTTAATCGAGACATATATCAAATCTGATCGAATTTTAGCGATTTATATTGAAAATAAATAGGCAGTCAATTTTTTACAAGCTGCTCTGAGTGACAATAACGAGGTAATAATAATAATAGTCAAGTAGTAAAATTCTTTTTCCAAAATAAAAAAAAAACACTCAACAGTTAATTAGCTAAATGGAAGAAAAAAAACTAGTTTTTAAAGAGTTGAAAGGTTTTCAGAAATAATATTCCAAAAAGCTTTCTCCTTTTAATAAAAATGGAAATATACGTTTATTGAATATGACGTTGATAAAAGTTACATCACAAAGTAAATAAACGTTTTAATCAAAAAGATACCGCACAACATTCGGTACTTTTGAGACTGATGAATTAATCTATATATATAATGATAGAAATACATACAGAGATATATTAAAATAAGTAATGTACCATAATATTATGGTAAATTATATATTATACACTTCCTTAAAATTCATGACATTTTAGGCGATTGCACTCCAAAAATAAAATAAAAAAAAAAAAAAAAAATATCGGAGATAATTCTCTCTCACAGTTCTCTCAACTCTTGACTGCATTTCACATATTTTTATCACTTATAGATATTGTTAACATTAACAATTCTATGGGAAGCATATTTATGGCTGACTGGCTAAAAACCTAACATTTCTTTATATCTATACAATATAATATATATCTGTATAATCTGTACCTTGGAATGATTTTCTTTACAGTAATCGCATATCTTCAGGCACAGTCGACAGAAAACCAAAAAACAAATATATAGGTCATTTTAAATTATTGTGTATAAAACGTAAATTTTCTTATGAAAAAAAATATATATAATGGTTCTTTCAATAAAATGTTTAAAATTATTTCTCCTCTTTAAGAAAAGTAAAAACAATTCTATAAACAACTTATTCTTCTAGGAATATGTTACATATTTTCTGTTTGCTCGTCACCTGTCAGCGTTTAAAATTAATTATGAAAATTTAAAAAAAAATGTAACGAAAATTTACAATTTGATTTTTCAGTGATGAAGATTATTTTTCTCCCTTTCATTTTTCTCTCTTTTATTTTTCTCTATTATCTATTATAATATTCCTTTGTAATCATATATTATTTAATTACTCTTTTACTTTAATTTCCTCTTTAATTTTATAACTTTTTCATTTATTTTATTTTCTATTCGTTATATTTTTCTTATACAATATAGTCATATTTTTACTATTTAATTTTCTTTTCGTAAAAAAAAATAAACGGATATTATTTACTCAAGAAGGTTCTAATTTTTATAAACTATTTTATTCAATTTTAATAATTAATATTTCTCTCATGTTTTGATTTCATATTTTTTTTAAATAAAGCTCCTACCTATTGATAATATTTTTTAATTATAACTCTTTTAATAAATTATTTTTTTAACTATTATTATAATGGTAAAATTATCTAGACAATTCGGTAAATTTTAAACTTAGAAAAACGAAAAGGAAACTTACTGAGTAAATAATATTCAAATAATTTTCTAGTAAAAAATTATTTTTCAATTGGAAAAATCAATTTAAAAAAATATTTTTTTAATGTCTTTTCAATGCTTCTAATTTCTAACATAATCTTTCGCCCCAAACTGTTGCAGGTGATTTTTAATCAAACAGAAGTTTTTTTCCCTGGCAATGATCCACAGTTTTTGAACGTTCAAAGGAACGAAATATTTTTTCATAAAAATATTTTCGTAAATTACTGGTTACAATCAAAAATTTAAATTTACTATTTTAAAATGTTATAACTGTTAGGCTTTAAAATTTCAAATAAACAAATTTGTTTAAGTAGATAAAGTTCACAACGTTTATAATCAACAATTAAAAGAAAAAGAAATATTTTTCCTGTTAAAAGCAGTAAATTTTTTTGTTCACAAATTTTTTCTTATGTAAATTAATAATTAAAAAACAAAACTTTTTATAAAAATTGTAATTATATAAATTTAATTTAGAAAAATATTTTTTTTCTTCTAAATCGTTGATAATGAAAGTTGTGAACTTGACGAACAGATTTTTTTTTATACTTGACACAAAATTTTAATTTGAAGAAGAAAGAAATAAATTTCATTCGTTTGAACGTTCTGAACTTTAGGAACATCCTTGGCAAACTTTTAAAAAAGATATAAAAAATAAAAATGTAAAAATTAATATTAAATGAAAGTCATTAATTCCTTTAAGTTTCTCAACACGAAATATGAGGTAACTTGATTGTGCATGTTTAAAAATATTGCTCATCATGAACCTTATTTTTTGTGCAAACAAGTTCTTTGCAAACATTTGTTCAATACGCAGTAGTAATTGTCAATAAATTTTTGACAAAATAACATAAAGAAAAAGTTTGTTTGCTGTCAATGCTTGTTTCTGCTTGTACGAAAATTCTCGCAATTTGACATAATGAAATTGTTCAATCAATTTTCTTGCTTATTAAAATTATAGCTTTTTAAACTCCATTCGAATCGAATAATATTTCTCTTTTATAATCTAATTTATCCAAATTTTTAAAAAGGTACTTGTATCTGACTACACAATATTTATTACTTGACAAATCTCTTCTTCTAGAGACATTTTTTTTACTCTTCAAAAATGCATATTATTATTATATTGAAAGCAGCTAAGACATCACAATGCGATATTCAGAAAATGTACTCAACTTTTCTTTTTTGAGATTCGAAAAAAGTTTTTCAAGCATGACTAAATACATCATTGTCTTTTTCTCTGTTACAATCTACGATTACTTGGCAGGTCTATAATTATAGCATTTTTATTCTAATTGTAAATACTTTTAAAAAAACGGTTTTCTTCAAAATTGTATAATTCTAAAACTGAATCCTTATATAAAAGATAAATGGAAAGAAAATTGCAAAAAAAGAAATTATAATTGTCACAATATTCCTTTTTTTTGTGTTTTGATTAAAAAATGCATTGATTTTCGCTTTAAATGAAACAGTAAATTTCTTTTAATACAAAAGGATTCGCATAAAGAATTCGTATCACGAAATGGAACACAAATCCATTTCTAAATGTGAATTCTTTATTTACACGCAATTTTAAAAATCTCACTGTCAAGAGTACTGTTCAGTAATCTCATCAAATTTTCACTCACAAATGACATGCACTCGTGTCGATTTTTGTTTTGATATTAAAAACTTATTTTCAATAAGAATCCAATAAGAATAAAATCAATTTAATTAATTAAAAATAATATTTGATAAAAATATAAAATATTCGATAGGAAGAAAAATCGAAGTCTCGTGAAATTCACAAGAAAATATAAAAAAAGTACTGGCGTCAATATCATTGGAAGTTGATTTAAAAACTAATTTTAAAAATATTTAAAAAATCACTGGTAACTGTTAACTATAAAAAAACTATAAAAAATTTCTACTCTAGTAGAAAAAACGAATAAAAATTAAAATGCCTTTCACAACCAAATATGAATATGGAGAGAAAACAACTTCGAAACCAAAAATGATCGACACCTCTCGAATCTCAAATATTCTCATTCAAACTATAACTACATAATATGTATATAAACATTCCTACTTATAATTTCTATAATTTTGCCTATTTACTCGTCGGTAGCTTTATATAAAATCTATAAAGATCGTGAGTCAATAGATAACAAATACATTTAAAGTTTGACCATCTTATAGATTCTCTATCCATATTTAGTATTATAGATATATAATTATTATTTCAGCATAAATAAGATTCCTAAGAAAATCAACCCTTCCATGTTCCAATGTAGGTTTTACAGTTGGGACAAAAGTGATGTACGCTCAGAAAGGCGCTCATGCAGTATGGCAGACAAGAACAGAGGCAACATCTGAAAGTAGAAATTAATCGATAAAATCCATATCTAATTAATTCTTAATCTAAGCCGTCGTCGTGTCCACACACAAAGTAACGAAGAAATAGTACAAAACGAATACGAAGCAAAAAAACAATTAATAAACCATCAAAAGACAAGCGAATGAATTTAAACACAAAGAAGCAATTAAAATATAAAAAGGATTTAAAATAAAAATACTTTACCTATGAGGAAGCAAAAATACAAATTAAAAAAGGAAATAGGTAAAATTAATTTAAAAAAAAAAGAAAAAGTAAAGCATCTAGAGAAGAGAAAATAAATTCCTGCACATTCGAGAATATTGCATTTTTTACAGCAGTTAAAAGTGAGAATAAGAAAATTAAACGAAAACCACACTGAGAAATTAAATGGACAATTGGAACAAAAAATAGAACACAATATGAGGAGAGAGAAAAAATCGAAAAAATTCGCAATGAAATTTTAAATTATCTGACCTGGTTTCTTCTTTTTCTTGGAGGTTCGAAAACAAAGAATAATTAACCTCGGAGGATAACAAAAACAAACTTGAAAAAAATATTATGAATCGATTTAGAATAAATTAGCAATAAATATCTTTGATTATGATTAAGCTGTTAGTTTTCGTATTAATACACTTTCATGTATTATAAAATCAAATAACATTGTCTCAAATAAAGACAGTAATAATTTTCATTAGTTGAATTTCCAACAAAAGGGATAAAATTAATTTTTTCCCAAAAAAGAAAAATACAAGGAAGATTTATGATTTGCAGGAAAAGCAAAGCAAATGAATTAAAATTATATTTCTCAAAGTTTGAAAGTTGCAATAAGTAAACTTTCAATCAGCCTTTGATTACAATTTCAGGGATCACAGTGATTTTTTTATTTAAAATTAGGGAAAAAAGAGGATTTTTATTTTCAAAAAAGAGATTCAGTTCAAAAAAAGAAAAATTTGCAATTTAGGAAAAAAATTATTGTATTACAGCGTATACAATTTATTTTGGAGATTGTAAAATTTATTATAAATTTTTATTTTCAGAATAACTTTTACTATTTCTAAAGAAAATTTCTTTATAAAAATCAGAAAAATTTACTTCCGATGTAGTGAAATTTATTTTGGGAATTCTAATTTTTAATAACAAATCGTACTGCGTTGAAAAAAAATGTACAAAATTTTTATTCAAAAATTAACAGTGCGAAAAGTTTGCTATTAAAAATCGTTATTTTCAAAGTACATAAATTTTATAATATCTGAAGTAAGATTTAAATAAATATTAGTAAAAAATAAACAAAAAATGAATTAAATTTACTTCGAACTTGACAAAATTTTCTTTAAAAATAGTAAAATTTACTGTGTTAAAAATTGTTATTTCCAGAATAACTTTTACTATTGACGAAGACAATTTTTTATAAAAATTAGAAAAATGTACTAATTTGAAATAGTAACATTTATTCTAAAAATAGATTTTTCAAAGGCTAATTTCACTATGTTCGAGCAAACTTTGAAAAATTTTTATACAAAAATTAATATTGAAAATAGTAAATTTTTTTATTTATTTATTAAATTTATTTAGTTTTGCTATATTAAAAATCTTAATATTCAGAGTCAATTTTATAATAACGGTAGTAAATTTTATTGAAAATTAGAAAAATATACTTCGAATTTATTAAAATTTATTTTGATAATAGTCCAATTGGCAGAAATTCCAAACAGTTTGGGTTTTAGTTCATAAATATTAAAAGTTACTATATATTTGTTGCCTTGTATGAAAAAATGTCTAATTTAAGAAACTCTGAGAAATAATATAAAAAGATCTTTAAATTCAAAAAAAAAAAAAGTTTGCAAAAACGAAAAATTGTATTTTCCCAAGGTTTTTCAAACGCTCAAATAAAAGACGATATTTTGTACTTTTTTTAATTTGTATTTTTTTTATAAAAAAAAATTATTTAGTATTCTACAAATTGATTTTTAACTACGTAACTGTTTAATTTTAATTATTTTTCTTTATGTACAATAATTTTCAAAAATATTTCTTTCATTTGAACGTTTAAAACTTTAGGAGAATAAAAATGTTTCTTCTAGCATAAGTAAATTTTTTTTAACTTACAAAAAAATGATCATTTTTTAAAGTTTTTCTTAAAAACAATCGGAAAAGGGGAGAAAATGTTTGATCTTAGGTATTTTAGAGAATTATATTAATTTAAGGGAATAAAAAAAGGAGACGAACTGTGATCCCTGCAATTTTTCATTTCAATCAGTTTTTCATAAAATTTGAAAAAAAATTTCAAATTTCAGAACATTTGAAAATAAAATTCTGTTTTAAATAACAAAAGCAGAACTAAAATACTTGTATGTACGTGCAAAACATCAGGAATACAATCAAGTTTTAGTTTTGCATTTAACTAGTAGAAAAAAGCATGCAAAGATATGAATGTTGAAATGATAATGTGACGTTCAATAAATTAGATACAAAGTGTGACTAATACATAGAGAACTCACCCAAGAAGACAGAGAATAAAGCAACAGATATGTGCACTGGGTTGATGATCTGAAACTGTCGTTGTCTTAATATCAACATGACAAGTTGGACATCTCATTTTAACGGCATTTGGTCCTAATGAGACCGCAACATGCTGATGAACTATTCGCACTTCTTGAGGTGGAGGTGGTGAAAATGTTTGCTGTGCTCCAAATTGCTGGGAATATGGTGCATTACTTTGAGATGGTGGAACTGTTATTGGTGCTGATGTTCCTTGCGGTACAACTACAAATAAAAACAAAAATGTTACATATAATTTTTCAAAAAAAAAAAAAAACAAAGGAAAATTTAAACAGAAAAAAGTTATTTCCAATATCAATAAATACCAAACCAAGCAACAAAAAATAAATTAATTTAATATTCGGCCTCTGAAAAGATAAATTAGTTTTTATTTTATTAAAAATTGTTATTAAATAATAAATAAAATAAAAAAATAAATAGATAATTAAATAGATTCAAAATATTAAACATAAAAAAAAATGTTTACCAAAAATATTAATTATTTTCAATGCGAATTTATTATCATATTGAATAATAATTTGTTTTCGCTAAAAGTTAGATAATTAATTATTTCATTATAAGCATCTTAAATAAAAAAAACAAACCCTAAAAAAATGGAATGAATGAATAAAATTGAACTGAAAAAAATAAGGAAAGTTTACATAATTAGTATAGTATAGTAGCAGTAAATTAAATGAAATGAACATACATGGAGTTGGCATGGGCATTTGAGATCCAGCCGCTGGATATGGAGGATTATTGGGTAAATTTGCAACATATCCAGATTGAGCAACAGCTTCTTCGTAAGAAGGTGGAGCTGTTGGCAAAGGTGCTGTAGGAGCTGTAGGACCTGGTTGAGGCATTTCTTGAATTTTTTCCATTTCTTTTCACCTGCGAAAATAACGATTCATAAATATTTCAATATTCATTTAGATAATTAAATTCAATCCAATATCTCTAATTATTTCAACTTTTACGATCTTGAAAATTCCAGAAACTTAATTTCACAATACTTGAAAGTAAATATAAATAATTACGAACGGAAAATTTCAATCAATATTTTTTTTGCGAAGAAAAAATAAATAATAAGATGAAAAAGTAAATTTCATCGAAGAGAAAATAATTTAGTAATAAAATCAATTAGTAAACAATTCAATTAACACTAAATAGTTTTTTAATTAATTAAATTAATAAATTAATTTCAATAGTATTTTCAAAAAAGATTTGTTTCTGAAAAAAATCCCCCCTCGCGTTCATGAACTTCGATTTCATTTTAATTTCTATTTTTAGTAACACTATTTTAAATTCAAAATTCCATCGTGGGGGAGCAATCTTCGTATTTCTTTTCCAAAGAATCGATGCCTATAAATAGCAAAAAATAATTTCAACGAGAATGCTAAATAAATTAAAATATTAATTTGTCAAGAGAGAAAACAAATGGAAAGAAAAAGTTTTTATAAACAAGGAAAAGAAAAAGAGTGGAAAAAAATTACATAACTTGATATGAAACATTCCATAGATTCAATATTACGAAGATTTGTAAAATATTAACACGAAAAGAATGGAACAAATTATAAAAACAATAAATTCTTCTATGAACGCTTCATCGCAACAGTAAAAATGAATAATAAAGTATTATAGAACGAATAGAAAGTTTTAACGGAAGTTAAGTCAGAATGTTTTCACTCTTTGTCAGCATTTCGGTCAGGGATTGCAATTATTATTCGCAATAGTAATTTATTATTACGCTTTTGCGTTCTTTTTCAAATTGAAATACTCTATTTGACATCTGCCATATGAGTAAATAATAAATTTTAAAATACCAATTATTCACACCGAGATAAAAAAAAATCTATTTACGTGAATAATTTAAACAGTATTTGCAAAGTAAGCAACAATATTAAAAGAATCGTAATTATTTTATTGCACTTGCATAAGATTTTTTCTAATCAACATTCAATTGTAAACAATTGTAAAAAAGAAGCTTAATTTCAAATATATTTATTATTCCGAAAATTTCCTCAATAAAAATGAATGTACTTTTCATAAAGCAAGAAATTGTATTCTAGTTATTGATATCAATTTCAATTATAAAATTGTAAAATAGATTAAAGTTATAAAAATTTCAAGTTACTTGATTATTTGATTTTATATTGCAAGATAAGAAAAACAGAACATTATCAGAAACAATTATTCGAACTGTATTAATTAAAGAATAAACAACTTATAAAGCATGCAATATTACAAAACTCTATGATTTTTACATACCCTTTAACTATTGAACTTAACCTTTCAGGTTGAAAGATTTTAACAATATTGCAGGATTTTCTCAATACGAAGAAATAGTTGTTGATTAAAATTCTAATCACAATCTTCTAGTCATTTGTTTATCGTCACACTAGATAAATTCCTTCACTAAGTTAAGATGAAATCTGTATATCTCTTGTTGTCTCATATAATGTTTCAGCTGATAGAAATACTGATCCACTGATGCAAAAATTGGTAGTAAACCACTCATATCGTCATCGGAAACTCTATAAAATATGACGCACTCGAATAAATACAAACTACATTTACTTTTATCCGTGAAAGTTATAATGCTTCTGCCTGCTACTGCATGTCAGAGCCGAAAAAAAAACATGGACGTTTGACTGCGGGAAGAATCTTGACCTCGGGAATCCTAACCTAACTAAATGATTGCCAATTGACAAATGCTACTTTGATCCTTCAGATTCTTTGATAAGATTTATACAAAATAATGTAAATTTCGAGAAAAAAAAATTGCAAAAAGTGGAAAAAATATGTTTTGTGTTTACCTTTTTCTCGTACCAAAATATTTGTGCGACAATCGTTGATTCGTTGAAAACACACCCGCACTTGTGAAGCGAATGATAATAAAATTATTAAATGCGAATGAATAGGCCTTATTAAGCTCTAAAATTCCATCGTCGTATAATTTAATGTCTAAAACTAATGGGATTAATAAACACAAATCACTAATTAAATGCAAAGCCGCGCCAGCCGCGCTTATTAATAAAGTGTTACGAGCGGTACTATGGGTACTGTGCAAATTCACTCGTATTTGATTCGCGGATTCATTCTTAGTAATATCCCTGAAAAGGGACCGGGAAATTTCAAATAAATACAGAAGTAATTCCGTTAAAACGGAGGGAAAAACTCTTACGAATAGGAGGAACCAATTAATGATTAATATTTATATTAATCAATTATTAGTTCTACTTGCTTCGTGAGGAAACCCTTTTAGTTTATTATAAAAGTCAACTTTACAAAATGCAACCTTTCGGTTCGAGATTAGTCTTAATACTAAAGAACGACGAGAGGAGATCTGCGACTCCGCTCTAAGTACATAATATTGTTCACTGCGCAAGTCCTGAGTGACGTACGTTCATCACCAATTCACTGTACATTTCTATACACTTCTCTTCTCATCAACTGTACATTTTACACTCATACAGTCATACTCATTGTTTCTAAAAGTCATACATTTATCAGACATTACAAATCAAATATATTACATACTGTCTTATTCTATTTCATTAATTAATAACAATTATTGTATTTTATACACTAATAAGTTTTATAGTTTATTTAGACTTAATAGTTTAAACATTAATTAATATTTATGAATATGATTACACATATTATTAACAAATTATTAACATTAGTTATGAATAAAGGAATGAAACGCATTTTGCCGAATTAATGCGTATTTCAAAACTTCTTTGTCAAAGGAAAAGATATTCGATACTTATTTAGATTTTGTTTATATGAAGTATTCCTAAGTGGAAATACCAAGAAGACTTTAGGGAAATATAATAGCTTATTTTACGAGTTAATTCTCGGAGCAGATAAAAAGGTTATTGTGTATATATTTTCCAATATTTATTCTATTTAATAAATTGAAAGACGATTCGTTTTATAATTCGAAATCTAAAAAGCTGTGCCATCTCTCACGATTTAGAATTAACATTTTACTTAAAATTATTAATTTATATTTAAATTAATTAAAAGAAATCTCATCGATATATCGAGATTCGATTTATCGATTATCAGTAGAGCGAGATAAACGTCGCTCGTTACAAAAGCACCCAAATTGAGAATATTGCGCATGTGCAGGACACAGTGTCACCAACCTTCTCTTTCAAATAATTTCCGTTCCGATAAAAATGTTAATTATCTTCAACTAGCTTGACATTGTTCCAAAAAGTAACAATACACCATAAATTATTGAAAGTAAACTATATATATTGTTTTTCAATTAAGAAAAAGAGCTTTAGTTCCCATTTTACAATTTTTAATTTCTCCGCCCTTTTTTCACTGCCCTCTGTTGGTAGTAGTGCATCATAATTTCACAAAATGGCTACCTTGCAATGTACAAGTTTGTTGTGTTCTCTCTTTATTATGTTAAATATAAGGATAATTTTCTGAAATGTTTGAGCAATTTGCAAATGAAATGAATTTATTATTAATATAAAGGTGAGTCACTATATAATTTACATGATTTTGCATGTCGTACGAAAAATATTAGAAAGTTGCATTCTGTATACAAAGAGGGTCGAACATTTTTCACAACATTCCTAATTTTTGGTAATCTTGACTTTAATTATACTTTAACATATCAAAAAGTAAATCAAAACTGTTGCAATTCATTATTGTTTCACATTTTTTGTATAAATTTGATAAAATTTTGCATATGTAAGCCGCGATCGAAGCGATGAAACATTTGAAACATAACCTAAAAATCAATATACACAAACTCAGCATGACAACAATGTACAATCTTTTTTGACAAATATTGTAATATTTACAGTAAATTATCTGTCGAAATAGATAACTAAAGATAATTTGTATTTATTAAAATTATTATTGCTAACTTTTTACCTGAAACTAAAAAATTTAGAAGTAAAAAAAACACGGAATTGTAATTGTGGTATTTAATCTTCGACTTTTAAACTCAGTCAAAATTTTGGCAAAAATGTTGATTTGTTTTGTTTTCATGTATAATTAATAATTAAGGGGAGGGTACATCGACATTTTTAACTATATCAAGAAAATAATTTAAATATTCCACGAAATAATTTTTTTAAATTAATTTTTTATGAGGAATTCAATGGTCTAAAAATAAAATCAATCAGAAAATAATTTGACCCTTTTTGAATTTTTGAAGCATTTTTTGGAAAAAAAATCTTTGTTTTCATGCTGAAAGTGCTAAAAAATACCATTGTTATCAAATTTTTGTATACGAAAATGCATTTGTTTATTTTTCTAACTAATTTCATATATCATAATTTTAGACTAATTTTTTTGTATTTTTTTATATGAGTATAAAAATTGTGATCTAAAATTAGTTAGAAAAATAAACTAACGAATTTTCATATAAAAAAAATAATAATAATAGTATTTTTTAGCATTTTCAGTTAAAAATCAAAGAATTTTTTTAAAAAAATGCTTCATAAATCATGAAAATCAATTTTTTTATTTGCCAATTTTGTTGTGGATTCAAAAACATATTTTCTACAAAATTACCCATGGATTTTAAAATCCACACGGAGAGAAAAATCAATCGTTTATAGCATGAATGCTTTGTATTTTAAAAGTATGAAATGTTAGTATACTATGACTGCAAGAAAGTATACTGCGATTGCAAGAATCCTATGCTTTTTCGGTATTAGACCCTTGCAACTGGCTATTAGGCCACGCCCAGAGCCTGGGCCGACCAATCACATTGCAGAAAACTTTTACCGAAATCGCATAGGTTTCTTGCAATCGTAGTATGAAGAACTTCATGCTAAAAAGCCCAGATATTTCTCTCCGTGCACCAATTTTTAATTAAAATGAAAATTCAAAAAGGGTAGAAATATTTTTTGACCGGTTTTTATTTTATGCCCATTGAATTTTTTACAAAAAATTACTTTAAAAATAATTTTGTAAAATATTTAAATTATTTTCTTGATATAGGGTGAAGGAACCAGTTGTCGAGTCGACACCAGTTTTCGAGTCTTGGTGACTATTTATGTCTATAAATAGTAAATTATATTAAATACGTAAAATAAAATAATATAACAATATTCCCAATTAATATAGTTATTCATAAAAAAATGTTTTATTTTGTAATGTTAAATTGTTTTTCTTAAAAAAAATAATTTTATATGCATTACTCACGAAATCAGAGGAATGACACCATTTGCTATTTTCATTCGTAATGTGACTTGTGTTATTTAACTTCTAAGTACAGTTTATTTTTTAATATTTAAAAAACTTTTTTAATACCATTAAATTCTGAAGAAAACAAAGAGTATCTAACTGTTGATAATTACTTTATATGACTATTTATTAGTTTAAATAAAATTAATACTCGGTAACTGGTACTGAATTTTGATTGCTCTCCAATTGTCGATTTGTTGACTCGAGAAATGGGTTTGGCATAGGGTAACTGTACCAATTGTCGAGGGTTTTAGGCAACATGTGACTTTGACATTTTTTTTCTCGGAAGTAAATGCACTTTAAAATTTGATTTTTGTATATTTGGACGAAGGATCTAATAATGTTTAATATTCATTTTTATTTTTTTAATATAAACTAAATTGTTAAGCAAAAAATATATTTAAAAGTCAATCGAGCAAAAGCACCATTTGTCGATGGTCTTGTGCTAATTTCTCGAGGGTCTGTTCCAATTGTCGAGGGTATGACATTTTTAAACATATAACCCAATATAACCTAACAATTAACCTGTACAGATATTAGAAAATCGAGTAGATATTTATTTTTTCGATAAAAATATTATAGAACATTACCAGAAAACAAATATATTTATTTAACTATAATTAAATAATTTATAATATCGATATAAAACATTTTTATAGTAGATGATACAGGACAGAAAATTATTTAACTGTTTTTTAAACTTTTATAAATAAGTTAATTAAATTTAATCAATTTTGTTAATCAGACATTAATTGAAAAAATAAATTAATTTAAGTCACATTAAATTTGTAAACGAATAAAATAAACTTTTATTACGAACTGTAAATATAATGGTTAATTATAATTAAACTATAGTACAAAATTTTTTAGTTTTAAATAATGTATTTTTTTATTAATTTTTTTTCCGTCTTCCTTGTTTTTTTTTGGTGATTATTTTCTGTTGGTTGTAAATTTTTGGAGCATTTTTTTTCTTTTTCTCTGTACCTATAAATGTTTGGTATTTATGTTTGACGTTTAGTAAATAAACACTTAACCATCGATAAATGGTACATCAGCGAAAAAAGTGACTACACCAATTTTCGAGTCATTACCTCGAAAAATGGAACTGTCAAAAAAAAGGAACCAAATACCGATGATTTGCTTTTAAAAAATATTAAATATTTTTTTTAACAAAAAAACATGCATACAAAATTAATTTGGTTCTTGTACAAAATTATAATAATAATTTTGTACACAAAAAGTCATTATAAATACGTTTAATTTGCATTTCTAAAAATCTGTTCCAATCAACCTGAAGTATTAAGAAAACGGAGATTCGTGTAAATTTCACAGCAGTGAATTATAATATTAATTAAATAATTATTTTAGTAGAATCGCTACGAAATTTGTATATATAAATATACAGTTGAAAATACAAAGATTATTTAGAAATTTTTTTTGTTCTTAAATATTATATATTATACTATTTATCTAAAAAAGAAAATTATTATCCTCGACAATTGGAGCACCCTCGGCAATTGGTGCAGTTACCCTATTTTATTATTTGACACCATTTTTCGATTGTCAATTAAAAACGTAAGCATAAATATTATCTGTCATTTTCGTAGGTTAATATATGGTTAGGTTTTTGTAAACATCTATTAATTAATTTAATTTTCTAAATACTTGAATTTGGATAAAAAAATTTGTATTGAAGAATTAAATTCATGGAAATTTTGTAAAATTATATTTAGAGTAATTAAATTTGTTATATATACAGTTTTTTTTTAAATTTCTATTATGTGACAAAAAAAACGACAACTGGGTCAAGAAATCGAGCAATTGGTATCTGAGCCTCGACAAATGGTATTTTACAAACAATTTCTTTAATATTAATTATTTAATATATAATTTATTTTTTTAACGAAATTTTATCAAGTATACTAGCTTAGATACTCCTCTTACTTAAATTATATTTTTTAATTTACATGGATGGTTTTGATTGTGATTAAAAAATGTGTAAATGTTGAACCTCACTATTTCCTCGACAAATGGTTCCATCACCCTAGTTAAAAATAACTCAATTGTTTTTAAAAGTTAGGCACTTGTTTTTTTAGTTGAAATACTTTTGACGCATTTTAAATGAATTTCCACTTGTTTTGATTCAGAGAGCAGTAATTAGATTCTTTTTAGTAAAAGTACTGGACAAAATTGAATTTGTTAAAATTCATAAAAAAAACTCTGAATTTTGAAGGAATTTAATTAGAAATTTTAAAGAATTAAGTTTTTAAAAAGTTTTAATAATTCGAATTCTTCTGAAATTAGTTGCATTTTTTAATATATATATTTCATTAAATTATTAAAAATTATGTATTTAAAGAAGAATTTTAGTTTTCAATTATTTTTAAAATTAATAAAATTCTTCACAGAAATTCAATTGTGTTAAAAAATTATTAAAATTTCTCGTCAAAATTTCAAGTATCTTTATAAATAATAAAATTCTTCTCCGAAATTAAATTATTTTCAAAAATTTTCCTCAATTCAATGATTTTAAATATATCTACTATTTTAATCAAATTTTCCAAAAGAATTCAATAATTTTATTAAAAATGTTATTAAAAAAAATCTTAATAAAATTCTAAGCAAACATTTAATTATTTCCATAAATAATTAAAATTTCACAGTAATTCAATTATATTTACAATTTTTTATAAATATCTTCTCAATAATTAAATTATTTTCATAAATAATAAAACTCATTGCAGGATTTTAATTATTATTTTTGATACAATTTTAATAGAATTCCTTGAAAAATGTGATTATTTTTTAAAAATTTTATTAAAATTCGTCAAAAGAATTTAATTATTTAAAAATTTGTTGATAAAATAAAATAAAATTCTTTATTTTGAAAAATTTGATAATCTAAATTATTATAAAACATGAAAAAATCGATCATTCCGAGTCTTTGACTCGGAGTGATCGATTTCTTCATGTTTTATAACAATTTTTTATAAGTTGTTTAATTTCAAAAAGATTTGAATTAAAAAGTTTTAAAATCTTCATTTCTATGGAAAAATATTAATGATTAAATATTTATTTAAACAAGAAGTTATTGATTTTTTTCCGATTTTGCATGTTAGTTTTTACATTAGAGTAATTTTGTATGAATGTATATTTAATATTTCTTTTGTTCAACATTATTTATTAAAAGTTATTGATGTTTTCGAATAATTTACAATTCAAGAAATTTGTAAATAAATGTAATAAAAATATTTTTGAGTATCTAATAATTTTTAGAGTGAATCAGAATATTCTTTAGAATCAGGGAAAAAGTCAAAATTTCGTCTGGAAATCAGGGAAAAATGAAATTAAATATTTGTAGCAACTCTGTTTATTAAATTTACAAATAACTAAATTTTTTTTTAATTTTCAGTGAATCAACCACCTGTAAAGGGAGTTTTTAGATGCGGCTGGGCGAATCAATTTGGCGATTGAATCGAGAAAAGATCCCAAGCTTTAATATGATGGAATACTCGTCTTGGGCTCAACAGCAATTAATAATGGACAATCAACGTTATTATGCTCAGTATATGGAGGAATTATCTCACTATCATCACAATCATCACAATCATCATCACCATCATCAACGATCTGATCTAGTAGAAGAGGATAGTGAGCAAATCGGAGATGAAATGCACGATACAATGACGTCTGCCACTTCCTGTGATCGTAGTTCAAGTGCCGATCTCTTCAGACTTGAATTCGCCGCAACTCAATGGTCTAAACTCGTTTCCAATGCGGAAGGTCTCTTCAATAAGCTTATCGTAAGTAATATTTTGCCTCATACCGAACAAGATCAAATAGAACAATGGCTATGCATGAAACAAGAATACGAGGAATGTATCACGAGCGATGATACAGCGAGTTTTCAAGGATTCGCCGACAATGCAAGAAGATCACTAGAAATAATTGAAGAGGTCACGGAAACTGATGAGAAAACCGACGAATCCGAAAATCGAATGGACTATCGAGACAGATCGGACACATGTTCGGAAACGGAGAGTGAAATTTCCGAGGAGGACGACGAAGACGACGAGGAAGATGACGAGGAGGACGACGTCGACGACGATGAAGAGGAAGAGGAAGACGACGACGACGAAGATCAAAGCGACACAAATTCCGAAAATCCCGATTTCGCCGAGAGACTCGACGAATGCATGACTAAATTCATATTCGAAACCGATGGATTTATTGATTCAAATAAAGAATTTCGAGAGCCAACAACACCAATTATTCCACAAATATCAAGAAACAATAACGACACGAGTCCAATAATGAAACCAATGCCCAGAAGAAATCCAAACATGAGACGAAATTCAATGCTTCCTGGTTCGGAAATGTGTAACGGTCTACTCGCCTTCAATGACAATTTCAAACTCACTCAAGCTCAGAATATTCAAACCGACTCGTCAAACAGTATTAGTCTCTCGAAAATTTCCGAAACTGCCCAAAGCAGCGAATTAGAACCACAAAATAACAATAACGAAATCGCCATAATGTCCCAATCGGAGAATTCACCAAATTCATTCCTAGACGTTCTGAGAAATTCCGAAAGTCCTGGACCAATAAAAGAACTCAAAGCCCTAACAAAAAACAACAAAGCTAAACAAAAGGAGGTATTAAAAATCCAATCAGATCTCGAAGGAGCGCACAAGAGAATCGAAGAACTGCAATCAACGATAAAAATAAAAGAGCGCTTTATAGCCGAAATGATACAAAATTCCGATACAAAATCGTGCGCAAAGCAGAGATTTCACCATAAGCAGACAAAACTAAAAGAGGAATATTACAACACAAGAACGCAATTAGCTCACGCCGAGAGTGCATTCACGACTAATGAAACCGGCGAGAGATCAACGTACAAAAAAGAAATTGAACTCTATCGAAATATGGCATTTCACTACGAAAAAAAATTAATGGACATTGAAATGATAAGGCGAATTGCTGGCGATTCGGCGAGAAAAGTACGCGAACTCGAAAATTCCCTCAGTCTATCAAAGAAGCAAATGGAGGAACTTACACGTCAACTGAAAAAGGAGGAACGCCTAAAAAAGCAACTAGAAGACGAAGTTGCCGAGGATCAAAAGAAAATTCGCGATCTAGAAGAGAAATATAATCTAACAGCTTCAAAATTAAAGGAAATTCAATCGGAAAGCGAGGACGAACGGGCAAAATCAAGAAGTGAGAGAATATCCTATCTCGATCAGGTCCTGAAAGAAAAATCAATGGATCTCGAGAAAATTGACGATACAGATGAAAAGAAAGCCTTACGACACGAAATACAAAATTTTCGTTGTACACGTGATCGGCTAATTGATGAGAAATTACATAAAGAAAAAACCTTCACGACAGTTGATGATGAACGTGATTTATTCGAATGTAGAGAGACCATCGATGTTATCGACGCAGTGATTGAACATAAAAATGAAATGATTTGCGGTAGGAAAGATTTCGACGAGGATTTAAAGAAGAGAAATAATGGAATGTGCCTGGAGCAACTGGATAAATTGACGGACGGCGAAATGAAAAATCTCTTTCACACCTATTTCAGCAAGGTCGTTGATTTGAAGCAAAATCTTCAATCGCTCGAGAGTCATAATCAACAATTGGAAATTCATAATGAAAAATTGGAGAAGGAAAATGTTTGTCTAAAGCATGAATATCGAACAATGTTTAATGTATTGAAACAAGTGAAACTTGAAGCTGAGAAAAGAGATGTTTTGCGGCAGGAAAAATATCAACGACAATCGCATTTAATGCTTAAACATTTTGCGGAGAATTCAAGTAGTTCGGGACAACATGAGAAAATTGATAATGATTCGGAGATTGCGAGGTATAGAAAGGAAAATCGAATATTAAAGAAACGATTACAGGACGCTGAGGCTCATAATAAATCTCCACCTACCAAAGTAACAAGAGAGAAGAATAAATTAATTATTCAAAAGACTACCGACTCGGACAAAAAGAAGAAGTGAGTTCAACATTAATTAGATAGGTAATTTTCTTTTTAAATTTTTTCTTTATTTAGAGGGGAAAAAGAAAATATTTTAATTCATTACTTTCTTTTCAAAGAAAAGTATATTTTACGGTTGGAGATATCTGTGATAAAGAGTGAAATCATTTTTCGAGATTTCTTTATATTTTTCTCAAGTACAGAATTGTTTTTACAATTTATTGTACTTTAATGTTGTACATATTTGTTAAGAATTAGTTTCCATGAATTTAAATATTGCAATATTTATTTTACCGCGTAAATATTAAAATTTGTATGAAAATTAATTATAATTTATAAAAATAATTTATAATTATTAGAAAAATTTAAAAATATGCAAATTCTTTTTTATTTTTGCATATAAATTAAAAAATTTCTGTTTTTTATCTGAGGTAAAAATAATTTTGCACATTCACTGATGATAGAATAAATGTTGCAATTTTTAAACTCAGTTATTTTATAATATACTCTGGATCTTCAAATTTTTGACATTCATAATGTTACAATTGTAACATGGCAAAAAAATTCTAAAGTAATTTTTCAAATTAATAATGAATCAGTGTATTTTTAATATTAAATTAAAATTATCAACGTTTACGTCGACGAAATTGAATTAAAAGAAGCAATAATTTTCCAGTAACTATTGTCTTCCTCGCGTTGATAGGATTGAAAATCTTTTCAGGATATAAAAATAAATAATTTTTCTCTTTTGTGAAAGAAAATAATATTTTCTTTTTTATTTTTATAAAAAATTATTCATTTCTTGATATTAAAAAACAAAATTTCTCTTTTTGCTGCGACAAAAACGTTGGTAACTTTAGTTTCATACGAAAAATCTGCATAATAAGCAAAAGTTCCGGAAATTTTTATCGTTCAAAGGAACGAAATATTTTTTTCGACAAAAATATTTGCAAAAATTACTGACTGTATTAAAAATCAAAAACGCAAATTAAACATTTTATAACTTTATAAATTATTTCTTCATACGTAACGCAATATTATTATGATATAATTTGCATATGAAAAATAAATAATTAAATTTCGTTCATTTGATCAACTTTAGAGACATTCACCCAGAAAAAAGATTTTGTTAATTCAAAGAAATCATTTTCCAAGATTCTTTTTCGTTCATTGAAAATGAATTTTTCTTTGACTTGTTCCTTCGATTAAAAATTAATTTTTCTTTGATTTAAACAAATTTTCTTTAAATCTAAGAAATGTCCTTTAAATCAAAGAAATTTTGTCATTAAAATAGAGACAAAGAAATAATTCTTTAATTTAAAGAAAAATATTTTTAAATCAAATAAATAAAAGTATTTCTTTGAAACAAATAAATTGTCTTTGAATTAAAGAAATTTTTTTAAAGAAATTTTTTTAATCAAAAAAATTTTACTTGAATCAAAGAAAAATTAATTTTCAATCGAAAAAACAAGTGAAATAAAATGATTTCTTTAATTCAATGAAAACTTTTTTCTATGGGTGTGTAAACACAAGTTTTTAATTCTTTAATATTCAGAAATTTTTTCCGAAATGTTACCGAATTTTTGAAAGTTTAAATGAACGACATATTTTTTAAAATCGAAAAATATTAACATAATATTGCATTACGTATTAAAACAATTTATAAGGTTTAAAATTTAAATTACATTTTTGATTCATTGCAAAGGCAGTAAATTTTTTGTTATATTTATATTAAAAAAAACTATTTTTGTCATTTGAACGTTCAGAATTTTTTGAGCATTAGTTTTATCGCAATTATTAAAACAAAAATAATATGAAAATTAATTGATAAAATTTTTGCGAACAAAATAAGCGTTTAATTTAAAAAATTGATGAAATTAAATATTTTAATTATGCTCAAAGGTATAATAGATTTGTCGATGTGAATAAATTCGCATAATTTGTTAACAATAAACATTTAATATTGTTTTTTAAACAATATTGCATATTTTCGGAAAAATATTTATTAGCCATATAAAAGTGTTTAAATATTTTTATTAATAGCCGTATATAGATAAATAATAGCTCTCAGGCCTTGTGCTCTATTTAAAATTTAAAAGGAAAAGTATTTTCTATGTAACGAATTTAAATCTATTCAATGATAAAGTTCCCAATTGATGACAAATGTTGAATATTTAATCGTAGTTCATTCTTTAAAAAATTAATTAGAAACAGATTTATATAAAATATTTACAATACATATTACTAAAAATTAACTAATGATTTTTAAAAATAACTAAACAATATATTTCCTGTTCAAATTACAGTTTGGCAGTATTTTCTATTTCAAAAGATTTTAAATAAATAAATAGAAAGTATTTTCTTTTTATTAATTCTATTTTATTAACACTGTAAAAAATTTTTTTTGACTTATTAATTAATTAATTAAAGTAAATTTAAAGTCTTTGGCAAATTATCTATTAATAGTAAAATTATTTACATAAATTTTGAAATCGGCATGAATTTAACTGTCTTTTTTCAATTGTTATTCACAATAAGAAGCACAGTTTCTTTTGAATATGAGTGAAATTTCTTCAGTAGAATAATTAGAAAAAATCTTCTTGTATAAACTTAAAAAAAATACACATAATTAATGTGTAATCTATATATATATATAGTGGTTTTATCAATTAACGAGAGAAATTGTAGAAAATTTATTTTTTAACGACTGAAAATATGAATGTTCAAATTAAAATTATTTCAACTGAATGAACAAGCTAAATTATGCAACGTTAATAGAATAGCAAATTTATTTTTTTAAATAAAATTTATTATGCAAAGACTAATTTTTAATTGATGAAAAATTGAAATTGCATTATGTAAATTTTTATCTGTAACTATTTAAATATATGTACGTTGCATATTTTAGTTTTACAATGATTTTTTAAAATTAAGTTTAGTTTTTCAAATGGGCAGTAAAACATTTAAATTGTCTGTTTATTTTGGTAATAACAAAAATTAAAAGTATATTATCTTTGTATCGACAAAACTTAAAAGTAATTTACTTTTTCAACAATGAAAATTAAAAGTAATTTATTTTTGCAACAACAAAAATTAAAAGTAATTTATTTTTGGAACAACAAAAATTAAAAGTAATTTATTTTTATAACAACATAAATTAAAAGTAATTTATTTTTGTAACAATTAAAATTGAAAGTAATTTATTTTTCGCAAAATCATAAATTAAAAGTAATTTATTTTTGTAACAATCAAACTTAAAAGTAGGTAATTTATTTTTAATACCAGAAATTGAAAATTTAATTGAATTTTTCACTCTTAATCTGCATCAGTAAAAATTTTATACTGCTTTTAAATTCAGTGGACGAGTTATCTTTGATGAATCGGTAAAAATCCACTGATTGTCATAAAAATTCTGATTCTCAGTAAAATTATACTGATTTACAAAAAAAACCTCCACCACCAAATTGAAATCAGTGAAATTTCCACTAACTCAGATTAGAAGTGTTCCATCAGAATTAATTTTATTTTTAATGTTTCGAAATAAAATTTATCAATTTCTATTAAAAATACAATTTAAAATTAATAATAACTGCTTGAAATTTTAGTATAAGACAATTCGGAGGTTTTTACTGTATGTTTCTTCACAGTAAGAGGAACGACTTATTTTAAGACAAAAAGGAAATTTTGATTTAGAATATACATTAATTTTTTTATGGCAGATTTTGTTAAAGTTAGGTAATGAATTTTATTGATAAGCTGATAGGCGATGCTGAATTTTGGACTCATCTTAAAATAAGACCTTCCTTTAACTGTGCTTTAATGTGTGAATATATTGTACTTTAATAATTTCCTACTAGAAATCTTATTACTATAAGATGTCTTGCATTTTAGTTTAAAGTTTGTGCAGTGATTTTTTTACTATATTTATTGTAATCTTTTGTAAATAAATGTGTATTATATGATGACATCAACTGATGATTATTTTACAAAGGAAACTATTAAGTTATAATTTATTATTTTCATTGTTATTTTATTATTTGTTATAACTATTACATTGATATTTATTAATATTATTTTATTTATTATACATAGTTCATGCCTTTCGCCTTTATGAACGAGATTCTTATTATTATTATTTACTATTAATAATATTATTATTATTACTATTATCACTATTTACTATTATTTATTATTTATTATTATTATTATTATTATTATTTTAACAATTATTGATATTTTATTTTTATAAATATTTTAATATTATTTATGTTCACAATAGGAAACAGTTTTGTATTGTTTTCAAAAAGCCATTTTTCTATTTTCATTTTTTTTAAACAATAATCTTTGAACATTGAATTATTATTGAAAATTAAATATTTCTTTCACTAATTTGTCAGAAATGAAAGTTTGTACATAAACTTTCAACAAAATGAGTGTAAAGATATATTAATTTTCAATTTTCAATTTACAAATGTCATTACTGAAACTCTATATATTTATTTTCTATAATATATATATGTGTGTGTCGCAAAGTGAGAATGAGAGATGAACGAGTCGAGACATTAATGAACAACATAATGACCTTATACTGAACGATAAATCTTTCTTGTCTTTCTTTGCAAAAAAGTAAACTATCGCGAGTGTATCTGACCACACCTGTGGCCAGAAAGTATTATATCTTATAGACGTTCTCACGGCCACACACATGGAAAAACGTGTATAAATATATATATATATATATATATATAAATATATTTATATAAGTTTTAGAAAATTTATTATAAATTATAATTTTTAATAGAAATTTCTTTATTTAAAATTAATTTTTCGCATATATGTTTCTTGGTTTTTTTGAAATTGATTGAAAATTTTTTGTTTGCTCTAATTATGATTAATTTACAGTATTCCAACTTCTGGTTCTCAGACTGAACAAAAATCTTTATTGGTTTATGAAAGAAACGGAATTAAATTTAAATATGTTTGACTGTATAGCAAAGATAAACTAAGTTTGAAATAAGATGAAAAATATCGAGGGGTAAAGT